TAAAATGGATTTTAAAGATATGATCTTACCTTACCAATATATTTAAAATAAGTCCTGGCGTTTCTAACATTGTATCAAATTCACAGTTGGTCTATTCCAAATTTAATCAACAAATAAGTTTCTCACATAATAATTGAAATGAATCAACTATATTTTAGACAATAATATTTTGTTAACCTTTGAAGGTTATATAACTGTCTATAGTTTACATAAAAGCTATCACTAAATACTAGATTAATATAGTTGCTACTTCTCTTTTAACTTTTAGATGGTTCTGTTAGTAGCCAATTTTTTGTTTGGATTATTCATTATATAACCTGATAGAGAGTTTTAAAATATTTCATAGTGTTTCATAGTTAAGGTTGAAATTCTGACTAAAACAATAGAAAATCTTTACTTTCAACTTAACCAAATTTTGTTTGAATTATTCATTATATGACTTATTAGAGAGTTTTAAAATATTTCATAGTGTTTCATAGTTAAGGTTGAAATTTTGACTAAAACAATAGAAAACCTATTAGAGAGTTTTAAAATATTTCATAGTGTTTCATAGTTAAGGTTGAAATTCTGACTAAAACAATAGAAAATCTTTACTTTCAACTTAACCAAATTTTGTTTGGATTATAGATTATATAACCTAATAGAGACTGTAAAAATATTTCTTATAGTGTTTCATAGTTAATGTTGAAATTTTGACGAAAACAATAGAAAATCTTTACTTTCAACTTGACCTATTTTTTATTTGAAATATTCACATATGTAATAAAAAGAAGATTTAGATAGATTACAACTTCTCTTAACTTTTACTTTAACAGTAAAATCAGTGATTAAATCAGAATTTTTTGGTTGAATGTTAAAATTAAACCACTTTTTTTTTCTTTTAAACACTTAAATAATAGTTAGTAAAGTGAAAATTAGTATTAAATAGTTTAGTACTCTTTATATCTGCAACTGTCTGTTTATTATGATTAGGATTTTTTAGTTTGATGTTTAATTGTTCAACTTTAAGAATGAATTATTTCAAATTTCCATCAAATCTGTTATCTGTTATTTTTACATATTGAGAAAAGTTTGATATTAGATATTTTAGTTTTTTTTTGTTTATGTATATTTCATTGAGATCAATTCATATTAATGTGAGATAATTTATTTTTTTCTCTGATATTTCATTTAGACTAATACTTACCTTTCAGAACAAAGTAAAGCCAGTCAAGAAAAGTTTCAGAAAATGAAGGATATTTATAGTAAATTAAGAGAAGAACATGTTCAATTATTAAGAAAAGTGAGTTTAACTTTTTTAAAGGGATAGAGGGTTGATTTTAGTCTTGAATATAATAAGTAAATAGTCTTCAGAAGTACTAAAAATGTACGAAAATCGGATAATTCCTTTAAAAATATCTCAAACTAGGAATTCTATATATGTCCTTTCTATATATCACAGAGTATCTTAAATTGATAATCAGCATTTTAATATTCAATCGAAGATAATTCTCGACATGCAAGGATTTGGACGGTGAGCTTCGAACACAAAGTAAAGATGATACAAAGGAGTATCTAGATGGATTTGATAGGTTTTTTTAAAAAAAAAGATTCTTCTCAAGTTTGGTCATTGTTTGAAATGTGAGCCATTTGCCTGTTTTCCTTTATTGCCGTCACAATCAAAATTGATATTTTTTTCAGCATGCAGATGCAACCAAACAGCTGACCAGTGAGAAAGCTGCATTAGAGGAAAAAGAACAGATTATAAAGGTAACAATCCCTGTACAGGATTCTTTAAATCAAAGAAAACTTGAAAAAAAATTTCCTGAATAAATAGTGAAAAAAATGATCTCAGATATACAGTCATTTTGTTAAATGGTTTGGAAGGTTGTAAACCTACATTCAGTAGTTGTATACAAGCTAATATCTACCTTAATATAAAATATTTTTAAAATTTAATGGAAATGATTTTTTTTAAGAAATATTGAAAACAAATTTTGTTGAGTTTAAAAGAACTGATAGTGTGTTTATATGTATGGTTAACATACTTTCTTTAAATGGAATGAGTAACAAAATAGAATTAGAAACCTGCCTTTTTCAGAATTTTTGCATGAACTGTTCTCAGAGATCTTGGAATATACAGATGTGTGTGTGTTTTCTCTTTCTATCTTGAGCCTTGATTGTTTTAATGGAATTATATTTTTGTCTTGTTCAAAATAAGACAAATGTTTATGAATGTGCATGGATGTTATAATAACAGCATGTTTGTTATGTTTTGTTGTTATTAGGAAAGTAAACTAGAAAATGAAAGATTAGAGAAAGAAAGGAATGCTGTCCAAGAAACTTTACAAAAATCTGCAGATGATATTACACAGCAATTATCATCAGTAGAAGTGGCTAAAAGTCAATTAGAAGTTGATATTAAAGTAGGTATCATCCGTAGGGTTGATATTAAAGTAGGTATCATCAGTAGAAGTTGATATTAAAGTAGGTATCAGTAGGGTTGATATTAAAGTAGTATCATCAGTAGAAGTTGATATTAAAGTAGGTATCATCAGTAGAAGTTGATATTAAAGTAGGTATCATCGGTAGAAGTTGATATTAAAGTAGGTATCAGTAGGGTTGATATTAAAGTAGTATCATCAGTAGAAGTTGATATTAAAGTAGGTATCATCAGTAGAAGTTGATATTAAAGTAGGTATCATCAGTAGAAGTTGATATTAAAGTAGGTATCATCAGTAGAAGTTGATATAAAGTAGGTATCATCAGTAGGGTTGATATTAAAGTAGGTATCATCAGTAGAAGTTGATATAAAGTAGGTACCATCAGTAGGGTTGATATTAAAGTAGTATCATCAGTAGGGTTGATGTTTCAGTAGTTATCATCAGTAGAAGTTGATATTAAAATAGGTATCATCAGTAGAAGTTGATATTAAAGTAGGTATCATCAGTAGAAATGGCTTAAAGTCAAAAGTTGATACTAAAGTAGGTATTATTGAAAGAATCAAGGTAACAGCATGAAGTAGGGCAAGTAAACTTACTTGTAAACACTGTTTGAAAGCAGTATGGTAACAGCTCGTACAGTAACAGCTAGCATAAGGTAGGTCAGTAAACTTACTTGTAAACATTGTTGAAAGCAGCATGGTAACAGCTAGCATGAGGTAAGGTCAGTAAACTTACTAGAGAATGTTGTATTAAAAGTAGCATGGTAACAGCATGAGGTAAGGTCAGTAAACTTACTTGAGAATGTTGTATTGAAAGTATCATGTTAACATCATGAGATAAGGTAAGTAAACTTACTTGAAAATGTTTGATCATGGTAACAGCATGATGTAAGGTAAGTAAACTTACATTAGAATGTTTGAGAATGGCAACAGCATGATGTAAGGTAAGTAAACTTACTTTAGAATGTTTGAGAATGGCAACAGCATAATTTAAGGAAAGTAAACTTACTTGAGAATGTTTAAGCATGGTAGCAGCATGATGTAAGGTAAGTAAACTTACTTGAGAATGATTGATCATGCTAACAGCATGAGGTAAGGAAAGTAAACTTACTTGAGAATGTTGTATTGAATGTAGCATGGTAACGGCTTGAGGTAAAGTCAGTAAACTTACTTGAGAATGTCTGAAGCATGGTAACAGCATGAGGTCAGGAAAGTAAACTTACTTGAGATTGTTGAAGCATGGTAACAGCATGATGTAAGGTAAGTAAACTTACTTGAGAATGTTTAAGCATGGTAACAGCATGGTATAAATAGTGTTGTAAAGATGGTAAGTATGCAATATAATCTATATATTATATATACTCTATAGGCTGCAGGCTTGGATCAGTTTTATGAAGGTTGGCAGAAAAGTCAGGTATTGTTTTGACATTTGCTAACTTTTCTTACTCATAAATTACATTTAAGTCCTCATGGTATAATGGTATAGTCTGATAAATGCCCTTACATACTATATATTTATCAATAACTGGTGCATTAAACAACAAACAGACTCTGTAGGTTTATGCATGTAAACTTTTGCAAGATAACATCCTACAAATTGTCACTTCACAGTTCACGGAAGATAATAAAAATTTCTGGATTTTCTTATATGTGTTCCAATTTTCAATCAGACGTCTGTGGTTCCTGCAATTCCACTAAAACCCAAGTGTTTGATGACATCACTTATGTGTTAAAGCATATTTTGTGACATCATCAAACACATGGTTTTACTGTAATTGCAGGAACCAGAGATTCTGAAAATTAAAATTAGAATTGATGCTAACAGTTTCTGATATGCATACAAAATTTATAAAAGCTCTTTACAATCCCTTTTACTTGTAAAGATGTTAAGACCAAAAATATTTGTTCAGCCATGCCCTATTCAATTTATTTTGTTTTTTTAGGAATTAACAAATAAAGTGCAAGATTTAGAGAACACAAGAGGCAATCTAGATTCTGAATTACATCAAAGTCGAGAAAATGCATCAAGTCTTACAGCTCAGTTGTTGGAGATGCAACAATCCTCTGAAAAAAGGGAACAAGAGCTGAATTCAAAGTTATCCGAGTTAAATGAACAATTGCAAAAAACTTTAGAAGATAAAAACTCATCAGAGTCGTCTTTAGGAAGTCAGTTATCTGATTTACAATCAAAATTTGACTCTACATTAGCAGAAAGATTGTCTGCTGAAGAGAAATTAGCCCAGGACATCCAGTCTCTTCAACAGTTACTAGAGCAGACACAGAAAGAAGGACTGGAAACGCAAGCACTTCTCAACCAGAATATTGATGAACTACACAGAAAATTATTAGGTATTTCATTTTTGTGTTTATTAACATAGCACTCATGCTCCACAACTTGTAGTATGGCTGTTGAAAACAAGAACCATTTTTCACTAGGACGGCAACTTAGTTTTATAAAGATCCTTTACACCAGCTGGTCTTTGGCATTGATCTTTCCCAGATTATCCATTCCAATTTTCAACTGGGTCAACTGGAATGATGAGAAAAGATGACTTATTCAAGGTCTCCAAACTTTTAAATGCTTACCAAGATTAGAACCCAAGACTACCATTTGATCGACCATGCAATTGAAGTCATGTACAGTTTCTGACCAACTGTCTTTGCTATAGCAGTTTCTATTTTGACAAATAAGTGAACAAATATGATATATCTTTATTGTAGGAAGTTGTATATTAGAAGGTAAAGCTATAATTAAAGATGCTATAGATCAACATGATAACCCTTCCCATACATCAGTCACTTGTACAGCTGGTAAGTTCTTTCATTCTCTTAGAATACTTGGTCATCAAGAACTGATTGTGTCACTTCTTATTGATGAAATATATATGAAACTCTGTAATGATAGCATTGCTTTGCACCATTTTAATTTTAAGTCAGACGTCTCTGCATCTTTCAATTTCAAAAGACGCCCAAATTTAATGGAATGCTAGAAACATAGTCTTGTTACTGAAAATTTTAAGTTTGCAAATTGGTGTTATAAGTGTCCCTGATACACTTAAAATTTATACAAAACCTCCTAACACTACCTTTTAATTTCTAACAAGTCTATTTTTTATGTATAGAATATTTATTGACAAGAATAGAGCCTGCCTTATCCAGTATCAACAAATTACAATCTAGTTCTAATGTATATAATACAGATAAAAAAGGTAACATTTTCTTAGTGATACCACCTATTACTTTATGAAAGATATATGGTTCTACAATATTTGCGCTACCAGCAGATATAGCTCAATTTCAGCTCTCTGTATCATGTAATCATTATTTGTTTTAGCATTAGCATTAGTCAGAAACACCTGCCTCTATTCCAGCATCGGAGAGAGCTATTTTAACAGTTGTCAGCTGGAGAAGGGTCAGAAAAAGTTGAACATATTTTATGGGGATTTATTTTGACAAAATTAATCCAAGATTTATAAAAAAAATGTTTCTTCTTTTCTCCATTAGATTTAGAAGAACTAGTGAGTAATATCAATGAATTTAGTCATTATATAGGAGATTGTATTATACATGGTTATGCTACATCACATTCAGCTCAGATAGAGCCAGGAGAAGGTGAGAATTTTACATCAGGCACTTTAAAATTAAGTCCCAATACATCTGAAATAGTTCTGAAATGCCAGAAGCAAGGCTTCTTATTTACTTATTACTTACTTATTTGATAAGTTTGTATATTTGATAAGTTTGTATATTTAATAAGTTTGTATATTTGATAAGTTTGTATATTTGATAAGTTTGTATATTTGATAAGTTTGTATATTTGATAAGTTTGTATATTTGATAAGTTTGTATATTTAATAAGTTTGTATATTTGATAAGTTTGTATATTTGATAAGTTTGTATATTTAATAAGTTTGTATATTTGATAAGTTTGTATATTTGATAAGTTTGTATAGTGTAATAACATATAGTGTATATTTAATATTTCAGAATTATCATCATTATGTAAAGAAGTAGGAAACTCTGGTATAACTTTATTAGATAAAGTAGAACAGAGTAAGTTTTACTTTATTTAAGGGATTTATATTGATGTTCTAGCCTTTGGGAAAGAGAAGGGATGCTTTGAAATGGTGCTAGACATGGAAAGAGCGTCTAAACGTTCGGATGGGACAATAAATCGAGGTCCTGTGTGCTACAGGATGTGCACGTTAAAGATCTCTCGACAGTTGGAAATCGAAAAAGAGCAGGGTAATGCTGCTGTCCTGGCAAAATTTCCCTCATTGCACCCTGCATGGCGTTGCCCGTCTTCATTAGCCCACAAGATACAGAACAGTAGGACTCCATTAATTTCATTTTGAAATGGTGCTAAATGTTATTGCTAATAAATTTTATTGGTAATGAAATTTTTCGATCTTAATGGAATCTTGGAGAGGAGGTGTTGAGTTTAGATTGGTACTTCTAATCAAATCTTGATATTGTTGACTATTGTAGAAGGTGATGTAGATAAACAAGTTGAAATAACAATACAACAGTTAAATAAACTAGTCAAACTAACAGAAGACTTATTACCTAAAATGGAAGATGTTAATTCTGAAGAAATTGGTGATTTAGTTGAAAGAGAAATGGCTGATACTTCAGCTGCTATAGAACAAGCTGCGGCTAAGATTGCTGTAAGTACAAACATAGGCAAACTCTTTTATGCTCTAGTAAGACAAATTTAGACAAATTTTACAACCCAGAAGTATGCTTGAAACTAAAGTAAATGGTCAAAGATTTTACTAACCACTCTGTTTGCTCTGTAGAATCCTGTTAAATGATCAGAGATGGCTTCTTTCATCTCCTGGTCATTGATTTTGTGATTGTGATATGGATAAGTAAATATCTGAAAATATGAGTGCATATAGCTATATTTTATGTATTATAGGATATGTTAAGTAAAACAAGAGAAGAATCTACAGGTATTAATCTAGAAGTTAATGAAAGAATATTAGATGCTTGTACTGAATTAATGAAGGTTAGTAAAAAAGATGTAGCCTTTGTTAGCTGAACTCTCTGTTGAAGAATAAAATGAAAAGTGTTCTCCAGGTAGAATTATAAAGATTGTGTCATCATGCTGTATACAATGAGGGAAATTTTGACATAAGTATTAGGATATAGTGCAATCTCCAATTGGGTCTCATACGTTGTCTGATATACAAGACTATACCTACCAATATGGAATGATGGGGATGACTTTGAACTTAGTTGCCACTAAATCACAGAAACTTTGTTTTTCTATGACTAAATGACATTATTTAGTCAACAAAAGGTATTTATTAATCCTGACTATCAAATTTCCTATTTATTTCAGGCTATTAAAGAATTAATGGAACAATCTCGAGATTTACAGAGAGAAATTATAGCTTCAGGAAGGGTAAGATAGTTAAATTTTATAAACACTCTCATGAGTTTCATTCCTCTTTGAAATAGATGGGATGATACGAGTCATTAAAGTATGAAATTTGGCATAGAAAAATACTGATATTTTTTTTCACTTTTGATTAAGTGTTTAAACTCTTATCCACTAGTTATTTATTTATTATTTTAGGGTACATCATCTGCTAAAGAATTTTATAAGAAAAATCATCGCTGGACAGAAGGTCTACTATCTGCTGCTAAAACTGTAGGATTTGGTGCTACATCTCTTTTGTAAGTTTGAAGACTGTTATTCTGAACTGAGACATTTCCAAAATGCAAATTGTTAGCTCTAGAACAAATATCAAATATTTATTTGGAAGTTTAATCAAGTAGTTTCTTATTTGATCAATAAGTTCTATAGTATTCTACAATTGATGTATTAAACACTAATAGTGAAAATGTTGTGTATAATGAGTCTCTTATTTTCATTTTGAAAAATTTACAGCTTAAAACAGACAATTTTTATATGCCCACATTTCTCTATGTGGACGTATATTGTTGGCACCCCTGTCCGTCCGTCAACATTTGCTTGTAAACGTTCTAAAAACTAGAATTTTTGATGGAATCAAATGAAATTCGGTATGTGTATGCATATTCATAAAACGAAGATCAAGTTTGAATATGAGCTATTTTCGGCCGTTAGAAGCAGAGTTATTGCCTTTGCCCCAAAATCTTGAATATTTACCATCTGCATGCCATGGTGGGCGTATATGGCTGTGGTCCACTATCTTTAAGTAAAATATTCTTAAATCAAATAATCATCTCAAATTTCAGGGACTCTGCTGATAAAGTGGTAAATGGACAAGGAAAGTTTGAAGAATTAATTGTATTTGCCCAGGATATAGCTGCTAGTACAGCTCAGTTAGTGGTAGCATCGAAAGTGAAAGCTGATAGAAGTAGTAAAACATTAGGATTATTATCCCATGCTTCTAAACGTGTTAATAATGCTACTGGTAATGTAGTAGCGTCTGCTAAAACTGGTTCACAAACTATTGAAGATCAAGGTATGTCCATAAAAGGATACCATTTCTTTTGAAAATTACCAAAAAATAATTGAAATTTTTATACGCCCACATCTCTCTATGTGGACGTATATTGTCGGCACCTAAATGGAAAGGTTTGAGAAAGTTTAGTTTACTTCTGATTAAATTTAAGGCTTTTTCGACTATTAGAAGCAGAGTTATTGCCCTTGCCCCAAAATCTTGAATATTTACCAATTGCATGTTGTGGTGGGTATATATGGCTGTGGTCCACTTCCTTACTGTTAGTTCTTGTCAATGATCTTTCTGGATGAGCAAAATTATAGCTGGGCCAGATGATTTTGTGTGTTCATTCTTATAAGAGCCCAAGACAACCTGTTTGTCTGCTGTAACCAAGCAAACAGCGTCAAAATCTAAAAAAAATTGAAATTTTATGAAGCTTTTTTAATCTACAATATGTTCATCCTGTTATAGGCTTAATGGACTTCAGTAAAATGACACTATATCAAACTAAGAAAATGGAGATGGAAGCCCAAGTGAAAGTATTAGAGTTAGAAAATGAATTAAAGAAAGAGAGAATGAGATTGGGTGAATTAAGGAAACAACATTATCAATTAGCTGGAGAAAGTGAAGGTTGGGAAGTCAATCAGGTAATTATTTGTTAAACTTTCCATATTTATGATATGCCTTCAAACTAGAATAAGAATATCCAAATAGCGATTTAATTCATTTGATTCTGTGTGACATAAATTAGTTCATGTCATTGAATTAAGATTCAACTGATTTATTGATATTCTTTTTGTTGTTTTCATGGAAATTCATTATTAATTGAAATATCTTTTCTCAGAAATTCATCTTTTGTGCTTTTTTCATTGAAATTCATTATTAATTGAAATATATTTTCTCAGAAATTCATCTTTTGTGCTTTTTTCATTGAAATTCATTATTAATTGAAATATATTTTCTCAGAAATTCATCTGTTGTGCTTTTTCATTGAAATTCATTATTAATTGAAATATATTTTCTCAGAAATTCATCTTTTGTGCTCTTTTCATTGAAATTCATTATTAATTGAAAAATATCTTCTCAGAAATTCATCTTTTGTGCTTTTTTCATTGAAATTCATTATTAATTGAAATATATTTTCTCAGAAATTCATCTGTTGTGCTTTTTCATTGAAATTCATTATTAATTGAAAAATATCTTCTCAGAAATTCATCTTTTGTGCTTTTTTCATTGAAATTCATTATTAATTGAAATATATTTTCTCAGAAATCCATCTTTTGTGCTTTTTCATTGAAATTCATTATTAATTGAAATATATTTTCTCAGAAATTCATCTTTTGTGCTTTTTCATTGAAATTCATTATTAATTGAAATATATTTTCTCAGAAATTCATCTGTGGTCCTTTTTCATTGAAATTCATTATTTACTGAAATTCATTCTTACAGAAATTCACTATTATTTTATTCACATTGAAATTGATTATTCATACTATTCTCACTGAAATTTTTATTCATTCATTAATTATAGAAATTCATTATATTCTCATTGAAATTCATTATTCTTATCAAAATTCATTATTCATGTTATTATCAGGTATTGACAGTGTAAATTTGATTTTCATTAAAATAATATTCATGTCATTTTCATGCAAATTCATTATCTATAGAAATCCATTATATTCTCATTGAAATTCATTATATTTTTATACAAATTAATTATATTTTTATACAAATTAATTATATTTTTATACAAATTCATTATATTTTTATACAAATTCATTTTTCTCATTGAAATTTATTATATTTTCATTCAAATTCATTATTCTCATTCAAATTCATGTAATACCATGCCAACATCCAGTTTTAAGTGAAAGTCTTAATAAGTCATTATTGTTATTCAATATATTGCGTTGGTATTTGAGAGGAGTATAAAAAAGATATTATATTATTATAGGAAGAGGAGGTAGACAGTGAAAATAATGCTATAATGAGTGTAAGTTGTTAGTTGTTGTGTAAATATATAGAATGCTTGTCAGTTAATAACCTAACTTTTCTAAATCCTTGTAGTATTTTAAACAGAGCAATAATTCTACATGCTTATTGCATAGCTTAGATCCAGTGTTATATAAAAAATAATGACAATTTTTGACTTAACTTGCTTAACAGCAGCTTGACTCAGGTTATTTTTAATCTATTAGAAAATCTTTTCCAAAGCATGGAATGTTTACTCAAATTAATATGATGACTCTATGAGGGATTTAATTTTAACTCAGTGATTGACAACATAAATGTTTACTTACTGATTTACAATATAAAATGTTGACTGAATGATTGAAAATATAAAATGTTGACTGAATGTTTGACAACATGGAATGTTCTCTGAATGATTGACAACATTAAATGTTGACTTAATGATATACAACATAAAATGTTGACTGAATGATTGATAGCATGGAATGTTGACTGAATGATTCACAACATAGAGTGTTGACTGAATGATTGACAACATGGAATGTTGACTGTATGATTAACAACATGGAATGTCTATTAACTCAATTCCTTTGCCAAATTCCCTTCCTTCTAACATTTGCTACAGTGTTAGTTCTGAGGTAGAAACATGTTAAGCGAGTGATATTAAGCACATGAACTCTCCAGACATGAAGATGAAGACTTGCAACTTGGTTCAATTTAGCCATTGATATCTTGTGCTTTTAGTTCATCAGCAGAATCGTATAGTGAACCTTTTTGCCTTTGCTAAATCCCTATCTACCCTGAAAATATTGTAGTTGTAGGCAAGAAACGTGTGAATATTAAACACATGAACTCTCAAGAAGAAGACTTTTGCTATTGGTAATATAATAACTACTAACAAGGCATGTTTGTCTTAATGTTCTTATGTTTAAATAACATAATATTTCATTTTAAGTTAAACAATTTCTTCCTTTTGTTTTAAATCTTTTTTTATAGATTGATTTTTTGCATGTAAAGATTTGTTAATCATAGATACAACCTTATTCAGCAGTATTGTTGAATGTTGCTTCAGCACTATATTGGTGCCAATTTGTTTAGGATTTTGGAAGTGGTTCTATCCATTTATAATTTGTTAGAAAATAATTCTCAAATTAAGAAAGCACTTTCATGAGATTTTGGGACTTTGACACAAAAATCTGTGCAAGCAAAACAATAATTCTTTGACCTAAAGTCTTAGTCCAAAACTCTGTCTCTGATTATTGGAGACATTTCACTTTCAAATATGATATGATGACCAATGGTTTAATCTTGAAGGTAACATTGATTTAACTGTGTTTTAGTTAGCTGATTTAGGTGTACCAGAGTGGGCTGAACCGTGGGATTCAGATATGTTATAAGCAGGGTAAGACAGCATGGTGTGACATGTTGTTTCTGTTCTCAATCCTACTTCTCATAAACAGTTCCAGAGTTTAATTTTCCCCATTGTTAGAAAAGAAATTCATCAATTTGATCTGCTAGCATGGTGTTCAAATAGTTTCTTTGCAATGTCGCAAATGGTTTTAATGACATTATCAACTTTGCTGTAGCATGATTAAGAAATGATTTCTTGTTCTAATTCTTTGGTATGATCATTATGATTAAGGCATGATGCCAAAGTGGTTGCAGTGTGTCGTTTAAAATGTTTTATGGCATAGTAGCATAGGGAAGAAGTGATTTCATAAAATTGGTTCATATGGTTTCATCAGCATCAATAACTTTGATGTAATGGCATGTAGTAGATGTGGTTGAATTGAATTGCTTTAAAAGTTTTATCGATGTCACTAACTTTGGTGTGATAGCTAGTTCTGGAGTAGTTCCAGTGCATTTATCCATAATTACATTTGCTTTGTACCTATATGACTACAAGGTTCATTAGTGGTTTAATTTGATATGAAGATAAAAGAATCTGGTTTTTGCTGAAGTTTTCTTGGGTTTTTTTTAATAATGAATAATTGCATGTGAAGAAAAAGATTAAATAGAGAATTGTTTTGATTTCAAACAGATTTATCAACTATCTTGTCTGATGTCTGATGTCTGATGACAAAATACTGAAACCGTATGAGCAATTAATGGTGGTTTACTGAAGGTGAATCAAGGTCAACTCAAACGCAATTCAAAGCATTTTCATCAGATTCTTCAAAAAAATGACTGATTATTAGCATTTGTGATAGTTTGTCGGGTGGCATCCTACTATTCTGTACCATGTGAGCCTATGACGACAGGCAACGCGATGCAGGGTACAATGAGGGAAATTTTGCCAGGACAGCTGCATTGGCCCATTTTTTACTTCCATCTGCCAACGTGCATAGAATATAGCAAGCAGGGCCTCAATTTATTGTGCCATCTGAACAACTAGATGCTTTTTTCCATGACAGCCCCTCTTACCTTCATCACTCAGAATATTGAAGTTGCTCTAGTTAATAGCAGTTGTTGAAAATCCACTTTTATAATTACTTCACAATGAATCTGTAAAACTTTCAATAGAATTGATAGCAATACAGTTTGATAGTTATAGATCCATTACTTTATTTAGAAAAAAAAAACAAGTGCTTTAGAGAGCCCTGTACTTTAGAGGGGATATAATAATCAAAGCCCTCTGTGCTTCTAGTAGGTGTGCTTTGAGGTGGTTAGTTCTTAGTGATTCTAGCACTAAGTATTAGAAACTTACTTTAGTGCTTAGTGTGGAAAAATACCATAATATAAGAATACATTACATTGAATTGTTTGTTTACATTTGCCTCCATTTTGTTTTCCTGTCCTTGAACTTCTTTTTTATTGAACTGGAGAATGACCAGAAGGCATTTTTGTTTTAACAATTTTTGTGTTCCATGGGATGGGAATGCCACAAGGCCATGTTCTTGGCTCTCACCGCCCAACTTTAAATATGCTCTTTAATTATTGTTGTTTTTTTTTCAGAGTAAAAAGAGTTGACCAGGTTAAAAAGAAATATTCAACAATTAAACATAACTTATAGAAGAAAACAGAAGTCTGAAAATGAAGATTGTCCAAAGTTCTTTATCTGTAGCATTGTAAACTGACAAAAACAAATATAATTTGTTTACACTTGGCCAGTGCTTTCATAGAGGTCGATTTCACCTTTATCTATTATCACTTTATAATGAGTCAAATCTGCTATTGTTTATAAATTTACTAATTTATCATTAATATGACAATCTCAAGATTATTTGAGATATTGATGCTGGGAACTCTTCTAACAGTAAGGTTTGTTTAGTCATTTGATAAAATTAATAAATTTTGAAAAGGTTTTTTTTTTTCAAATTTTGAACTGTTGAAAACAAAGCAGGTATTAAAATCTATTTTGTTTTTAACTGGCTCTCAGACTACATATGGCCATTGCTGATTTTTCTTTTTTGTATATCACATTTTCATGCATTTTTGCAATAGATCTGCAGTTTATAGCATGTATATTAAATGTTATAGTATAATTGGTGAGTTTTGAAATCTATTCTCTCATTATATTATGATGAAATATATGATCATATGTTTATAGAGTGTGCCAATATATTAAATATACAATTGTACTTCTTATGGCTAAATATGAGTGGAATTGTCTTATTTGGTGCCAAATAAAATGGTAAATGCCATCTATTGTTAAAATCTTGTTATTTAATCATAATGAAAGATGTAAATGGTTATTGAATTTTGATAAAATGTTGATTTTTATCCTACGAGAAACATTGTTTTTAAATGTATTTTATTTATTGTGTTTTTAATTTGAATTTAATATACAGATTTGTAAATTTTGTAAAAATGGTAGGCACCATATTTCTTTTGTTGATTTTCTATTATGATCATTCATCAAAATAACTTTTGTTTTATTGTACAATTTAATCTTCAATCAGGAAGTTTTATGGCTCCATTATATGGTCTCTTTCAACATTATGCCCATTTTTTACATCACTTAAGCATATTGATTTGAATATAAAGCTCACTGTGTTGCAGTCGACATACTAAGCTTAATATAAGCTTTGTGGCTGCTAGAGCTGAAAATTGTGCTTGTGTGCTTGATATCAATTATCTTTTTTGAGAAATTCATATTAAAGACTGCACATGAAATAGTATTGTCAGCAGGGGCATATCTAGAAAATGCCTGTGAGGGAGGCCAAAAATAGAGGTGTCTCTCCAAGGTAAGGCCAAATGAATCGCGAAGCCAGTGATGTGCCAGGGCCCCCCCAAAGCCAAAGGATTTAAAATGACCTGAGATGATTTTTAGTTAAAGGGCTTAATTTTCACTTCTGAATAGAACCTTTCACAAGCCTGAGGGGAGGGCCATGACCCAAAAATTACTGCCTAAATATGTCAATGATTGTCAGAATAGTCAGCTTTCTATTCTGGTAAAAATGACACTAAACCTCATCAATGTTGTAGCTTTATAAGAATGTTATAATACACTTTTCTCATGTTATAAAAATCATGCAATTGTTGAATTACATTTTACTGTTATTAGCAATTAGCTTCTCTCCATGTGATAAACTTATCTCTTTTCTTTACCACAAAACCTCTTTAAAAGGCCTGTAACTTAAAACTTGTATAAGTTGTTTTTCAGGCACAGTTTTCCTCACTGCACACTGCTTTGATATGGCCTGGTTAATTAAGTCTGACTGAAGCCTTCTTATTTTTTCTCCAGTCATTCAAGATATAATTGCCAATCAGGCAAATAATTTTGTTTATTGTTAATATTAATTTTATTTAATAAGGCAGGGACTTGTTAAAGTGTTATTATTTCATTATTACAGCATTATTATTTCAGTAATTAAGACCATTTTAAGGAAATTTTAATGTTGATTTTGAATGCAGATTGTGCTTGTTTTCAGTTTGATTTTAAATTTAAAACATTTTTGAATGATTACCTAGTTAGATTTAGATGTAGGGATTCTATTGAGGGATTCTGTTGTATAGTTATGACACCAGGTTAACCCTTAATCTTAAAGGCCCCTTTAAGAATTTACAAGATAGTAAAAACAATACCTGTAAGACAAATTTGCTATTAAAAGTAGTTTATTATTATTGATTGAAATAAAATCCAAAATTTTTTTACTGCCAATTTAATTTTCAAGAAATGATTTTTTTCAATAATTTTAATGCTTGGCATTTAACTGAATTTCATATTTTAAATTCAAAATAATACAAAAAAATTCTTGGTTATTTTTGATATTTGTCAACAATTATTAGTTGATATTTATAATGATTAAATCTCACTGCTATGAAAGTTTTGTTTACTGAACTAGTCTATATAGGCTGTGAAAATGATAATTTTAAAACCACATATAGATAAGCCCAAATATAACCAAAATCATATTTTAAGTTTTATCCAATTGTTATTACTACTTAAGTCACTCAACAGAATTTAGTCCTCTAAATATTTGCTTTACCAGATGATAGAGCCTAATTTCAACCATCTGTATCACCCCCCTAAAAGACAGGAATGACAAATGACGTCATGACATTGCTAATACCTGAAGTTGAGAATGTTAGTAATGTCCTGACAGCACTGTTTGTTTAATTGTAGGTGAACCTGACTTCATTTGTTAATTACGATAAGTGGTATGGCAGGAAAACAAATATTTAGATGATTATTTAATTGATATGACTATGGACTTGGCATTTGGATAAAATGCATGTATCTTTATTTTTAATAGTAATATTGTAAGATAGTTCTTTATGAAATCCAAACTTCTTTTTGCCTCTATTACATTGCCTCATATCTATTTAGCTTATTGCTAGATTATGTTTACTGGTAGTTTGTATATTATACATGCATACATTAGATATTTCTTACATTTTACATTTACTTTTCTTTTGTTATAGACCTTATACAGACTTCACATTAGCTATTTCTTAAATTGATGTTGCCATCTTTTTAATAGATACTGATAATTTCAACACCAGACGTGAATCAAGTCTATTGTTTATTTGTAAATTTTTGAGAATTTTTTTGTTTGGTATTAAACCAGGAGAATCTATGGCTGTTAAAGTAATAATGGCAAGGTAGAAATAGGCAATGTGGAATTGTATGTTTTTTGTAATATTAGAAGAATTTAATTATTATATGCTGGTGCCGGAAACTGGTGGCAGTTGATCTTATTTTATTCATTCATTATGTAAATTATTTATTCATGTATCTATGACAGCTTAAACAACTCAATACCAGTACTGTTATCAAACTCTTAAATTGACAATTTCTTTTTTTCATTTAATATTTAAGTTGAGTTAAGCTTGTTCGCCATTCTGCTTCGGAAAACGAGATACCACTTTACAAATGATTTTGTCCACAATTGAAAATATTTCTGTGGTATTTTCAAATTATTGTTTTTATTTTTTACATATATGGATAATTGCAAATTTGTCTTCTGTAGCAGTCTTTAAACCTTTGATTCAAAGACTGTGTATCTGGGAAGTGAATTGAAAAATATTTTGATTCCAAAGAAATGGCAATGTAGAAAAATTAAAGTTGTTTTTTTTTTTGCGCTAGATAAACCTCTAAAACACAATTCCTCAGTAAAAAAAGATTCTGTTATTATAATTTTATTATCATTGTATGTATACTGTGTCACAAATTATCAATAAATAAAACAAACACATATATCACAGTTCTTTTTTTTTTTTTACAGCAAATTGAAATTTTGATTTCATTCTGTCAAATAAGGCCTTACTTGATATTCACGTAAATATAAACAATGAACAACAAAGAACATCTATGTACATATATGTAGATCAGGGATGTTGATTTGGTTCTACATTTTGGACAGTAGACTTGACCAGCAGAGCAGCTCAAATGTCTGAAAATCACAAGCTTTTGTCAGACATCAAGTAAAGGTCAGCCATTGCATGTCTATAAATGTAATTTAAAATGCAAAATTTTATGAAAACTCACTAATGACTAATGGAACACAAAGCAATCAATCTACATTGTAGATATAAACAACAAATATATAACAAATTGCACACAATGACAGGTGATATCTAATCATAAATTTGTTTAAATGAAGATTTGGCTGGTGAATCTGGACCTTCAGGATCTTGTGCTGAAAAATCAATAATAATAATAAGAAAATAAATTAAGACTGTAAGAAATAACTATGGCTAGAAACTAGGATTGCCTTAAACTATTGAAATCTTTCATAATTAAGTTTCATTCTTAGCTGTGATCACCAGAATCAAGTATGATTCATTAAGGGCATCAATGGACTGATGAACGAGCTCACTCTATATTTAGTAATTCAAACACTACACTCATTATATTTGAAGCAATTCTTACAGATAAATCTGATCCTTGTCTGGATATAGCCTAATATATTACAAATTAGGTGGTATATTCCAATTTTTAATTGATTCCTGGATCTGACTTTTCTGGTTGTAGAAAAATGTTCACAGATGGGAGCAAAGCAAAGCAGCAGAGATTTTCTGGCTTTGCTGTTCCCAGTGGGGACATTTATAGCTACCATCAAGCCAAATGGTATATAATTGTCAAAGTAAGAAGTTACTAGAGTAAAGAAATGAAAGAAATACCTTGTTCAGAAAGAAATATAAACTGGAATAATGAAAATGCTTCTAATTGTTCTGGTGTAGTCAATTTATCATTTAATTCAAATAAATTCTTCATAGCTGTTTCTTTCTCTACAATATAATTCACCACTAAATATAATATACATGTATCATTCGCAATTTATTCCTTATTCGAAATAGTTGTCTTCTTCAGCTGCACAATAGCCTGACATTGTGAAGATGAATTTCAATTCCCATAAACACTTTTTATACTACCTTAAAAAATGTAAATACATGTATTTCTGTTTTGAATTGGACCTATATGTGTACAACATGCTTGACTATACCTACATACAATTGTATAACAGACATTGTATAATATACATACCTGTTTGTATAGTAGATATTGTATATAATTTATATAAATAAGATTGTAATATAGTTGTATATTGTTGTAATAATGATGATAATGACTGTATATCTTCTATTTCTATCAAACATACAATATGTAATATGGCTACCATTATCTACAAATACAAAATTATCAAAAAGTATATAAGTTTTTAATACATCATACATTGTAACTTTTAAATTTTTTGTTAAAAGATTAATTCATATCACACAAAAAAATAAGGTCTGTCATGTCAAGGCTAGATGTTGATCTTGAGAACTCCTTGGGACAGAAAGCAATTGTTACAGCTACCAGCTATAATTTACAAAAAATATTAAAGCTAACCTGCTCTGTTAAATTATCTCTGTATTTGTACTCTGCAAAATCTGTAATATCTTCTGATGTCTTTAAAGCTATTATTAAACTTTCCATTACATAGTTGAATTTTCCACCATAGGAACCTCTCTCTTTCAATGATGATAAAGCTAGGCCGGCATTAATTCTGACTTTAAAATTCTTACAATCTTTAACTACACTACATAATGCATTGATGACATCTGGCTGTAATCAGAGAAAAGTAAAACATTATTCCAGTGGGCAAAATTTATTTTGCTTATTCTCATTTTGAAATGGTTGTGCAGGTTGGCTTTAAAAATTACTAGAATCATTTTAGAATCCTCAAGTTTTGTTTTGTTTTAATTCATTTGAAGTGGTTGTACAGGTCTAATGTAACTAGCATCATTTCTCCCAGTGTACATGAATTCCAGGATATGTTGGTACTTTGAACCACTTTGAAGCCAAATACATGAATGCATAGGTTCTTTTTAAGTGGCTATGCAGGTTAGCTTTAAATTAACCAAAATCATTACTGCCAGTGAACATTAATCCACAACGTATGTTGGCACTTTAAAGCCACATACATGAATGCATAGAAGTGGCTATGCAGGTTAGCTTTAAAATAGCCAGAATCATTACTTCCAGTGTACATTAATCCACAAGATTTTCTATCACTGATAAGAAAATAAATGAATACAAAGATTTTCATCCATACAAGTCCACTTTAATCCAGAATGTAAAGAAGTAGAAGTAAACTTACTGTCCAGTTAACAGAACCATGAGGTAAACCATCATTCTTAAACATATTACTTATAGCATAACAGGCATTCCATCTTACCTATAAAATCAAAATTGCAAAACTATGTCAAATTATTACATAAATAACTTCTGGTGACCTTGCAAAAGTCATCTTTCTTTATTATTCCAGTCAAGCAAGTTGTAAATAGGTACATATTATGTGCTCTCATTATATTAAAATAAAATAATCTAACAACATAGAAAATGTTATCTACAACGGTGTCCTTAAAAGAAAAGCTTTGACTTAAAATTTATCATTTTCATTTAATTTAGATGTAGAAGTATAAGAATTAATCTCACCTTCATAGTACCAGTTAAGATATTTTTAACTAAGGTATCAACACTATTCTGTACAGCTGTCATAAAATTACTTTTACCTAAATAACAAACAATGTAAATCTTAAATTAAACAGCACATCATTACAGTTACTAATGTTTGTTAAGTTTACATGTAAAACTTTATGTTATGCCCAAAATTTGCTTAACTGTTGCTCTAAAGCACATTTATTGGTGGAGAGTGGGTTTGCAGACCTCTATATACACCAGCATTGTAGTGAAGTTCAAAACTGCAAAATTTTTGTTCCAGATATCCTCATGAGGTGTGATATCATTTTTCAACTAGCAACATCTATAAATAAAAAGAGATTTCCTAAAAAAAAAGTCATTACCTTATTAACACTATCCTTGTTAAATATAACTAAAGAGTCTTACCTAGACTTCTATTAGGTAAGTATCGTAATATATTGCCAACAGCTCTAACAGCATTAGATTTTACTTTACCACTATCTTGTGATGCTCTGGTAGCTGTTGTCAATAATTTTAACAATAACATATCAGAGAAATCTTCTATAAACTGATCAGCTTCACAGTCTCTGTAACAATTTACTGATGTTATAGCCTTTTTTGTTACACAAATACTTTTCCTTCAGAGATAACAGCTAAATATTAGCATAAATACATTTGTCAATTCTGAATCCCTTATTCAATGAGTCTTCTCTGCATTCTCTTTCCATTTCTTTCATTACGACTAGCTGTTATGCATTTTTTTCAACTTATGAGCAAAAATGGTCAAAAGAAGCCAATTAGGAACTGTCTGCGCGTTATGCACACCCTAATTCCCTACTTCCGCCTCAGGATAAACAACATCGATTGAACAATCATGGAAAAGGATCTTATACAAAGGGTTTACAACATTTACAATTGTCAGACTCATGATAAACGCTATAAACTGAGAAAACTTGCTTTCGACAAGTTCTAATTGAAAAATGGATAACTGTCAATGTCATTAACCCTTTATATTATATTATTTTCCATCGCTGGCCATAGACTGACACATTAAACCAGTATTGTTCATCCCCAGGTGAAAGAAGGGAATTAACGTGTTGCGTCTGCACACGGATTGGCTTATTCATTAGAGAGCAATAAAGTCAGAGAATACAAGTCTGCAATCATCAAAGCTTTCGAGTTCTCACTCAATAATAAAAAATAGTTAAGAAAAACTTGACATTACTTACTTATTTAATACAAGAGCATCACAGAGATTTGCCATAGCCCAAGCTGCTTTCATTCTAACATTAATACTAGAATCTTCCATACACATTAATACAGCATTAGCAGTATCTGCTACAAATGTTACCTCCTATAATCAAATATTATTAGAAATAAAATGAAGATTTATGTCTTGCTTAAACAACACCATTCAGTATACAATAAGGGAAACTTTGTCAGAACAGAAGAATGTGTCTACTCTTTTTCAATTTCCAATCTACATAGCATGCCCACAGGACCTTGTTTTTTTGCCTATTTAAATGGCTAGATGCTTCTTTCAATGTCAACTTCTTTGAAATGTAATTGTATCACATAAAGGAAAAAGCAAAGACTCAAGTTCAAAGGTCAACGATTTTTCATAAACTGTTTTACCTTTTTTAAAGAGGGGTAAAGAATGTAAACACCAAGAGTTCTTACAGCTGCTGATTTCACCAATTTATCATCATCATTAGTTAATCCCAATATCATGGTTATACACATGATACGTTTATCAAACTAGAAAAAATATAAACAATCATCATCATTAGTTAATCCTAATACCATAGTTATACACATGATACGTTTATCAAACTAGAAAAATATAAACAATCATCATCATTAGTTAATCCTAATATCATAGTTATACACCTGATACGTTTATCAAACTAGAAAAATATAAACAATCATCATCATTAGTTAATCCTAAAATCATAGATATACATGATACGTTTATCAACCTAGAAAAATATAAACAATCATCATCATTAGTTAATCCTAATACCATAGTTATACACATGATACGTTTATCAAACTAGAAAAATATAAACAATCATCATCATTAGTTAATCCTAATATCATAGTTATACACATGATACGTTTATCAAACTAGAAAAATATAAACAATCATCATCATTAGTTAATCCTAATACCATAGTTATACACATGATACCTTTATCAAACTAGAAAAATATAAACAATCATCATCATTAGTTAATCCTAATATCATAGTTATACACATGATATGTTTATCAAACTAGAAAAATATAAACAATCATCATCATTAGTTAATCCCAATATCATAGTTATACACATGATACGTTTATCAACCTAGAAAAATATAAACAATCACCATCATTAGTTAATCCCAATATCATAGTTATACACATGATACGTTTATCAAACTAGCAAAATATAAACAATCATCATCATTAGTTAATCCAAATATCATAGTTATACACATGATACTTTTATCAAACTAGAAAAATATAAACAATCATCATCATTAGTTAATCCAAATATCATAGTTATACATGATACGTTTATTAACCTAGAAAAATATAAACAATCATCATCATTAGTTAATCCAAATATCATAGTTATACACCTGATACATTTATCAAACTAGAAAAATATAAACAATCATCATCATTAGTTAATCCTAATATCATAGTTATACACATGATACATTTATCAACCTAGAAAAATATAAACAATCATCATCATTAGTTAATCCAAATATCATAGTTATACACCTGATACATTTATCAACCTAGAAAAATATAAACAATCATCATCATTAGTTAATCCTAATATCATAGTTATACACCTGATACATTTATCAAACTAGAAAAATATAAACAATCATCATCATTAGTTAATCCTAATATCATAGTTATACACATGATACATTTATCAACCTAGAAAAATATAAACAATCATCATCATTAGTTAATCCAAATATCATAGTTATACACCTGATACATTTATCAACCTAGAAAAATATAAACAATCATCATCATTAGTTAATCCTAATATCATAGTTATACACCTGATACATTTATCAAACTAGAAAAATATAAACAATCATCATCATTAGTTAATCCTAATATCATAGTTATACACATGATACATTTATCAAACTAGAAAAATATAAACAATCACCATCATTAGTTAATCCTAATATCATAGTTATACACATGATACATTTATTAACCTAGAAAAATATAAACAATCATCATCATTAGTTAATCCTAATATCATAGTTATACAATGATACATTTATCAACCTAGAAAAATATAAACAATCATCATCATTAGTTAATCCAAAATGAAGTTATATAGAATATTTAAAGTAAATACTTACCGGTAATTGTTGAAATATCTCCATACCAATATTAGATATACAATCACAAGCATTGGCCCTGACAGGATTATTACCTTCACATTGTAATATAGCTGGTACAGGACCATTTAAAAACGACATCCAAAATTCTAATAACTGTAATAAACCAAAATTTATATCAATATCTATGCTCAATAGAAGTGGTTGCTGCATAAATGCTAGACTTTTCAACCTGCATCACTGACAAAGGTACTATCTCCACCTGTTATCGACCCAGGACCCATGAGTGAAATATCTATCAATTTTCAAACCTTTTGTTCAGTAATGGCTTCTGGTCCACCAGTAGAAGAGTTCTGATAATCTTGTAACATAACTTGACTAAGTTCATCTAATAATTTAGTACCATGTAGTTTAACAACAGAGTCAGAATCGGCTAGGCATTTTAATATCAAATCTTGTAATAAAACATAAGTTTTCCTAAAAAATCAATTGTCAATAACACTTATAAATATTTCATACTTATGTCATATTGAAAATACTTCAAAAGATTCAAATGTTTCCTTCATATCGTGACCGTGGGTTCTTATCTCTGTCAGAGTGTAGCGTCTTGTGACTTTGCATAGATCATCTTTCCACATTATTCCAATCAACACAGGTGGAAATGGAAAAGATCAATGTCAAGAGGTTTGGCAAAGACGAAAAAGAGATCCTCAGATAGCATTTCTTCTAACCTTTCTTTCTTCAATTGTAATTAAAATAAACATACCTAATAATGGGAAAGTAGCCTTTAGTTAAATTTGCCAGAACTTGTAGTGATTCTAATCTGACTGGAATTGGTTCATACACCATTACAGGTACTTCAGGCTGAGATTTCTCCCATGGTGGAGCAAAATCATTGATTTGTCTAGCAGCTGGTTGTTCAGCTTTCTGTGACAACACATTTTTTATGCATAATTTAATGACCCAAGAGGTATCTTGAGCATAATTCTGCAGTGTCTGATCTGTAAAGACTGGTGTTTGTGTTCCTGGTGAGGCAGCTAAGACAGGTGTTCCACAATCAGATGAGACCTGACCATTTTTAGTATGACTAGATGCTTGTGACATATTATTTAGACTGTTGAAACCAGAATCACTTGTTGTTGTCGTCTGATCTTCACTGATTGAATTACGACTAGAGTTATCTGCACTTTGATGTATTCTTGTACCAACAGGTGGCCTAGATGGTTGAATGATGTGACAAATTTCCAATAATGGAGGTTGTATACTGGCTATTGCACCTAAACATGTTAAACAAGCCACTCTCACATTAGGATCTGAAAAGAAAAATCACTGTTTCAAACTTTTGTAGACAAGCCTTTGTACATAATTTCATACATCTTAACACAGCAAGTGCAAATCCGATAATCTTTAAATAAGCCATCTTTCCTTATTATTCTAGTCAAAACTTGACAGCCATCAACTACTCTAAGAAATTTTTTCTGAGTGAGTAAAAAGAATACCTACCTCTATGATTAAGAAAATGTCTGATCTGTTTAACAGTACGACTTAATAATCCTGGCTGTAATCTATGGTAAGGTGTATTACTTAATAACATACCAATACACTGTAAATAATTATTATTAAATGATTCATTACATAGGGCTTTAAATCTAAGATCATTAAATATATCTTTAAGGGTCTTTAGTTGGCGGAGAGAGCACTGAGACGTAACGCTAGCTGTCAGTCAAAATGTCACATGATTGTGAAATTCATAACAATTAAGTGAGCCAATGAAAATTTTGCCAAACGATTTAGATCGGATGTTGGTTAGGTTCTTAAGACATGTAGAGTACTAAAATTCATGAGCTAAATGCTATTGCAAAATTGCCAGATAGTATTATTTAACAATTTCTTACAACTTTTGAAATGGTTGAATTTGAATTGTTGATTTAATAAAAGTTACCTTAATTAATTGTGTCAAAGTAAGAGGAAAGTTTTCAGCTACCAATGCTAATAATAAACATCTATGTAATTCTTTTATCATTGAACCCAATACAGTAGAAAATGAAGTGAAAGCTGCTTTTGTTGTTTGACTGTAAATAAATACGCAAAATAAAATGTACATTTGATCATTCAATATTTCTGTGATAGGGCACATATAAATATGAAATTTGGATGAAATTTAGTTGAAATTTGGATGAAATTAAGTTAAAATTTAGAAACACTCTTCATCAAGCCTGTACAGATACATAATAAAATTCCTCAATGGTAATATTCTGTTTTCAAAACAATTAAAATTTGGTTCCATATATAGTAGCTCATAATAGAAAAGAGGCAGTTCCAAAACTCACCAATCTTCAGCAGCAGCTAAATATGGTTTACTACCATCTATCATAGCTGTTAATGTGGCCAGAGCTCCCATTCTACACTGAAATATTCAACATGATAATAGATAAGACCGACAGTCTTACAAACCTAATTACTTAATGCATTTGAAGAATCAAGCTGGATTATCATGTGTCCACAATTAAGTGATGTAGCCTTAGCTTCCTCAAAACCAGAAGAACATGAAGTGTTTCTTCCTTTTCATCTGCTCTAATTAGGCTGTTGAAGATGTGCAACACCGATTAGAGAGCAATGCAATAAGTATTATTTTATTCTTTAAAAAGAAACAGGCATATTTTAGCTAAGCCAATTAGTGTTCACAGCCCACTGTCGAAATTTGAGTCTTCAAATCCATGTGTGTCTAGAATTATCCGTGTTCAAATATCAAAATGATGACTCGTCATTTTAAGATACTCTGTGATATGTATATACCTGTTCTTCTGTCTATCTTACAGTCAAATCAACCCTCAAAATGGGGCACCTGACCCTCAAAATCAAAATTATTCCATTCTGATATGAACAATATTCATTGGTTTCGGCTCTCACCATGATAGACAGTAAAAATGTTTACCTTAGGGGCAGGATCTTTAAGAATAGTAGTAAACAATGTTTGTGATTGAGTAGAATTGGTACCAGAAATAACGTCGGGTATAAAAGACGACCAATAACCAAATATTATCTTTTTATCACCATTCTAAAATATATATACTAGTTGAAATAGTACTTAATTCATGACAACTGCTCAAATTTGGGAAATCTGGTTTGATGCAGGGGAACTACACTACATTATAATGTAAATACCTACAAGCTCATCAAATGTATATGTACCATGTAAAATTCTCTTTTCCAATAGCTAGCAGATTGTGAAACAGTAACAGTGAGCCTTGATGGACTGACAATTTCAAAATGGACTTCAATATGAACTGAAAACTAAAATTGAACAGTAATAGCTCCAAAATACAGACTAATATTTGAATGTTATAAGAATGTCAATTAAATTAGTAAAATGGCTATAACAAACCTTGATAACAGTGTGAAGACAGGTAAGAGCACATTGTCTCACTTTAATACAAGCTGACCGAACGCGAGAAGTTTGACCACCTTCTGTATCAGAATATTCAGAATCAGAACTATGAAATTTAGCCCATGATGGTCGTAGTTGGGATGACTCTTCTTCAGTGGAGGTTACTTTAATAGGTGCTTTATCTTCTGCTATTTCCTTTTGAGGTTCTTCGCTCTTTTCCTGCTTTTTCTTTTTTCCACGTTTTCCTCTAGACCTTGCAGGTTCTTTTGGTGTGTCTGCAGTCTTCTCTTCTTTTGGTTCTGGTCCTACAGGTGAGGATGTAGATTTTACAGGATTGGGATCATACTGACTCATGGGTGTTGGACACAGGCTTTCTGGAATAGATGATACCACTTGATTTCCTAATCCATGATGAATGTATGCCTAAAATGGATAATGGATATTATTTGAGACTGCATACAAAAAGCAAATTCCCATTATATTCAAAAGAGGTTTGATCTATAAGCCATAAGAAGATAATCACATACATGTGAATACAATTCGCCATCCGCTTGACCGATCGCACCTTAGTCTCAGAAAAGGCAATGTTTTTAGCTAAGATTATCAGCAAGTGTTCACAACTCACTGTCGAAATTTCAGCCTTCAAATCCATGTGTGTCCAGAATTGTCCATTTGAAGAATACATTCAGCTCTAGGACAAAAAGACTCTTTTTTGATGATTGGCTTTGTATCCAAAACATTTAACAGCATAAGATGCGTAATTGCCAAATCATAACTACAACTTACCCGAACAGCAGCTAATAATTTTCCTATATCATTATTAACAATTACTTTAGAGGTCAATAATATATTATGAAGACCTCTGAGTGTACTTATAATGACCTAGAAATAGAAATCATGTAATAGCTCAAACTTCACAAAATATTTGTCAAGAAAAACCTATAGAAGATCCTAGAAAATTCAAATAAAGTTGATTCCATAATTGAGACATAGCAAACTGCCTTACAAAAATATGAGGTGTATTGAAAGTTCTGCAAATGGAACGCAGATAAAACAAATGTAACAAACCTTATTTTGAATATTAGGATCCATTTTGATTTGAGGAATATTGTGTAAGATTTGAACAAATAAATCATAACATATTTTAATATATTCATCATCCATATAGTCTTCACCAGGCACTCTAAAACAGATTTAATAGATGACAAAATCATAGAGGACTCATAAGTTTATATTCGACATACTCTGATATGCAAAAAAAAGACAATAATACAATATCACAAATTTTACAAAACGCCACAAATTCACTCTTTAAACTAAGAATATTGAGGAACAATTCTTCCAAACAGACTTACTTGATGGTTAGATTTTCCAGACATTGAACTGTACCATTTAATATATCTTCATCTATATTAATATCAGTAGCAAATTGAGATAAAATACCTTGTTTTCCCAGTAATATCTCATAGAACTGTAAATAATAATACCGAGAAGTCAGAAAGAATAATCTAACTAAATGTAAGTTATGTTACAACATGATTCAAGTTCTGTTTTAATATTTCTTAGTTATGTTATATGTATATCATTAGTTAAAAATGTTAAATAAAAAAACAGTCAATAATAGTAATATTTAAAAAAAAAAGAAAAATTGGAAAGCAAATACTGGTAGTAGAGTTTCATGTAATTTATTATGGTTCTATTTTTTAAAATTATAGTGACAATGACATCAGCTGGGTTGGCTTTTTGATGCTCTGGACCTATTGATAAATTTTTGATTAATAATGAAAATGATATTGAATCATATGATTGCAGACAGTTATACTTGGAATGGAAAGTTCTCTACAAAAAATCACATCAGATAGAAAACCCAAAAAAAGGACATACAAAAACACCAAGCTTTCTTGAGAACAGATAAAATCTAAAGAAGAATAAGAGTCTAAATAGTTACCTTGCTAACTTTTGATCCACTGAGAAAAAGAATGGCAGTGAGGGCATGCAGAATATCAGAATGGGTCCATGTTGGACATCTCTGTAAAGCTGTTACTAGAAACTGTACAGCGATCTCTACATTATACTCATACAGAATAATCTGTAAAACAAAAATTACTCAAATGACATTGTTACAAAGGGTTTGCAATTTCCTGAGTGATACTATGCAAATAAAGTAATTTTGAAACCCTGGAAAACAAGGACTGGTGATCTTCATTTTTAATTAGTGCAGCAAGTCCAATGGCTTCAAATTAGAACTTCAATTGTGAAAGATTTTCACACACTTCAATACGAATTAAGTATCTTTTATTCTTTATTATAAAGTTAATTTTGTAATTAAAAAAATAATCAAAGACAATTTCTATATATGAAGCCACTTACATGTTGACGAACAGAAAAATTTACAATGGCTTGGCATGTCTTGGTTAACATACGTTCTTGATGAAAAGGAACTGTCTTACAGAGGTGAACTATAAGCCTGTTACCATCCTACAAAAAATTAAGTATTAAGTTAGATATCATTTCTTTGATGTAACATCGCAATCAAGAGTGCCTATTGTGCATGTTTAAGAACAATACCTGTTAAACCATCACTTTAAGGTGAGGTGTGGAAAATCCACATTTAACAGGGTCTTTTTCTTCTGACTCTACTCCAGCTAATATCATACTCATAGGCCTCAAGAGTTCTCTAATTCTAGCAATCAAAAATAAAACATGACTCAGACTCAGAGAACTAAAAGTAAAAGAAACAAACCTCTCTTGATACAATTTCTTGTGAATAATCTATAGAATTGAGCTCATCTAATAAAACATTAAGATTTGTTCTACTAGAGTCATCCTCTCTGTACAGATACGTTCCTAAAGATCTAAAACAGCGTTGATATTTCTCTCTGTCACAGAAACTGTCTCCTTCGGCAGCCATGCTGAAACAAATATTTTTAAGGGACCAGTCGGTAAAACGTAATTCAATTTATGGAAATTAAGAACAAAGACATTTTTATTGTGGAATTTCTAAATCATAGTATTCATACGAAAATAAACAACAATAGACATCATATATGAATAAGTAATTCTAGTATCTTCATTGATTTATTAATATCATATTCAAAAGTCAGTTCAAACAATTAATACTCCCAAGATGGCTGCGCCCATATGCAGACGAAATTTTTCTGTTTTTCTTCGACTATTTGGAAATATTCCTAATAAATACAGTATTTCAAATACAAAATCTTTCTGCAAATGTACTACAGTGTGCTCAGAATATAAATCGGAGACACATTTTGGGTATCAAACAGTTCCTGAAGATGAAAAGGAAGAAAAGGGTAAGGCGAAATTTGAATGGTGTCACAGTTTTGCCAATCACAAACTTTCACTATGCTTTTCATATTTATAGACCTGGGTTGTCATTAATGAATGAATATTTTCAGATGATTGTTACATGTCTGAAGTCATCTTAACCTTATTTTTTTAATGTATGCCATGTAAGGTGCAAGAGAACCAAGGTCAAGGAAGAAAATAGGCCTTGTAAATGTAATTATTTACCAATCATTGCATTTTCAGTTTTAGTTTTTTTTTTTTAGACACTTTTCAATATGACAATCTGACTTTGGCCTGCATGCTGCCATTTATTGAAAGCAATTGCAATTGTAACCTATTTGTATGTTTTATTTTGAATTCAGTTCAGAAAAATCAGTTGAAAATCAGCACAATAAACTTGTGGATGCAACTGTATTTTTTACAATAATAGCCTGTAAAAGCTTTTGACAGTTCTGTTGCAACAGCATATATTTATCATTTTAGTATATGAAGTGTTTGAAAATGTAGCCAGTAAATATGATTTAATGAATGATGCAATGAGTGCAGGTGTACATAGACTGTGGAAAGACCATTTCATTCACAGAATGGCTCCAGTAAAGGGAACCAGCCTCATAGATGTGGCTGGAGGAACAGGTATGTGACCTAATTATATACCAGTTTTGAAAATGTAAATATTGATTTAATTGCAAATAAGTGACTCCAAAGTGACTAATGAGGAACTAGTATTATTCCTTTTCCTTAAATTGGAATTTTACATTTATTACAACACCTCCAGTTTTGGTTTTTGAAAGCTTAATGTTAACTCTATGTTCCTTGCAGGTGATATTGCCTTTAGATTTTTAAAGTACATTAAAAATGCAGAAGATAATGATATGGATTCAGATTATGATATAAAATCTACTCCTGAATATCAGAATTTAACAGAATGTGATAACAGTTCTATTAATCAACAGATTAAACCACTAGTTACTGTCTGTGATATCAACCAGGCTATGTTAGATGTTGGAAAATCTCGGTCAGAAAGTCTTGGTTATTTATCAGGTACATTTCTTAGTTTTCGGTTTTTCTCATTATGTGCTGAAGCTCTTGGTAGTTTGTAAGTCTTGGTTATTTCTCATTATGTGCTGAATCTTGATTATTTCTCAGTCTGTGCTGAATATTTTCCAATGTCTTGGTTATTTTCCACTATTTTAAGCTTTGGTTATTAATTAGCTATGTGCTGTCTATGTCTTAGTTATATCAGGAATGCACTAAAAAACTCGATTATTTCTTGATTTTATGAAAATTTACATGAATTTTTTTGCTCCTACAATAACTGTTTTATTTTCAGATGTAAATTTTATAAAAGGTAATGCAGAGTGTCTACCCATAGAAAATGATCAATTTGATGTTTTTACAATAGCTTACGGTATTAGAAACTGTACTCATATAGACAAGGTTTGTTTCAAATTCTATTTTGATGTTTACAGAACCAAGAATGTTGGCTTACTTGGGTCCTCATTTGCACACTTAGAAATATGTTAAAAGATCCGTTCTTCTTGGAAAATTGTTCTTCATTTAATTTCATTTTCCAAAGCCAAATTCTTTTCTAAAGCCAAATTCTTTTCTAAAGCCAAATTCTTTTCTAAAGCCAAATTCAATGCAGAAAGAGATAAGCTTATCCTTTCATTTACAAACAAACAGATATGAATATTTTGAATTTTTAAATAATAAGCTTACCTTATTTTATACTGTTCTCCAAACATAATGTGTAGCCAAGTGCTAACAGTTAATTGGTGAATCCAAAGAGCAAAACAAACTCTTTTCGGATCATTGACTTTGTGGAGATTAAGAAGATTTAGCTAATCTCAATATATTAAATACAATAATTATAAGTTATAATCTGATCATGATGAATCTTGTTTGTATGTGTCAATCATACTTGTTTGGTTTTCATAGTTTTTGATGATATCTGTCTTTGCACAATCTTTTGGTAAATTAAAATGTACAGAATTTTTTTTCGAGGCAAATTTGAATATTAGCTGCAAAACAGCCCCGCTCATGGAATGAATTTGCATTGATAAAATAAGACTCTTTGAAGTTTACCATGAATAGAACAAGATTGGTCTCATATAGAAAAAAGTCTGTAATTTGTGACCAATACATACCCTAAATGATATTGAGTATGTATAATTTGTGTTTTCAAGGTGATACAAGAAGCCTATAGAGTATTAAAACCTGGTGGTAGATTTATGTGTTTAGAATTTAGTGATGTTAAAAATCCCATTATTCGTCAGTAAGTTTGATTAAGTATAATAAACGTTCACATGTATCCCTTAAAGCTTTCAATAATTGTGTGGAATACAGAGTTCGACCTGTAACACTTTTAAATTCATAATTGTCTTAAAATGGAGCTTGTTGCAGGATTAGAGACAACAAAGAGGGGACTATTTCATTTTAAAGGAAAACATTAACTTGTCTTTCATTTACATTAGTTTTTACAATTTTTAACTTTTTTCAAATGTTACTACAACTAACATTATGTTTTTTAGATTGTATGATAGCTACTCCTTCCAAGTAATTCCAGTAATGGGTCAGGTTTTAGCTAGTGATTGGAAATCTTATCAGTATTTAGTAGAGAGTATTCGACAGTTTCCTAATCAAGTATGTCTACATATTGATAACTTACTTCGAATTTTGTCCACAGAATGGACATCATGAATTTTAGCTACCTAAAGGGTTAGGTCTCTTTAAATACAATAATGTGTAAAAAATAATTGAAGATCTATTGGATCATTCTTCCATGAAACCTATGCAATAGTCTATTGAGTTGGAATCTCTACACAATGTTATTTGATTGGTTACATCAAATAATGATGGTCCTGGGTTCAAATTTTGGTTGGCATGTGGAAGTCCGTGCCCTTATCAGAGTTTCACCTATTTGAAGGATGGATCTGCCTTGTCAGTCTTTTAATAATCACCTTGTTACCAATAGTTTTTCCTTTTCAGGAGGACTTTAAACAAATGATAAAAGAAGCAGGCTTCAAAATGGTGAAATATGAAAACTTAACTTTTGGTGTGTCTGCAATTCATTCAGGATTTAAATTATGATACTGTTCATGCTTGATGCTTCAGCATAGAAAATTGTGATACAAAGCTTTGAACATGCCAATGCAACTTCTGTCTCGGGTATTAATGAAGCATAGATTACTGATTAAAGTTGGGTGTTTTGGGGGGTTTGCTGTAGAACAAGTCAGACAAGACTGGACAATTTAATTTACCAACATATTGACTAAAAAATAAAATGGAGAGATATTTGTGTTTTTTTTTTGTTGACCATTATTGTCATTGCCCCAGTCCATCAACATTTCTCATAAGCACAGTAATTAGAAGAGATTTCAATTTGATTGTTACCTCAGTGGGATCTTTCATGTTTTCTTCAGTTATGTCCCTTTTTCCTCATCAGTTACATCCATTGAACTTCTTTGAATTCTCATGGCGCGTTCCTATTTTTAGTGTGTATTGTGTATGTTGGGCAGCTATCACGAGTTTGGCGTCTGGCAGGGTATGCTTACTCTTCTAGACACTTAACACCACTTTTCATTATGAAATATTTACTCCCTTTTTTTTATTGAGTTCATTCACTGCTCCCAATATTTGGTCAATATGTTGTAACAGATTTTGGGTTTCGTTTTGCGGTTCGGATCGTTATTGATTATTTCCATATTACCTTCAATCTATTTCCTTTTTTGTCCCTTCCCATTATGTTAATTTCCGATTCGCTCCCTTTTCATTCCACCCCTCATACCCACTGTGTCCCTTCCCAATTTGCTCCTTATGTTTGTCAGTTTTCCAAGATAATTAACAGTGGGGACAGATACCGGTAATACTAATATATTATATTTCCTTGGTACCCATACAATTAGTTGCAATGCAAGAAAACTGGATATTAGTATCTGAAAAATTCATACATTTGACTATCTTTGAGGTTTGAACTATATTCTAAAAAGCATAGAGACAATACAGTAATTATATCTTAACTTTTAATTAAAGGAACATTTTTTGAATAGTCAGTATAAACAGAACATTATTGGTCAAAATTAAAAAAACAAAACAAGAAAAAAACAGTCTTTGGTCGTGATATATATTAATATCAGTAGGTAATTTTTTTTTCTGTTTGATCAACAACTTCTATCCACATTCCTGTTCAACCAGATTTAAACAGCAAAATGGCCACTTGTCCCAAATAAAAATAAATGAAATGCTTGGTTTCATGGGTCACATAGCTTCCAAAGTTACGTCCTACAATACAATGCCATGTTGGATTGTATTTTTTATCAAATTCTTTCTTAATGTAAGCAGCAATGTCTTTTTCGATGTTGAATTTTTCTAATGCTGTTGTAGCACATTCAATCGATTCTGACTGCATGTCTTCTGCCATGTCAGCATTTTTGATAACTGCTTTTCTCTCAGTCATCCTGAAAAGACAAGTTTGTTTAACATTAAGTGAAATTAAAATTAAATAAATCAAGAAACTATTTCAAAGAGCAAACTGTATTTAGTGTCAAATCAAACCAAGCCAAGATTTTCAGAATGTCATCATCATTAAGGAGGCAGATATCACAGAGAAACAATATCTACTCTCTGGCTAGATTGAGCCCTGAATTGAATTTCTCTCTCATTTCATAAAAATTGAAAATAAAATTTTCAATTGTATGCCATTTGTCCTAGACAAGTCTTCATCTTCGGGTTCATAGAAATATAAGGTTCAGTGATTTTAAATGGATAACCTACACTTCTCTTCGAGAAAATTCACTTCAAATTGACCTACTTTTCAGACTGACAATCCCCCTCTGTAAAACCATGTTTACAAATATGAACTTTTCCAATGGTTAACATTTTCATCAATCAAAAGACAATCTTTAGTATTTAAGTTTAATTAAGACTCTCAGTAGTATTTTGTAATTGATATTTCAATTCATATGAAAATGATTGCCAAATTTCAAATCAGAAATCATTGAAGCCAGAAAGTAGCTCACTAGAACTAGATCTTGATAGATTCTATGGAAAATGATAATCATAAGTCCATTTTAATTTTGATGGCCTAACGCGAAACATCCAATAAATTCTCTCTTTCATTGATCTATGCTGTGATATTTTGTTCATTGATTAGATTAAGTTATAGGGGCACAAAAAATGCCATTTTGTAAACATTATGTAGATCTACTAAAACGAATGAATAAAAGACTGCTACATCTACTCACCTGTCGTGTGAAATTTCAATACAAATTTATGACAATCTTAATCTTTGCTGTCTGTGGCTTCACCAGTCAACTCAGTCTGATTTGAAAGTGTCAAGTTGATCAGAACAAGACGATTCTTAAAGACGATTGGTCAGATCGGTTCGTTGCTATTGGTTGAATTCGTGCTTCTCTCAGTGGTTTATATCAAAATCCTGGAGTCGTTTCTTTTCACAGCCGATTATACCACTATCCTATGGTTACAAGCTCCACATAACTCTATGGTAACAAACAGCGTGGATACCGATATTTATTAATATTTACATTTCTACTATCACTCCCTTCAATAAACCAGTTAGCCAAACCGGCGTCAGCTGATAGCGTAGTGCTTCATTTTAGGAGTCGACAGCACTTTAAGAACGAAACTTGTCTGGATTTTTTCTGCACCTTAGGTTGCGAGCACACGAACAGTCTTGATCGTCGATTTTTGTTGTAGACCCCAATCTTGAGTAAAAATAAAATAAAGATTATCGGGTTACCGACAGGATTGTAGAATCAAACAAGTTTGATATTTGTGGCCGATTATTTTATCATCTGCAATATACATTACAAATATCTTGTCGTTAATTATAGAACGCCAATTAAACATGTTTTAAACGGTTTACGTAAACGTGAGTATCGACATCGTTGTTTTTTGGTTGTTGTTCGAAAACCCTTTAGCAGAATATGCAATGTTTTTGATAATAATATTTTGAAATATAGCTCTGATTAATTTTGTCAAGCCGTCATCATTAGCCCACATGGCGCAGAAATGTAGGACGTAAAACTCCATTCATTTCGTTTCATCAGATTTGTCCAAGTTCTTCGAATGCGCCCATAGAGACGATAGAGGCAATATTTATAAGGCCCAATTAGAATAAAATAAATTTTTGAGGAACGATCTAGGCCTACCATTTTATCAGTAATGAATTCTTAGAACTGTCTTCAATATAAAACATATTTGTACCATAAATACACAAATGATTACTAGGTGCATATTGCAAAGAAGTGTTAGATTGAGATTGAGATTGAGATTTAAAAATCCCAATAAAAGCACTTGCCTAGGTTACAAAACAGAGATAACTTTTGATTATCATAAGGTGTTTTTTTTTTTTTAAGTAAAAGCTAACTTGTGACCTTTGTCTAAAGATAACCATCCAGCCCGTGCCTACTAGATGAGGTTGTTTTAGGTGTTTAGTCAGCTTTCTTTTCTAAATCTGGCAACGCAGTAAATATATACCATAATGCACCGGGCTTCAGATTAATTTGCAGTTAATTTATGCGTGAAAAGTAGATTACTTTTGAGTTTGGAGAAAGAAGTTACCACGCTAAATTATTTACTCGCAAATATATCGATACAATAAAAAATGTCTTATAGTACAAGACCACAAAATGATAACAGAATATATGTTGGTAATCTACCACCAGACATCCGAAACAAAGACATCGAAGACTTATTTTACAAGTTTGGAAGAATCAACTACATTGACCTAAAAAACAAACGTGGACCTCCTTTCGCCTTTGTTCAGTTTGAAGATCCACGGTTAGTATTTGATGCAATGGTCACTATCAGATGTATTTCTATTAACAAACTATGCTGTCTATAAATAAATATTAAATAATGATAAATCTAGCCTAAATGATATTGCTCAAGGAAAGGTCACAAAATAATCAAACAACACAATCAGTGTAATTGAAACTTTAAATAGGTCACGTCATTATCTACATGGGAAGCTCTTCTTATTTTATAACAGACATGCAATGATCATAGTGTTCAAGCTTTCAATCAAATTTAAGATGAAAAATGAAAATGTAAATTTCTATTTTCAGTGATGCTGAAGATGCTGTCCACCATCGTGATAGTTATGATTATGATGGCTATACATTGAGAGTCGAGTTTCCTAGAGGACCAAATGCTGAAGGTGGTAGTAGTTCTGGCGGTGGAGGAAGAGGATCATATGATAGCTATGGTAGTGGTGGAGGTGGGGGTTATTCTGGTAGAGGAGGTGGTCGAGGAGGATTCAACAGTCGTAGTGAAAGAGGTGGATTTGGTGGTGCAACAGGCGGTGGAAGAGGACGAGGTGGTCCTCCATCAAGACGTTCTGAATACAGAGTACTTGTATCTGGTATGTATTGGACTCGACATTAGCTCAAAATAGGTTAAGGATGGCATCTCTTGTGTTCAAACTTATCATTTTATAAAGTCACATGTAATCAGTTGTGGAATGGATGGAATTACATGATGGATATGAATCTAATCCTGCAAGATTATGTCCTCTATTTTTTTTAAAAAGGGGTATTAGGGGTTGTTAATCTACAAATGATTATGTTATGTACTAGGGTTACCACCATCTGGAAGTTGGCAGGATCTAAAGGATCACATGAGAGAAGCTGGTGATGTTTGTTATGCTGATGTATTTAAAGATGGTACTGGTGTTGTTGAGTTTCTGCGCAAGGAAGACATGAAATATGCTGTTAGGAAATTAGACGATTCCAAGTTTAGATCACATGAGGTATGCTTCCAATAATGTGCAATTCCATTGGTTTGGATTCTGAATGGGTTTGGTGAGTCTTATCATTATAAGATTTAAATCAAGCAGATGGCTTATCAAGACAGAGTAATGTATGGTGTTTTGTCCCACTTTCCTGCAACAGATTGGGCAAGACCATGCAGAGAGAAATGAGGAATGACCTGGAATCACAATTCTTAAATGATACTCTCATGTTAACATTTGATTTGACTTGTAGGGAGAAGTATCATATATAAGAGTGAAAGAAGATTATAGAGGTGGAGGAGGGGGTGCTGGACCTGTTGGAGGTGGAGCAATACAGAGATCCAGAAGTAGAAGTTTCTCACCAAGAAATCAAAGAGGATCACCAAGATATTCACCAATGGCTAGATCACGCTCGCCCTATTAAGAGCTGTGAAAGATTTTTTTATTATATAACATACATTTTGTATAGGCATAACATAATTCATTATCATCTTTCAAAATTATAAGTTTCAGAGTGGGGTCGACAAGAATTGGGGTCAATTAAATGTAATTTATTAATGGGGCTCTTCTAGTTGTGAGGTATTATTTCATCCTAATTAATGTTATTTTTTTCTATTATTCAGTTGGACTTGCTGTATTAGTTATTTCTTGGAGGAATTTTGGAATGACCTGGGAGGCATGTTCACAGCTTTTCCCCTCTTTCAAAGGATCTCCAGGAATGGATCATGTCTCCAAGGAATGGGCTTGGTGGAATTCTTTCAATTCTTGGAATTTAGGAAGGATATCCGGCTCCTGGGATGCGTTTCATTGCAGCACTTCATAAATATTTTGGCTTATCATGCATATCAAAAGTCTGTATAATATGGATTCGTTTGGAATCCTGGAAATGTTGTCTGAAATTGTCAGGAATATTGATAACTAGGAATGCCTTTGTAAACATGTGGAGTAAGGAAATCATGAGCGAGGAGCATGCCCTTCATTTGGAAATTTCTTGTGGATTGTTGATCCAAGAAGGAAAGGGAAAGGAATTAAGGATCTTTATTTGTAAAGTCTTGATCTGGAGTTTGGAAGTAGGATGCACTCTCACTTTTAGGAAATGTTTAGCTTGGAGATATCAGGGGAAACAGGATTGGATTTAAGGATGTGAACAAATTGGAAATACAATTTGATTGGCTTTTTGATATTTTGGCTGTGCTTGATTTAAATTATTTGCTTGAATGATAGGAAACATGAGGTTTTTATATCTTGAATCTTCAAGAAAGGAATATTTATTGGCGAATTCTATCCAAATTTCCAAAATGTACGGATATCCAATTTTGTAGCACACATGGAGGATTGAATTTCAAGGCTTTATGGATCTTGACCACTGATCAAAGTGGATATCAAAATTTCTTGTATGAAATTCCTCAAAGGATGGATATTCTTCTAAAACCTGATGTCCATTTCTTATATGAAGGAAACTTTGAATGTGTAATTGGTATTGAACTCCTGTCTGTATAGTCAGACTACCTAAATTTTCACTTGTTGATTTCATTGGCATCATACCAAATTTCTGAAATATTTTAGGATACCCAAAGGATTGGAAAAGGAGGATCCCTTCCCCAAGGATGTGTCATTATTTGGATGGATGAGGGATTCTGGAAAATCTAGGAGGATAAGTGGGGAAATTATTTTCACATGTATGAGAAGGCTTACAAATTGTGGCATAAAATAAAATAGGACAGATTTGATTACTGAGCAATGACAGGATTTTTTGCATGTTGAAAGATATATGATTTGACAATTTGACCTGACTAAAAACTTGGGTATATTAATCCTAATTGTACATTAAAATGTAAGGATGTGACATGCAAAAGAGGATAATGTTTAACAATTTTATATATGTAATTAAAAAAAATATTCTTGCATACTATTTTCAAGAATTTAAATCTTGTCATGCCCATTTTCCTTTCTCTGTAACAAATGAATTGTGCCATTTAAATGTGAACTTTGCGATGTTGGATTTGGGAGACAATATTTTAAGACAGAAAAGGACCAATATTTTCCATGGATCATTCCTAATGAATTATTAAATTATATATCAGGAGTCTAGATAAGAACTCTCGTTAGGATTTGAATATTGAACTTGCTAAGAATCTCTGTTGGTATATTGGACCTTTTACCATGCAAGGATTTGCTGCAAGGAAAATGTCAGGATCTCAAGGGATTGGTAAGTAGAATATTCAAGTAGTGCTAAATCAAAATTAAAAGTATGTATTGGTCCTTTTCCATATTTTAATCATTTAATTCATTTGACTTTCATTTTATTATCATTTCATCTTAATTAAATAAAACAAATCTTTTTAAATTGTGTTATCTTTGTTTGATGAAAACTGTTTCGGATGAGATGTTGCCATTTTTATTGTGGTTTTCCAGCTGGAACTTGAGAGAGGTTAAACTTCCAATGACTTGTTCATTTGTTCTTCAATGAAAGATCAAAGGGAAACATTTAATCTCATGGGGCTTGGGGCAGTAATGCAGCAGTGGTGATCTACACTAACAACAAATTCTTTATTGAATTTTTCACTATTATCCTATAGAAGGGTTGATCATTTTGTATTTGAAATAAACATGCTTCCCTCGAAATTTCCTATGAAAAGAACCCTTCTCGGAACTGAAAAAGGTCAAATGCGATCTGTTTATAGACGTAAAATTAACTTATAACTTAAAGTGATCTTCTGTTTGCTAATGGATAAGGTTATTTATGCAAATACAAAGGCAATCACTATGAGACTACTGCAAGGGTGAGAAAAGATCATTATCACTATGGGACTCCAAACAATTGCAGTGGCGAAAAAAAATCATTATCACTCTGGAACCCCAAACTATTGCAAAGGTTATGATTTTGAAAGGGAAATAATTCTGTAATTTAAAAAGAAATATATAATTTCTAGGAGCCTGATCTTTCCAATAAAAAAAGGTTTATTCAAAATCCACATCTAGCAGGTATTCTATATAAATATAATAATAATGAAGATTGTAAAATTCTTAGTTTTACTGCTTCACTAGCAATTGTGACAATACACAATGATATTAGAATTGTCAAAAACAAAGCTCTTCAGGAATTTTTTCCCAGGCCAATGTTTTTATTGGCCCAATGGATGCTGAAAATTGGAACACAATACTTCTTTTACAGTGGAATTAACAGTTTCAATGTTAGCCACAAACCAGTATAGATCCTTGTAAATTTTAATCCTTGGAGAATGTTTGTTGTGAATTTTAGAACAAAACTGCCACATATTTTCAAGCTTCTTGCATGATCCAAATGGAAAATTGCTTTTTTGACATTAAGTTCGTTCTCTAGACTTCAAACAACTTTATCCTTTATCAGTGGATTTCAATGGTATATTACCTGTAAGAGAAATAATAGTAAATAACACAAATAAATTTCTACATTATTACATATTTCTATAATATTAATATTTTATATTACCAAAAACAAAGAATACTTAAAGAAACATGTTGGGAGACCTTGAATATACAGTATGTAAAAAGTCTTTATCCTCTAAGGATTTACCAAAATGTAATGACCAAGAGAACAGATTTTGGCTGGTTAAGACATCATTTTAATCTAATAAACCTGCAATTTTATTTTTAAATTATAGCAAATTATTTTAGGCTTTTTGTTGTAAGATTTAAGTATTTGTACCTGGTGGTGCAACAAAATAATCTTCTTCTACTTTGGCTGCATTTTTTAACACATCTTTTTTACAATTTCCATCATTCATTTCATCAACTCTTAGATATAATGGCCTAAATGATGTAAAGAAAAATCAAACTTGAAATTTTTTGTAATCACTAATCACTATAATAATGATGGTAAGGGCACCTTCACCTTGTTATGGTATAATAAACTTTAAATGTTAAATACTTTGACATCACGGAGTCTAGCAAATATCTTTCAGGTCAAACTTAAATATAGTTTGTACGAATTTCACTGAAAAAGATATTCTTACATAGTTTCAAGAACTGTATCCAGTGGTTTAACAGTTGACGTTTCTACCACATATAGACCGTTAGCTGATTCAATGGCTTCTGATAAACTTTTTATTCCTTCTTCATTATTCAATTCAACTAATCCTAATCTTTCTAACTGATCTACTTGCTTCTTTGTTATTTCTTTTACCTGAAAAAAGTTACAATTTCAATAAAGCATGTACAACATTTCAAAATAAAATTTTGAATAAATGCCTTCCAAGAAAACTTTAGAGGAATTACCAGTCAGAAAAATATAATTATTAACAACATAAAGATGAACCAATAATAAACCTGCCTTTTTTTTACAAAAAAGGACATGCTTACTTACTTGAGGAAACTTTGATTTATCATGAAGTTTCCAGGTAGGAGCTGGAGGTATCTGGAAAATTTTTTATACAATATAATATTGAATTAACTGCATTTTCCTGATCAATAAAAATGCGTACAAGCAAGACAATTCCGTTTTATGCCAAGCTTACTTTCCATGCAAAAGTCACACCCAAATTCTGGCTAAAATCCGTACCCTATTTATATGCAGTTGATTATGGCCATGCTATCAGTTTCATTGACATTAGGTCTATTTATAGGCCCTACTCTACTGCTATAGCTTTGAGATTGGCAGTTAAATGAAGATTTAATAAAAAGACATGCTATTATACAAATAAAGTATTACAGATTTATGAAGTTCCCTTCTATTTATCACAGCATTTGCTAATCTTGACGCTGTTACAGCATACTGTAAGTTCGAGAAAGGTTTCATCACAAACTCTGTTACTGAATTTTCTGGAACGAGTTATCCTCCTTGATTAATGTCGCGTATGAATTTCTTCTTAATCTTGGTTATGAAAATTTGTAATTGAAACATAAGACGATAAATTTATAGTACGTTATAAGACAAATACACTCTAAAACTATTTTTATATACGAAACTTCACAGTTTAGGCAAACTTCAATGAATCTTTCATAATAAAACAGAGAATTATTTACAGGAAGACGTAGTTGTTCAAACAGCAGCTGTTGTTAGGAACTTCCGGTAAGCACATTGACTAAATGTTTCTTTTTTCTATTATTTCGTAATATTTTCAGTACATATCTGTGTTAGCCTAATTCGACAGGGGTGCCTAGATATTGTATGTAGAAAATCTTGGAGATAGATTTGATTAGAGGTGCATTCGGTTTACTCTCTGGCCACATCAAGTTCTAAATCACATTTTGGCTATCACTTTAGTATGAATGGAAATATTAATCTCCAAATATTGCTGAGAGTCTTAGATTGTCTTTGGGTGGATGAAAATGCCAACTATTGAAAACAAAATTATTTGGAACTATGATTTTAGAGAGGGAGATTTTCAGTTCAAAATGTGTCATTTTCACATGAAATTTCTTGGAGAGAAATGTGTTCATTTCAAGATTTTAAAAACTTATATATTCATGGACCCAAATGCATTCTAAGACAATTGGCATACACTTGAAAATCATATTTTGAATATTTGTGACATGAGAGAAAAAAACTATTTAGAACTCAATGTGGCCAGAGAGTAGGTATTTCGGCATAAGACCTTTTCCGCATTGCCACGATAGTGTTTGTCCCTCTTTTCATGAGAAATTTCTGGACAGAACTACAAGTTTTTAAAGTAAAACTATCCAGTCTTATAATTTCATTGACTCACAACATAATTCTAAAGCAAATGGCATGTATAATTTTTTAATTTTGAAATTTTGCTGTGGCTTGAAACTAGTTGGAAGTAAAAAAAAACACTAACCAAACTTATTGAATTTCTTGTAGGCTATTTGATGGAAAATGGAGAGTATTGGAAGTGATTGTCTGGAATTAAAGTTGCAGTATGATAAATGTTTTAATAAATGGTTTGCTGAAAAATATTTAAAAGGAGTTCATCAAGATGAGTGTGCTCATTTATTCAAACCTTATCAAGACTGTGTCAAGGTAAAGAATTGTGATCTATTTACTAAATTAAGACTTGTCACTTTGAAAGTTACCAACATTGTCCAATGCAGACCTTTCGGGTATGACGTCATGGGTCATAACTGCCAGTGACCATATTAATAACAACCCAGAAGTGATGACTGTCTAACCTTCTATAGATTTATTAAAATTGCAGGTGAAACAGACATCAGATTTTAATTCTGCAAGTAAAGGAATCCTCGAAAGGGATCTCTTTGATGGGAACATAGCTTGATTCTGTTAAAAAATATTTTTTTAATCATTTCAGAAAGCTTTACAGGCTAAAGGTTTAGAAGAAGCTGTATTGCATAAAGATGTGTTAGGTACCGTGAATGAGAAACCCCCTCCCCCTAAGAGCTAATGTTTTGTGTCTGGGCCTTGTTTAGAAAGGAAGTGATATTTTAATATGAACTAAGATGGTTTTGTATTGTGCTTTTATGAAAGAGACCATGAAAATATTATGTAGTGAATTGTGATATATATGTAACATTTTAATATGGTAGGATATTAGTGACAAGGATGATGGATAAGTTATAATTCAGGACTGGAGATGTTTGGCTTCCAAAGCAAAATATTAATATAATTTAATATTAAATAATTTGCAGATTTTTTTAAAATTTAACATTTTGCATATTATATGTGAATGTAACATTTGTTAGAAGTAGATAATGCTTTATTTGAGCTTCTCAGAATGAAAATCTGAATGAATCTGAATCTGAATATTTAAGAAATCTTTTCTCCCCTATTGACTAATGCATTTAAAGAGTAATCATGGATCTTAAGCATTTGGATGTGGTCAACTCATTTTCATTAGTTACTATTTTGTAAGCTCAATATATCAAAGTTTCAAAACAATTGACAAGCCTTGTTTGTTCTTTTATTTTTTACAATAACAATAAAGTTTTACTTTTCTATAATTTTGTTAAACTTAAAAGGACAGTGATCTGCAAGGAAATTGCAGTAGGCCTTCTTTATAAATTAAAAGGTCAATCTCTATATTTCAATTGAAAATGGGTTTTTTGTCCAGAAGTACAGATATGAAAATATGACGGTTTTACCAATGACACAATGTAAATAATTCTGAATACCTCTGTAATATCTGCATGTTTACTAGACCCTTGAAGGTATACATCTTAATAGCATAAACAAAAAATTTAAACAGAAAATAGATCATATACACTTGAATTAAATTAGCTTTATAAATTAAAACATTTGCTTATATTTATATTTAATACTTCCCATACATGCCTAAAAAGTCAAAATGTCTGTAAATAGTCTAAAGTTCAAATTACACTTCTAATGGCGCCGTAACATTCTTTCTCTTTCATGTTTTTCTTCCACTTCTTCATCACTATGGTAACCATTCCTACCCCCAACTGTATATCCTCTTGTAGCCTGCATCAACTCTGCATCTGGTCCTTTATCTCTATGTTCATATAGCAAAATATTTAATGTTTCTTCATATATCCTAGCTTCAGGGAACTCAACCTTTAATAAAAAACAAAGCATAATAGAAAAACATTTTCTGAAGTAGTATTTCGACTTACCCAAATGATAATCTGATATGCAGTTAGAAGTTCATATGATAATTATTTCTATTATTCATATAAGCAATCCTTTAATTTTGAAAAGCAATGGCAAAAATGGCCAAGACTTTCTCTTTTTGGTTCCTGAGTTAGATCTAATCAAATGCATAAAGTCAAAACAAATTCATTCAAGAGTTTTTCACATCAGTTTTTAAAATAAAACAAAATTTCCATTAAAAGAAAATCAAGAGTTAAAGTGTCTTTCATGCAGAACTCTTAGATACATAAAAAGATAGTGAAACATTTTAACCCATGGAGAGGGGAGGGGGTATTTACCTTGGTGTGTTTTTTATCAGTACCATACACTATAGATGTACAACAAACTTCAGCTATTTTTTGTTTATGTCCAAAAAATGACCAGCAACAAATCTCATTACTTCCGATAACATCTTTAATAAACATAACTCTTGGGTTGAAGCGTAAAGATAATTTATCAAATAATTCCAAATTCTTCAATAAATTATCATCGGAATTACTGAAATGAAAATTGCAAACATTTCAAAGTTGAAAAATAAAAAATGAAAAAACATCTGAAATATTAATGTGATTATTCCCAGGAACAAATGTTGAGACTGGATAATTCCTGACAGGAAGGCAATTGCATTAAGGCAAGTGCCTCTTGTAAAAAAAATATAAAAAAAACAAGAATGAAAAATAAATTTTCTTTAAAAATTAAAAAATATATAAGCGTATGTGATATTTGCTTAGATCTGAAATCTACAAAAAGCGTTGCAGACGTTGAAAGATTACAAGTAATCTCTGACACCCAGACTATATCTATCTATGTCGAGAATATAGTCTGGGAGTTTTCATTGAATTTTCTGTTAGGACACTTTCAATGGAGAAAATAACAATAAAGCATATTTCAAAACAAATTTGCAACCCTTAACAGTTTTGTCAGTTAATATTAGATATTTTTATCCGCAGATGTTATATTTTTAGCGATTTTTCTAGCAAAATTCGAAGACATTGTAATAACAACTGATTTATTTTCATAAATTTTTGTCATCAGCAAAACTTACTTTGTATAGGAGTATTTATTGTTGTGCCGATTACAAATTAACTTCACAACAGGCTGGAAAGGAAAAAAGATATAAGATAAAAGGGATTATCTTTATTTTCAATACAACATTGGTTGCTCATTCTCATATCATACTCACGAGTTTCTTAGGTGTGGCCATAAAATAAATTAACAAACAAACCAAATATACAACAGTTTTGATTGGCCTGTTTGAAAATCAAGTGACATCAACCTTTATGAGACAAAGACGTACACGATGATATTCCCTCTTCTAGTTTATATATAAATCGTAGATGAAGCCATTAACAGGAGCTCCATAAACAAATTATCTACCTTGAAAGTACTGGAGACAAGTTGCTGTTCTTCTCTTGAAGAGGTTATCAATGGGACTTTACAAATAGGTTCTAATTCTTCTCTACTTTTAAGAGCAGCTTCAATTTGTGTTACTAAATCTGTGACTAGATAATACTTGGCTTCTTGCAGAAGCTCCATTAACTCTCTCCTAACTTCTGGTAATGGAACTGTACTGTCTCTTAGAAAATTTAAAATGGATCCAAAATGTTTTCCACATCTATCGATTAATATCCACCCTGAAAAAAAAAAAGAAACAGCAATAATCTTCAAGTCCCTATGACAACCTCTGGATGAATTGTGATCTACTCTTATATCTCTGGTTTTTTCCTTCTCCCAGTTCCATCAATGACAATGTATCGTGAATGAGTTTGGTAGTGAAAGTAAAATAAACTTTACAAATTTTTAGGAACTACTGTTGGGGGGCCATGGCCCAAAGATTACTGCCTACCACCATTGTATTTTTCGGTTTATAACTATCATATTTCAAGAGCAAAGACTTACCCTCTGAATCTGTCAAAACTTCCATCCGACCACTGAACATGGCTCTGAGCATTGTATCTTGTTTGGTCAAGGTGCCCAGTGTTGTGTAATGTAATGATCCACCAACATTTAGTTTCACATATTTTGATGAATTTCCTTTAATTACAGTTTTGTGGGAGTCACCGGACATTGTTAAATTTTCCTCTAGGTTTACTCTCAATGCAACAACTTGATCTTCGTCCAGTACAGCCAGTTGTTGCTGTACTATCACTATGTCTGACTTTTCACTTTCAGCAATTTCTTGCTGGGGAATCAACTTCCCCGCGGCAACTCCCAAAAACATACATACAGATCCAGAAAGGGTGGTTCTAAAAATACACAAACCGTCACAAAATTTACTATATTGGTGCCAAACTATGTTTCATTAGTCTAATAACCAGTCAAATGCATAATTTTCGTGTCAATTGAGTTTATTTTAAGCAATCTATATTTAGAAGCACTCTAGTGAAGAATGACGTCAGTATATGAGGATATGACGTCAACAGGTGCGCGAAGAAAAATATCTGAAAGACCAAAGTCAAATCGAACCATTTAGTCAAATTGACCACTGCTTTTGGTATGACCTCTTTCATATCACATTTGTATATTTTTTAAATCTTTTAATTTGATTAATGAAAATGAGACTCGAATCATCAGTCATCTCTGGCACATTATATCAACACACCCTTACCCCACCTCTGCAACTTTATTGTTGGGGCGATTTGACATTGTCATTGGTAAACAGAAGAAAAAAATGGATACGAAACGTAATCATATTTTCTTCTAAAACACAGATTACTATTCGATATAACAAATAATCTGATTAACAAAATGACGATTTTGATATACTTGAAATATTTTTTTTTCAAATGCGAAACTCTATTTTATAACTCCGCATGGTAACGACATACCACAACAACAATGGCCGACGAAGCTCTTGCGAATGCGGGTCTCCACTTTGATGAGTTGAATAAAATAAGAGTACTTGAACCGGAGGTTTCTCAACAAACTACAGAATTGAAGGAGGAATGTAAAGATTTTGTGGAAAGTAAGTTGTAAAAATCTGCTCTATAAATCGCATATTAAACAAGTTTTGAATTTTTTGAAGTGAACTTTTCTTAAATTCTAACTTCTTGTATTATGATATGATAAATAGACTAATACACAGAGTCCAATTTATAACCAGACCAAGCTAACAGAAGAAAAAAATCGGCTATTCATAAAGGCAATTTTCGACTTACCAGACTTTAAACAAGTTAGTGTTACATCAGCTGTAATTTGACTATGCAGACCACATATTTTTGGTTTTAGGCTACACAATAAAGAACTGTTCCAAACCCTAAACAAAAACCCTAAAGTCTACATTCCTCTGCCAGTGCGTTCGTAAAATAACTTAATTGCAATGTTGCAACCTTAAATTCCTAAAGCTAGCAAGATATAATTATGATTATCCCCTACCTTACCCATAACAAGTGATCTGATCTTAATGTAGATCGAAGATCAGGTAAATCATAGTTCAACATAACCAAGTTCACGGCTGCTGCAACAATAGTCACTTTCTTGCTGAGAGTTGTTTGATACCGATACAATTGAAAAGAGATAAAGACCTAGATTGCATATTTAAATTAATCTATTTCAGAAATTGGAGACTTTCAAAAGATAGTTGGTACATTTATTGGAGTTGTAGATAATGTCGCTAAGGAAGTTGAAAAAGAGAAAATGAAGGTATTTTTTTCGTTATTTTCTTTTCTAGCACACACATATTGAACAGTGATGCAAACTTTCAACCCTTGCAGACGGTTTGCCACATAATTAAGCAATATATACCTTAACGACTGGTTCTAAGTGACATCATACAACGTTAATGTCATAATATTACTTTGATTACACAGGTTATAAGACGTTTTATTTCATTTACACTCAGGGTTCAAAGGGTTAGAAGATTTTTTGTGTAAAACCATTGTATTTTTGCTTTGTTCCACAATTACCGGTAATGTAATTAATGTTTAAGGTTGTAGAATTTGTTTAAAGCTTGCTGACTCTTTGCAGCTTAAGTTTATGTTATGCTGATTCCAAATGCTGTTTTAATTCCAGGCCATTGGTGCTAGAAATTTGTTGAAATCTATAGCTAAACAAAGAGAAGCACATCAACAACAGTTACATGCTTTAATAATAGAAAAGAAAATGCAATTAGAAAGGTAGGCCTGAATTAGTGTTTAAAGACGTATTATAACCATCCAAGAAAAATTTGTAGACAGTAATCTTTAAAAATATGATTTAAAGGAACAGATTCACCATTCGTTAGACCAATTTACCTTAGTTTCTATCTCTAGTACATGGTTGTCTGTGTAATCCATTAATTAATTCTTCTGAAAGTCTGTTAGAGCGCATCTCATGACTCTCACTAGCCATTATAAATTTCATGACTCTCACGAGCCATTATAAATCTCATGACTCTCACAAGCCATAATAAATCTCATGACTCTCACAAGCCATAATAAATCTCACGACTCTCAAAATTTTTCTGTTTTTTTTTCAGATTACGGATACAACATGATGCATTAAATAAAGAAGAAAGTGAACAAAATGACTTTCTAGATCAGTTAATATTACAGAAATAGTTATTTGTTGTTGTTATATGGTTGGTCATCTGAAATAATCTGGATGTGCATTGTTGATTGACTATACCTGTTATTTATTAGAAAAATGTAAGCAGAACCTGAAACATGTTGTTACAGAGTTACACACTGTGTGATCTTCAGACTATACATGTTATTTATTTTGTATTTTCTTACAATTAGATTTAAATGCATATCTAGATGTTTTGGTTTTGTGTTTTTTCACCAGTTATTTCGCTCGTCATCCTCAAAAATTCTTCCTAAAAGTCATATGAAGTCAAATTTTGATCGAATAGTGACAAAACTTGATCTTGAACCATGAATATCCCAGAATTCCTCCTATGTTGGAAAAAATATTGGACAAAGCTTTTGATTTGCTAAATATTTAAATATCCTAGAACATGTTTTGGATGATTGGAGTCACCCACAGAAAAAATACAAAAGAAAACCATTTAGATGTGTGTTTTAATCAGATTATTTTCTTACCAATGGTGTACTCAAAAGACCAGTTTTGAATAAAAAAAAATATCAGATTATGGAAAAAAAATGATAAAATTTTGTGGCATAAAACATAACTCATGCTACTGATAGTCTTTAAATCCGAATGTATGATTATGACTTTAGAAAGAATTCTAAATAGGTATGATGTGATGTTATCATTTTCCGTCCCTTTTTTTTACTGTGATACTCTCATCATTCATTCATTTATTTATCTGTTGTCGTTAATTCTATTTAACACAGCTTTGAAATTTGGCTTATATAAATATTGCCTGTCAGTGAAGCATAGTAGGCCTAAATAGTCAATTTTGAACACGATTTTAGGGATTGCTCACATGAAGTTGATCAAATTCTTATTAACTATTTAATAAAGCACTTTCATCAGTAAGTACTGTTTTGATTTTGAAACCTGATGGAAGTAGAGTTTTTAAACTAAGGGTATTAAATATAATCATGAACAGACTAATCCTATCCATTATTGTTTTTCATAAATTTTAATTTAGTGTTCATTATGAAAATGGTTTGTTGTTAGGTTCAACTCTTTGATATGTAAACCAAACATGTTTCAGGAGTTATATATATTGATCAATAAAAACTGAAAAAATATTAAAGCACTTGTTCATATTTACAAAACAAACTATGATATTGACTATATAGAGGCTTGTGGATTGGCCCATATGAAAATCATATGACTTAATGAATTTTTACTACCTCAGTCGCTAATACAAAACAAATCCTCTTATTGCAAGGTATACGATTCCCAGCTTATAACTCAACAATCAAGGACTATATTCCATTTCATTTATTCAAAACTACATGGCAAATGATAGCAAAACAAATAGCATCGAATAATGTTTTTCTTCTTACATAATCTGTGTTATAACTAAACCGGTAATCATAATTCTGAAATAATATAAAAAATATTTTAGAGCTACTCTACATGGGAATCCGAAATATTGCACTATTTACGTCCAGATGCCGATCTACTTTTACGGTGATAACCCTCTTAGCACAGAGTATCAATATGTTGTTACGTCCATATTTTCAAGTAATTGGGGAAAGGATGCGTCATTTTTTTCATATAATGCCATACTTTAGGCTATCTGGAAATCCCCGATTAGAGCAATGTATCGGTTAGTGTTGGAGGGTGTTGGAGGGTTCTGGAAGATTGTGACCACAGAAAACTGGTTATAGTTTGATGGAGTAGCCAGTAGTGAACATGATGTACGACTTACCTAGAATTACCAAATTCCGTCAGATATAGGAGGGTCACTTTGTTGAATAGGAAGATCTGATTCCTCGTTTTCACTGTTTCTTTGTAGCATCTGGTTATTAAAAAATGGGTTGATCAACGTACCAAAACCCGGGATAAACCTTCTAATGGGAAATCCAAATCCAAAAGGAAAGCCTCCCATTCGTGGGTTAAACCCCCTAAACCATTGTGCTGATGAGATGGTTAATATACAAGCCAGAGTAATTGCAATAATTATTATCTTCATCATCTGAAATGAATGTTTGATAATGAATTAATAGGGCTGCAACTTGTCTGTTAATTTTTTTTGAACAAAGCCTTTGATTAGTTGAATATTTTGGTGACCTTGAGCATGTGCCGCCTAACGATTTCGTCAGATCATGAATGTCCGGTATGCAATTTTTTTTTTTTCAATCAGATATTCTTAATTTGAACAAGCGAATACCTGAAAGCTCCTAAAGACACATCTTCACAATGTCAAGTTATTAAGATTGGAGATTTTTGCCTACCTTGTAAAGTTGGTGGTATTGGTCTAGTTGAATAATTAAAGAATTCAATGTTTCAAACTCTTATATATATTAGCTCACATCTATATACGTCATCAATTTAATTAGTGTAGGTTATAATTTTAATTAGCCGTTGTCATATATTATCTAATGATGTATAATCCGACATATTTGTTAATTATAATCCGCATTTGGATGTGGGTGGGGTCAACATTTGACCTTTCAACAATATAATATCGAGGCAAACATTTGCGAAAATAATAATTTTATATCTATTAAATCACAATGTTTTTTTTTGTGTTGATTCTAATGGGTTTTTTTTTTTTGGCAGATTTGACTTGAAGAAGAATCAAAGCCTGTTAGATGTCTTTTAATCATGCATTAAAGGGAAGGTCTTCTTATGGTCCGCTATCCCTTTTCAAGATTAAAATACGACCTCGGGATCATCTCAAAAGAAAGAGCAATAGTTAAGTTATGTCTGCGTTTAAGCAAGTTTTAACATGCCGGTTTGTCCATCTATAACGGATATTATCGTCAACATTAGCTTGGTGGTCGGTTATGGCTACCCACGAGAATGTTCAGAACGGCTAGTAATCAAAACTTCCATGATATCTTCTTATTGAATTCCAGGAGATTTGGACGTCAGACTCTTTTATATACAAAGAGTGATACGTATAGCAGTAATTGAGCTCTTTCAGCTGGTTACTGATGATAAGAGGTTGGTTCTATCAACTGATGTAGCAGATGTATGAAATAAGACAAGATGTTACAATATTTATTTTTCAACAACATCTTCCTTCTACTGGCCTGCAATTTTCTTTAATAAATGTGTAAAATTTTATAACTTTTCAACAAGATATCGTAAATAAACAGATAGTACTCCAAAACCCAATCCTGACTTGTGTGACAGACAACCATCTGTAATAACAAAAAAAATAGTATATAGTAATATCTTTTGTGGGACATAATTTACGTCCTTAAATACCGAACGCCTATTAGAAACGGAAGATGATTTATTTTTCTGAATAACTTACTTTATCGTAGATTGATCCTTTTGAAGACCACTATTGACAGTGAAATGGTGCACAATTTGTTCCGAACTAAATTTCTGGTATTTCCGGAAAGATCTGGCCAGTCGTAGGTAATCTTCCAAAAGCTTTTAATTTATGTAAGGTTTATATAATCCAATCCGAATGTTTTGTTGTCTATTTTTTATTGTGGTTCCTTGTCGTACTCTTTATTATAACATACATCTTCACAATGGCTATTACGAGCTGTGTCTAATACCTTGACTACAATAACCACATTTCTTGTATCAAAGAAGTTTATTAATGCAGCGATTTGATTGGATTGTACGCTACCAAGTACACCCAATCATCGCCCGAGCTTACATACGCAGCCAGATTGTTTACAGTCTTTCTGGCGAGGGCTCTGATATTGTGAAGATGTATATTATGGGTTACGTACCTTTCATAGACGATTCTCGTAACAATTTTCTTCGACCACTGAAAAGAGAAAACGCCTTACTTTAGATGTAGCTGAACAAGGCAGTAATGGGGGCAAAACTCTCACGACGATTAAACTGTAGAAATGTCTTTTTTTCAATTATGTATTTAAATCAAGCAGGACCTCCTTTGCCCTACTTTAACTTAATTAGCCCATGGCCTCGCTCAATGATGGTTACAGACTTAGTTTTAGAAAGAGGGTCAAATTTGAAAGATGACCCTCTCTTATGAAGAAGGGAACATAAGACTTGCTTCTACACTTTTTGACTGCCAATTGTCCTCTGTAGAAGAATGCGAATTTTAAGAGACTTGAGTGAGTTTAATGCTTACCCAGAAGTTTTGATAATTCTTTCTAAATCTTTGAGGTAGTTTGTTGGGCTCATACCAAAACATCCATCACTTCTCTGCCATTTTAACACCATGTTCATCCAGTCTTTTCTCTCAAAATCTTCAAATCCCAGAGTTCCACATAACAAGGCTGAAATAAATTATAAATTTCCTTATACGTCAATAATACATGCGTTCTCGTGGTACCAGTCAATGCAATGTAATGATTGGCTTATAGAAAAGGCAACATCATGCCATGCTCGTGGAGGGCAATTTACTGGAACGACAAAACGATTTTTTCCATATCGCCCCCGCCTGCATAACTGATAAGGGGAACCCGGGATTGAGCCCTTGACCCTCCTGTTAATGAGCATGCGTCTAATTCTCTGAGCAATGATACCTGTAAATGAATTTTGGCTTACATTGTTCTAGAAATAAATCTTGTTGATTTTCAGCTACTTGTTGATTGTTTTCTAAATTTGTTGATTCTTTATAAATATGTTTACAGAATCTATTCAATACCTCTCCTGGTTTCTCACTGGATTCGTATTTTTCAAACGCATTTTTACAACCCAACTAGAAAAGAAGAAATTCCGAATGACTGATACATATTAACGGAGGATGCTATCTTTTCAGAAAGTTTACTTTCATCTTGAAATTTATAAAATGGGTTATACAATCTTTACATCAAAAGGATAAAAATGAATAAAACGGCTATCATAATCACGTGTAGTATACTATACGTCATTATGAAGCATTTTTTACAATAAAGATAATATACACATCGTTAATATTTTACTCGACTTATTGAAAAGTAGTAACGTGTCAGGAGTAAATTTCAGAGGCTTTTATTCTTTCCAAGCCGCGAGTTGGAGTCATTCCAGTTAGCGGTATTCAAACGTTTCTGACTTAAAGTGTCATTTCAGTGGTATTTTCACTTTCATGCTAAAGGGGGCCACATGTCAGCGACATTTAAACTTTTTCAATTGAAAGTCAGTAACTATGAAGTGGCATATACATTTATTTAGCTGAAAGTAAGAAACATTTCTGATTTCAGAAAGATGCGTTTTTAATAAATTCAAAACTTAAAATTTTGATTCGTTGACGTCACCTACAATTTTACAGATATTTTTTGTTTCTAAATTAGTATTATTATTTTACTTGATATTTTTCATGACAGCAGGCAATATGGAACTGACATTTCCAGTTCGCCAATTAATCATGATCGTGTATTTCTGGTACTGACTGAGACTAAAAGACGACCATTGTCAGATCAAAATATACCATTCCATTTAATATAACACCCACACAATATTAAACTAAAAGCTGCCATAAAAGGAGAATATTACCAGATTCAACGTAACAATAATGTTTCCACTTTGTTACACAAATAATCAATTTATTACGTTTGCAATTTTTCCATTGATTAAACTAATTAAAGGAACGGATGGCTCATTTTGGGGGAATAATTTGAGTCTTGAATATTATGTAAATAGTATGTAGAGTAGGCTACTAGAAATGTACAAAAATTGCATAATTCCTTTAAAAATATCTCAAACTAGAGATTTCTTTTCCTATTTCTATAGATATCTTTTCTATATATGGCAGTGTCTCATGTAAAGACGACTCGTCTTTTTAATCTTCAAAGTCGAATAATTCTAGGCACACACGGTTTTGAAGGTTAAAATATCGACGGTGAAATGTGAACATTATTACTGATTAGCTCAGATTCCCGTTAATGAGATATGATTGGTAGAAAAACAATGGCGCATCTTATATCCCTTTAAATTTATTTTAGATTTTAAACATTCGTCACCGTTCAATTTAACTTGGCTTTAAGAATCATATATTGATATTTCAACATTTATTATAGTGAAGTCAACAGTCTTATTTTTCTAATTTTTTCACCATCATCCTTTTTATTCAACTTATGACTGCAGATGAGTTCAGATTTCAAATTTAGGAAGATGTATATAGCTATTATCAAATTCTTTCATCTTTTGTCGCAGACAAAGTACACATACATCGATAGATAAGACGTTAACGGTTTCGAAAATTAGATTTAGAATTTAGATTCTACTAAGTATTATATAACAGAAATACAATACGAAATCGTGTGGAAATAAAATGATTTGAAGTAGACGGAATTGTAACTAAATACAATTTTAAAATATTTGTACGAGACTTTTATGAACGTGAATTAAATATCAGAAGGATCTTTATTGCAATATATATATAACGTACAATAAGCAAAAAAATGCCATTCACCTTAAATTCTCGGACAAAGCAAAATTCTCTTTCTACATTTCACTGTCGACTTCAAAATGAGTCAAATATACAAGTGTGACGGGTGAATCAGGGAAATAATTAGAATATCTAGAATAAATCAGGGGGTCTCCGGTCGATCATTAACGCGACCAACAGCTCATGATATCTTGCATGATTTATCAATCGACCGATCTTGTATAGATAGCACATATCAATAGTATAGCACGTTCTACCAAGTCCAAAACATTCTCGAGAAGAAATTTCTTGCAAAGGGGGTGCAACTGGTATCTATACAAACGTGGTCAAGTCAACCAGCGACCGGTGAGGTACACTTTATATTTGATAAGGCATTCTTGGTCGAATAAAGTGAGAGTAATTACCTCGGGGTGTTAAAAATAAAATATGAGAATCTAATAACCTCGTAAACCGAAAATGTCGTTCAGGGATAAAGTGTCTTTCGACAGAAAAGTCGCAGATTATTCTCTACATTTCTGTACAATCTGGATCTGATTTTCGTCGGAATCCGCGACTTAATGGTTGATTTCAGCTGTCACATCGACTGACCGGATTCGATGAGATGCCTTGAATAGACCTGAGCCGCCATTGCACGGTGGCCGTTTGCTGAGCCCCTTTATAATCTGTTACCACCATTTGACCGCCCAATGATATTGGCTATACCTACATAATAATAGTAACACGCTACTTACATGTTGGGACAATATAAAATATAGTAATTGATGAGTAATGAAATATGCTCTGGTATTTTCTTGGGTCATAAAATCCCAACATTCATCTGTTACATTACATTTAGGTACTTGGCTGAAAGTATTAACATACCAACGAGGTTAAGAACTTTAATAACTTTCTTACGGCCAGAATAACCGACAACGTCATCGATAATGTATGCAAGCGAGAACATCTTAGATATCACAGCTGCTTAAACTCCTACGATATGTTTTTTATATTGTAGGAGAACAGGACGTTGAAGTATAATTCAAGTGAAACACTAGCAGATGGATAAGCATATTTAAAGAGATTGTAAAGAGCTTTTTTAATTTCTCTATATGTATCGGGGAGATGATAGCATCAATTTGCACCATTCCAATTTCCAATCAGACTTTTGTTGATCCTGCAATTCTACAAAAAAAACTAAGCGTTTGATACGCATAAAAAAATAAGAAAACCTCTTAATTTTACCCATAAACCCTAAGATACAAGTGCAATTTTACTGGAAGTTCTTAAATTTAAAATCGTTGTCGTACAGAGAACTTACCTGGCGTATGAACCCATCAATCTGGCATAACACATATCACCAAATTCTTCATCGTACTGTGTTTCTGTGCCCAGCTTGACATCATCTAAATTTTCAAAATGGTGCGGTTTATACTCCAGCATATATGGTTTGTCAATGACGGATCGAAATCGTTCAAAGTATTCGGGATCGTCCTCTTTGATATAAGGCATGGCATTTTCCCCGGTTTTGGCTACGACAGACAATAATCTGAATAATCTTTCAGTAAAAACTTCACCACAATTTTTCTCACGACACAAGTTCACTGCTTCCTTTATTTGACCTGAAATGTTAAAAATTATCAAAGTAAGAATATACCGATTTACACCAAACAATCTATATATAGGCCTACATGAATCTTAAGATTATTAATAGGGAACTTCTAGTAGGCTATCCATACACAGACTATATGATACTACAGAACAATAATGAAGTTTGATTCTAAAATGTTATTCTACAATGTTATTCTACAATGTCCAGAGCTATATATAGCCCCAACTGTTATTGTCGCATTCTCATAATATTTTGTACGGACACAGAAAGTGCAATTTGATTGTTAAATTAGACCAAATAAGTGCCATAGATAATTCCAGGTTCCAAATCGTACCGACTTTTGTACAACAGTTTTAAAGAAGAGAAAATATATTCTCCCATCCTTTATTTAAGGGTGTACGAAAACATATTAATTAGGATACTAAAGAAATGTTAATTTCTATAGTGGACGAAAGAAGTTAGGCTTGACTAAGTTGACCAGTGGATAACTGGCTGGCGAGTTATGTTCCAACAGTGTCCAAAGCAGCATTAAAAGTTTTAACTTATTCCATACCTTCTCCAACTCTGAGTCCATATAATCCATCAACATTTAAATCACTGAAATCCCGAGCGAAAAAATTAGCTTCCTTTTCAACGGCACTAAGAACCTTAGATATGAGACCATCATTGTGTGGTAATGCTGAACAGTCTATAAGAACTTGTCCTAAAATCAAGAGTGAGATTGCTATTTGGCCTCTCATTTTGCCCACAAGTTGTCACAATCTGAAAAAAATACTAAATTTAAGGGAGAAACAACAGCTGTATAGGACTGATATGTCAACATGATAGAAAATGTCCTATCTCTCAATTCCTTACATTATCAGCTTTATAAATAAACAGGTAATGACAGTAGGCGTGAAAATACTCAACAATATGAATATTAAAATAACTGTCTTACAACTGAAGTGGGTTCTTCCTTTTATACAATACATTCGCTAAAAACTACTCAAATCTTTTGAAGTTCGATCGAATCAATATTGAATTCTTTGTGAGGTTTGAACATGTCATTTGCCTTGTATACATTGACACCTTTTATAATATAACACAGAATGGTGTTTATAAATAATATAGTTGAATAATTCTTACATTGAGACATTTTAAGTTCAAGTCCTCTTTACATAAAAGGAAATAAAAATTTATCATTTGGAAAAAAAAACCCAAACTTTTCTATACTTATAAACGTAAATCTAAATTGTATTTGCATATTATGGATCTATCAATAGCTAAAATTTCAATCATCTAGAAAAGCGAATATTTAGAAACCTCACTATTCCATTAGCGAATGAGTGACAGATCGCTAAACTAATCAGTTATAATGTTCACATCTTACCGTCGAATTTGCGCTTTAAAATCCAAGTCTATCCATAATTATCTTTGTTTCGAAGTTATTTTAACGAGTCGACATTTTTGGAGACTTTTTATTTTGAATGTCTGTTGATGACGTCATGTGTATATGGTAGACTCAATCATTCTGTCTCACTTCGTCTACGCACCACTACGACGAAAGATGTCTTGGTGGTAGAGACTATATCAAGAAGACGTTCAACTTTCGGATACATCAAATTTCAGAGAAAAGATAAACTTGTGAAAGAAACAACTAAAAAGTTAAATTTCTTGTTTGAGATCTATTTGAAGGGAAAGTGAGATTTTCGTACGTTTTAGTTTAGGTAGTTTTGAAGATTATTTACATATATTCAAGATCCAAATTATCGCCCGGAAAAGTCGCATCTATCCCTTTAAAGGGCGTGGTCAAAACGACAATCGTTACCAACTCAACAATGATTAAAACTGCAAATATTAAATTATGAATTTTACTCCTTAAGACATGAAAATATTGGAATATTATATTAATCATGTATTCATCACAGTTTTATTTTAGTATAGAATAACAAGAAATAACTAAATGGCTCGGGGTGCTAATTTCGATCTGAGATCTAATAAGACAGTTTATTCCATCAGGTAATTTACAAACTAATGTTATTTACTTCATTTAACAAGATTAAACTTAATTCTATAAAAGAATCAATTATACTGGGCCATAAACAAGAGAAGTGTATTGCCAGTAGTCTTATTAGACGAAATGGATGAAAATTTGGCCGAGGAATCTTTAAAAGGTGTCGTTTTTATAGTGGGGACAGGGTGGGGGGGGGGGGGGGGGGGGGGGGGGGGTCATATATATTCCGCAACAGATTAGATTCCCCCACATCACATGACGCCTGTTGCTTACAGTCGTTAAAAATCTAGCAGCTTTCAAATTCTGCCGCCAGGTCACTTGAAGAGCATCCATTAACAGGCTTTAGCTCGTGTAAATTGTCTCTCTCAAATTGTCAGTTGTGCCTTCTGTGAACTTGAGCAAAGTTGAAATGAAATGATTATTTTCCATCCTATTTTTCTGCACCCAGTGTGAATAATGTTGAAGAACGTGTTAAACTTATTAACCCTCTTAGTGAACGCAATGACATTTCTTTAGACTGCTGCAAATTCCAATAACAAAAATCTTAGTGGGTGAAAGCGAAAGAGCTAAATATATAACCTAGATTTTTCTATGATTTCCCTTTTGTCAAAACGAAGAAAGGAAAAGAACCATTTAATATTCTTTTGTTAATGTGTTCTTTTTTAAACCAACTCGGTGAAATAAAAGAGAGCTCTTGTGTTGGTCTATTGAAGAACTCGTAATAATAAAGGACTACATTATGTTGAAAGGTTCTTGAAAATAAAAAGAATGAATGAATGATTAAAAAGATGAATGCCAAAGCACTTGTCAAAATCTTAAAGAGATTGTAAAGAGGTTTTCTAAATTCTTGTGTATCAGGGACACTGATAGCATCAATTTGCACCATTCCAATTTTCGATCAGACGTCTGTAGTTTCTAGCAATTCCACTAAAACTAAGTGTTTGATGACGTCATTAATCTCAAAATATTATGCTTTATAATCACTTAAGGCCCTTCGCGATTATTGATGTCACTAAACTTTCGATACACATAAAAAAAAGTCTATATTTATAATCTATAATACACTAACTATGCACTAACGGCTGTTTAAAAATTCATTGGTGAATTATCATTTTCAACTCTTTAATTGATCATCTCAAGGTAGCCACCGTCTTTAGGACAAACAGTCCAAAAATATTGATTCTATGACAAATTTTGCCTTTTTGGGTTAGTCTGGAGATATTTCATTTCAATTCTCTCCAATTCTAGCCTTCGATTCCCCATGCGATTTTCCAAAGTAAATTATTTTGTTTCACTGTAAACCATTGGATTGCAATCAGAAGATCGGGGTGGCCATTGTATGAAATACTCGACATTTCATTATTCTAAATAGAAACTTTTTCATAAAAAAAGGTCTCGGGCGATTTGTGCTGATTATTGGGCATGTGTTCAATTAAAGAGGTGAAATTACAGTAGTTACTTCCGGCTTTATTTATTTTGATAAAGAATTTGTATAAAAAAAAAAAAGGCTGGCATTTCATACTGTTTCTAGCTAAGAATCTATTTTTTTTAAAAGAACTCTAATATATCTATAATTATCAGATACAAATATTATTTTTATAGCTTTGTCACTTTTTATATCGTTTTTTTTTTAGAGCCATCCGATATTCAGGCATTAAATTTAGCCTTTTCAATGTGTCTTTAAGTATTTCTAAAACACACCTCACCAAAAAAACAATTGCAACAAATTGGAAAGATTATTTTCATATTTGAAGTAATTTTTTTTTATTAGTGCCTAGCCTATTTAATGTTTCCAAAAATTTTGTCTTTTTTTCTTATTATTGCAGAAACAATTGGGTATTAATATTATCACAGCTATGTATTATTGATTTAAGGGAGGTAACTCCTTCTCTTCAGTGTTGTAAGCGATAAAGGCCGCTGACATCAATTATTTACCTGTTGCTTGGAAACGACGCCATTGATCTAATTTTCTGACAGGTGATTGTTTACATTTTTTACAGAACAATTACTAAAAGTTTGATTGAAAATAAAGATGATTCCTGTCGAAATAGAAGATAATAAATTACCCATTCCTCAACTGATCCAGGTATAGTATTTAAAAGTTCTGTTTAAGTCTTTATTCAGGTCAAACTACAAGAAAGTTTGTTTAAATCGTAAACGGGGATAGCAAACGCCACCGTTGACTTTGAACGTAACAATGTGTTTCCAATTCTTGCAAATCTGTCTACACTGTGTAGATGGGATTTATGGTCAAATGTTGAAATTGCTGTGTGATGAAATCGATTAAATATCCTAGTTACGTTTATTATTTATCACAAACTTAGGACTTTTATAAAAGGCAAGTTCGGGATGTTTATTTAAAAAGTTGTTAATTTTCTTTTGTAGCCAAGAGAACACAAGGCCAAGATATGTGTTTGGTAAGTTGGTTATGACTTCTGAGTTATTCTTCAAGGTTACATATTATGTAAAGGCTGGTTAACACACTGGTTAGCTCAAATGCATTATGTAGCGTATGGTAATTATTGTCATTACATGGGGCTTGTTTAATGTATTTTTCAGGGCTGATTTAACAGTAGATGATGTTGATAAACTCAATGAATCTTTGAATGCTGACCATAATAAACAGTAAGTCAGATTATATCAAAATTTAATTTCAAAAACATAAACATATATCAAACTAGATATATTATACTTGCTTATCTACAATTTTTATCAATTGGTTACTCACATATTATCATCTTTTCAACCAAAAGAGAACAATTTGTTTCACAGTCATCAGGAATCAAGGAGTTTTGATTAAGATTATGACATCATCAGATCCTCTGAGAAACTCATGCACTAGTATAGCAACTAATTTCTTATGTCGGGAACTTCAAACTCATACATTTCAAATACCTTATATTTATTAGAATAGAAATTTGATGAAATTCTGAGACTTCAATTATTTTGGAGAATCCACTTACATAATATATAATAATAATTGTTTTTAATAGAGTTTTGGCTAATATATTTGGTATAGAAGATTATAAAGAAAATTTAAAGAGTGGTGTTACTATAGATCTATATTATTATACTTTACAATTTGCACGAGAAAATGGATTCAACAAAGAAAAATTATCAGCTGTATTCTCTATCATTAAAAAAACACATGAAGTTTGTATTGGTAAGTTTAGATCATTGATTGAAGAATTAATTTGTATTTATTGTCCTAAATTTTGTCAAATATAAACTTTAATTTAAAAAAGTTTTCATATTGTCAATCAAAGCCATGAACAAAGCTGGTAGTCGTAGTCGAGAATACACCAGCTGCAAATTGACAGTGTTTAACTTTTTCCTTTTGTACACAGTTTTATCAATTTTGTTTTAATATCATTCTTAGTTCCACCATAACTTTGTACAGGACAGTCTTATTTTTTAGAATATAATACTAACATTACCACGTTTGGTTCAGTCAACCATTTGTATGCGAAAACAAACATTGTACTCTCTCTCTCTATACAACAGAGTATTACATCAATTGTATAGCAATTACACTGATGGATTTTTATGCACGAAGTCCTTAAGTTTAGATACAACAGATACTGAAATATAGATTAACTTGGACCCTTTGAAACCAACTTCTTTTCTCTTGTTATTTCAGAAACACCGTTTGGTAATTTAGATCAAACATTTAAATATTTTAGAGACTTACTATTATGTCATGCAGTCAAGGTAAAAATCTTTGCTATGACTAACTCGTTCTAATACCTTGACAACATTAGGCACTCTTCTTGTTCATAAGTCGTACGACTCCTGTTGGCTTATTTTTAGGATTTATCTCCCTTGTGAGATTTGAATATAATTTAGTCCACCAAATGCTTTGTTAGAAATGGTATATAAAATGGCAGGCAAGATTAAGTAGTTACCCTTTCATTCATATTGTTTAGTCTTTCTGTGGAGGATACTCATTGGTTGTATTCATTAGTGTACAATCAAATCAAAGATGGTGTTATAATACCTATTGCTTCTTATTATAGAGACCACCACACAGTATAGATTTATATAATGCTGATGAAGTAAGAAAAATTACAGAATATACCATAAATACATACTTCCGTCATTTTAAAATGTATAAATATGCCTTTACTCCTTTAGTAAGTATTGGAATATCATTTGATTCTTTTGAATGTACTAAATAATTAAGGTTATATCATCATTTTCTGAATATTCTGTTCCAATTTCCTCTTGGCTGGTCAAAGAGTTTATTCATTTGTTTGGGGCAATAAATATACCCTCTGTGCTGTAGCATTGCTAGGGAAGGTCCCCAGAACTGGCCTGACAATGCCCACCCGATCCTAAATTTTTTATCATTTACATAGAGAAATAATTGTCTATAACCATCCCCCCTCTCAATTATTGTTTCATAGAATAACCACTGCAGGTGTGCCATAGGCTTTGACAGGGATAACCTTAAAGACAGAGGATAATGCCACTATTCTTGCAAATTTTACCTAATTGCACACTTCTTCAATTCATCATGAATATTTCCATTGTCAGGTGAGATTAGATCTAGCTATGAATTATATTGGTATACCAGAATCACCAAGACCAGAAGAAGGTATGTTAGATAGAAAATTTCATCAATTTCTTCATCTTGGTCTAAGACCTTTTCTACCTCTATTTCAATCTATTAGGTCGTGTAATATTGATCTGTGTTGTAAATGATACCAAGTGGAAATATACGAAAACTTATACTGTGATGTGATAACTATTTTTCCTGAGCCCAAAGTCATGTTGATATGTTCTTGTCCAAAAAAACCTTTTTCATCATGACTTTATTTAGCTGTTTAATATATATCATTCATATTCAATACTCTATATATACTTCTTAACACTTGCACTGCCTTTTTCAGCTGGTGATGTTGAAGGTGAAGGTCAGGCTGATGATGAGCTGAAAGATGTTGATGATCAGATTGAAGGTCAAACTGAAAATACAGAAACACAAAATACACCAGAAATAGGTAAGTGTGAATTATTAAGACACAATATTATTAATATCTTCCCTCTCAAAAAAACATTCATTCAATATAAAAAAACATTCATAAAAGCTAAAAGGTCATCAATTTTAAGAATAAATTGGTTGCAGAAAATGTCTAAGGGGGGGCCAAAAATGAGAGATCTTTCTCCGGGACAAGGCCAAAAGGGCCAAAGCCCGTTAAGGTTTAAATAAATCCAATGGTTGGTTGTGAGCACTTCTACACTTGGTTCAATGACAGCTCCTAAGAAAGCAACTTGCTTTGTTTGTAGAAGACAAATGTTACATTTCGTACAATGAATAAACAGAAGTTTGATTCTGTTAAATCTTAACTAAATCTTTTTTCAGAAGAGTCACCTGCACGGAAAGAATTACGAACCATGATCCAATCTTTCCTATCAGAAGAAATAAAGAAAATGAAATTATCAGTGGAAGAACAAATAAAATCCTCAGAAGAAGTTTTACATCATAAGTTAGAAGCTGTAGAACCAACTAAGAAAAGTCCCCGAGCTTCAGCTAAAGGCAAAAAGAAATGAGACTTTTCTGCCAAGCAATAATTTCTGTTTTATTTATTCTTTTATAACAAAACAATATACCTTATACTAATGTGTTCTTTTTTGGCCCTCTATATAGTGAGGCCACTCCAGTGACCTTGTGGCTTTCGCTCTTGCTCAGCAACAAGTTTACCCTCAAGTTAACCCTATACAAACTGAGTCTAAAACCATGGATTAGTCTTTGTATAGCTACCCCTTACTCCCTTTCACCACATTTTAACCCATTTGGAGCCATTTTCGGAAATTTTTCGACCCAGTGTCTTTCCTTGCAAATGAAGGAGGTTGGATGTTTCAACATGGAAAAAAGAGTTTAGTTATATGATAAGACTAACAACATTCCAAGTTTTACAAGCTGGAAAAATAAAGGTCTCTCAACTGCTGGAAATCAAAAAGAGTATGAGTTAAATGCATCTCACAATACAAGGTGAAATAATAAAGTACACGTAAATACTAATTAGGAGTTCTAGTACTAATCAGTACATACATGGCATAATATATCACTCACTACCAAATTCTACCTTGATTGAATACTGAAAACAGTTCATCCAGTTCATTAGATTTTAGTTGACCAAGTCAGAAAAAATATCTTAATTATGTGAGTTGTTGTGAATAGTACCGGTACTCAACATCACTCACAGTTTATCAGTTATTATTACTTGGTTGAGTAGAACTCAAAAACAGTAGTTCACTTTCAATAGATTTCAAAAACAGTTCACCAATTTACACAATTTGTAAAATATTTCCTAAATAGATGAACTGTACCCATGAATTTAATAAGTACACCGATTGACCAATATTATTACTTAATCAAAAAGGATACTGAAAACAGTTCACCAGGCTGATTGTCTCCAAGAAGACTATTTATCTCCAAGAAGACTATTTATCTAAATTAGGTGAGTTTTAATAATCAGTAATCATCATCACTTACTAATAACAGTTCACAATATCAAAAACTGTTCACCAATTTTCCCCATGTCATAAAATATATCTTAATTTTGTGAACTGTAGTGATCAGTGCTCAACATCACTGCAAACAGATCACTCAGTAGATTCCAAAAACAGTTGAGCAATCTGAAATAATCTAATAAAGCAAAGAATGAACATAAATTTCAATTTTTCATGGGTCAATCAGGAAGGATGTGATACGTCTCAATTGCCCCTTTATTATATCATATGGAAAGATGAGAATTCAGAGAAATAATTCCTGTGGCCTTAAAATAAAAAATATCGATCAAGAGGAGCAAGATCTATTCACAAAAGAACCCTCCACCAATATTCAGCGCATTTACGCGGAACACTAATTTGGTAAGCGCACCAAGGTAGCACCAATTGAAGAAGAGTTAATTCCCTTGACGCATCATCGGGAGATAACTCCTGATTGACTGTAAATAATGGAGGCTTTCAAAACGAAGTTTTTTAATATTCAGTAAAATGGTGAGTTTTGAATGGAAAAGAGACATGAAAGCAACCTTGATGAAATAAACGGCTTATACATGAAGCTTTGCATTGTAAGACAAGATGAAAGACATAAATAATATGGGACATTCCCTCTCATTTATTTGCTTTGCAAACACTGATAGCCCACTGTCTTTGCAAATTCGTTGGTAAATGAAAAGTTTTATTGGATATCAGCTTTTAATCAGTGCTGATTACTGATTATTTTGTGTGGTTTAAAACTATCAATATTTGCAAGTTTCCATTGAATACACTTGTGTCGGTCAGATAGAAATAAGTCAACTGCAGTGGCTTTGTGCAAGATAAACTTGTCATGCTACCTTCTTCAGATTTTGAACAGACTTTTTACAAAGCTCAGTTTTATCAACTTGTATAATGTCCATCACCAGCTTATGTAAAATTATAATAACTATAAGCTTATAATCTTAAGTCAATATTGCAATGATATGAAAACTATTTTCTTTATTAATTAATATACATGTATATTTATTAATTAATATACATGTATATTTATTAATTAATATACATGTATATTTATTAATTTATATTATATTTATTAATTTATATTATATTTATTAATTTATATTATATTTTTTGATTTATATTATATTTATTGATTTATATTTATTAATTAATTCATATTATATTTATTAATTTATATTGTGAATGATGTGCTTGGTCCTTTTACTTAAAAATATCCTCCACTCTTACAGTATATTTTTGTTCGAAGTGTGGTTCCAATTGCAGAACTATAGTTGTAGATATCACTAGCAATTCAAAAAATGCTCATACTTTCACAACTCTTTGTGTTATTCAACTTGGCATTCATTTGGAAAGTCCACAGCGCTAATTGTTCAAGCGATAAGCTTATTTTAAGTTGTAAAATGGAAAATTTTATACTTTCCATAAATTTTGATGATCATAAGTTTTTAGAATCAGTTCTATAAAAAGTAGGGCTTGATGATATACCAGTATCTTGATAGATACCAATATAGAAATTTATATGATTAGTAATATCACCTGATTAAAAAATACTGAAATATCTCCATATCATGATATATGGCAGTTAATTATTTTTTTTGTCCAGATAAGATCATCCACACAATTTGAACAAGCAACTTAATTTTTTGAAACAGATGGTTTTTTTCATGATATTCAAGACTGGGGTGTTTTTAGAGATATTTATTGTTTTTTCTTACATTTTAAATTTTTAGATAGATAATCAACAACATTTTGTACCAAAAACCAGTAAAAATCACTCATCGTGATATTTTAATGCTTAATATCATGACATCAACTTGAGCCAATATCGCCCAGCCCCAATGAAAAGTATCTTTAATAATTATATATGAGGTAAGGTGTGGGTCATTCCCCATCAGTCTATACTGGTAATTATTGAAGTCTGCTGTGAGGTATAACGCAATAACGCAATAACGCCCACTCCTGTAGACCTACTGATATATATACTTTTATTATCAAAACTCAATAAATATTCAATAGTGTGTTATATATTGTAGAAATGGTTATTGTTTGTGCAAATCCGACACTGATAAAATAAAAATGAAGTGAATTAATTTTCAACCAATGGGCTGAACGGTAAGTGGTAACAGGTGTTCTCATATAGGTAGAATTACTGCTACTGTGGACAATATATACCTAGGGTAGGTAGGTTACTAATCAATATTACCGTCAGCTGAGAATTTATTGAAAGGAAATAAAACTCCCATATTGCATGCTAAATGTATTTCATTTAATTTATTTCAATTCAATAATATTTCTCAATCGGATTACATAAGTTTAAGGTGTTTGACCGAATATCTCAGAAATAAAAAGGTAGGATATACTTTTATATATGACAATTTCAATTAATTTTCAGGCTTACAGGTAATTGCTATCTTTATTGTTTTTCTGCTTATAGTACAATTTACTATAATATGACGTTTCTCCATACATTTGCAGAGTTGAATGACTCTTGTAATAGCAGAGATCTGCCACCTTTACTAAACTCTTCAAGGCCATCTAAAATCTCTAAAAAGAGTCAAAAAAGCCTGTTTTCATAAAAAATTTAAGCTTATATTAATAAGCGTTCAATAAGAAAATTTTAAGATACACATCCATATGTGTTATGGCACAAAATATTGAAAAATTTGAGTGTCTCCTCCTGTGCAATCAGAGATCAGTAGTGGAATAAACCAATTTAAGGAATTACTGAAATTGAAAACACATGAAATGACTCAATCTGTAGAAGATCTAAATCTAGTGGGGTGACCTTATCTGAGTTGTTGCAGATAAGCTAATTTTAGTAGTAGACTTCCTCTTTGCTATCACAGAGAATCTTACTCTAGTATGACTGCTTCCTCTTTGCTTTGCTGTGTTCTTGTAGCGAATCTTATATTACTAGTGTGACTCTTTGTGCAATTGTAGAGAATCTAACTTCCTCTTTGGTTCAGCAGAAAATTTGTGCTTGTGGGGTGAGTTCATCTGTTTTATTGCTGAGAATTTCATATTAGTATTGTGACTCTCTGTGCTTTTTCAGAGAATCTCATATTAGTATTGTGGCTCTCTGTGCTTTTTCAGAGAATCTCATATTAGTAGTGTGGCTCTGTGCTTTTTCAGAGAATCTCATATTAGTAGTGTGGCTCCCTATGCTTTTTCAGAGAATCTGATATTAGTATTTTTCAGAGAATCTGATATTAGTATTGTGGCTCTCTGTGCTTTTTCAGAGAATCTCATATTAGAATTGTAGCTCTCTGTGCTTTTTCAGAGAATCTCATATTAGTAGTGTGGCTCCCTGTGCTTTTTCAGAGAATCTGATATTAGTATTTTTCAGAGAATCTGATATTAGTATTGTGGCTCTCTGTGCTTTTTCAGAGAATCTCTCTTTGCTGGCATGTTTCTGTCTGTGCTAATCTCAATCTTTGCTATTGCTTAGAATCAACCACAAAGGGCACTTGTTCAATTGTAGAGAATCTTAAACTACTTCAGAGACATTGTCGAGGTAAAATTTCAAGGACATATGGAGCAACTTAACAATTGCAACCCTGTAACATGATGAAGCTGGCACAGTTGATATACTATTGATTGGAATCAGTTGTATTTTAGTTGTAATGTCCTCAAATCTATCATTGATATCTGATATAATAGTCAAACTTGCTTTTAAACAGAGCACATGAAAAATACTAAATGATGAGTGTTAACAAAATATCTTCAATTTTTATCCTTTAGAAATGGCTGGTACCACACTGTGATAAAACTGTTGATTCTACTTCTACTTCCCTTAAAAAAAACTAAGCCAATTTTTTTTTTTTTTGGTATTTTGTTTATTTTGTTATTATGAAATTAAACCCAAACATTACAGTAAACAAATTTGATTTCCTGTTGATTATTGGTAAACAACAGGTTTAATATTTTCAAGGTCATCGTTAAACATGGGTGAACAACTGAAAGAATTAGTGAAGAAATGATTAACAATAAAGTATTTTCTGACTGAGGTAGATCATGTATACAATTGCAATATCCTATTAATATGGATGTAAGAATGAATTAAGAATTAAAGAAATTAAAAGAATGAATGAAATAGTGGATGAATATTCAATGTGATGTATGTTTATTATAAAGGAATTTATATATAGACATTAAAGGGACAGATTCACCATCCGTTTGACAAATCATACCTTACTCTCAGAAACAGGAATTCAGTAATAGTGTTCACCATTGAAATTTGAACCTTCAAATCCATGTGTGTCCATAATTAACTGCATTTGACTTGTCTTTTCTTGATACTCCACCAGATATAGAAAATACATATATTATAGAAATAGAAAGTGAAATTTTTATTTTGAGGTATATTTGAAGGGGTTATATGATTTCCATGCAGTTTTGATACCTCTGAAGACTATTTACATCTATTCAAGACCCAAATCATTAAAATAAGATAAATGAATAGACTGATGAATGAATGAATGAATGAATGAATTGGTGAATGAATGATTAATCAACATATTGATAAGTTGGATGTTTATCCTAAAGATTTTATAAAAAAAAATATAGATCTTAATACATACTTGAGAAAATTACAATATTTCAAAAGTGTGAAAAACCGAATTGAAATTTCAAGCATGAAATGAATGAATTAATGAATGAATGAAGGAATTAGTAAATGAATTGGTGAATGAATGATTAATTAACATATTGATAAGTTGTGTGTTTATCCTAAAGATTTTATAATATAGATCTTAATACATAGTTCATTACCTATTAAAATATATAGCCTACAGCTGATTACAAAATTACTTCTAAACAACCACAATAGGGGGTAGGATATTAATTTTCACTTGGAAGATCAAAACTTCACACATGGCCAAGCAGATTTGATCAGATTTCCACTTTGAAAAATTAGAGTGTATTTAGGATCTGTCATTAGCTGGATATAAAATGTAATTGTTAATCTTTATCCATGTTAGAAAACAGAATTTAGATATAGCTTAGTGTTAAGGTCATTATCAGAAAGGACCATTATGTACATGACTTTCTGACCATTGGTCATAACTTGGAAGTGTTTTACTGTTGTGGAAATTAGCAAAAACATATTTTGGCTTTTATGTTGTGATATTTAACTTTCCATTAGTTGAAATTTGTCAAAAATAGTTTTCAAAGTGATTAAATGGGTTTGGTTTTATTGCCAAATAGTGCACGCATGTCAAAGTTGAAAGTGTTTTATCTATTATGTGACAAATAATGACATATATTCTGTGAATAATTTGGATTTGTGCAACAATCATTGTATATGTTGGGTTTTTTACCAAAATTACATAGTGTGTTCTTGCACGATTGCACTCAATATAGACATACAAAATTTTACAGCAAAGTTAAAAGTCAATGTTTATTTTTGAGTTATTTACTGGAACATATATTCTAAAATTGAGGATAAAATATTGTGTTCTAGGAAAAAGTGCAATTTAATTGAGGAAAATCTTTCAAAAAATGGATTATATCATATTTGTGTCAATTGCATAAATGTTTGATTTAGCCACATAGTAAATTTAATATTGACAGTAGTGATAAGATACAACAATCAGCCAAAAAAACAATAACCTATATTATGACTTCCTTAAATGTATTTTATCTAATATGACATGTAACTAAATATTGACTATATCTTCGCACAAACTTTTATTTGGAAATGTTACGTCAAAAATATAAACAACTTATTCGTAAGAATAGAGAAAGGAAAAAGAAGAAAAAGTAAGTTTTGAAGATATTGATATCTCATTGAATTTTGTCTAAACATGCTGAGTGAAATTTTTTCTAAACATGCTCAGTGACATTTTTTCTGAACATGCACAGTGAAATTTTTTCTAAACATGCTCAGTGATATTTTTTATGGAACATGCTGGGTGATATTTTTTCTAAACATGCTCAGTGATATTTTTTCTGAACATGCTCAGTGATATTTTTTCTAAACATGCTCAGTGATATTTCTTCTGAACATGCTCAATGATATTTTTTCTGAACATGTTCAGTGATATTTTTTCTAAACATGCTCAGTGATATTAAACATGCTCAGTGAAATTTTTCTAAACAAGCTCAGTGATATTTTTTCTGAACATGCTCTGTGAAATTTTGACTAAACATGCTTAATGAAATTTTTCTATACATGCTCAGTGAAATGTTTTTTGAACATGCTCAGCAAAATTTTTTCTAAACATGCTTTGTGAAATAACACATTTTGCTAAGCATGTTTGCTTAGTGAAAAACTTGCATTCGGGGCAACAAGGGGGGCGACTGCCCCCTCTGCCCCAAGCCTCCCCCCCTTGGCTCCCCCCCCCACCCCCCTTGGCTCTGCCACTGATTCCTGGCAAAGTGGTATTACATTCTCAAGATATTGTAGAAAATGTAAAACTGAAGTATTCTAGAAAATGTAAAGTTGATGTTATATCTATTTGCTGGTTTGTCTAGAATTGAGTATTGATACAATTTGTTACAATCTGTAAATCGTGACATATCACATTACGATGTTTTAATTCACTGCTATATTGTGACATCACTCGTTTTTATCAGTAATGCTGGCTTGTTATTGGGAAACACTGGATTGTTGACTCTAGATTTCCCTCATTGTGCACTACTTGGCATCATAGGACATAAAATCAAATTTCAATTCATGTTGTTTCATTACACAGGTGGGTGTAGTAGGCCTACTTGACATATTGATTTTATTTTATATTGTCATGTCATTTGAAATTCATTAGTCAGTTGACCAAATACAAGTTATAATATATGTATTGTAATTAGGAGGTAGAAATAGACTAATAACCTGTAGTATATTAATATAAAATAGAAACACATTAATATACTATAGATATAGTTAATAAATATTACGTTCATTAAGCTCTATTATTGTCAGAACTTTTAAAAAATGTTCAAAAATTTTAACCTTTTTGTTTATTATATTTTTTATTAGAAACATAGCTTCAAATTTTGAATCATTTGAATATGTTATAGAAGTTGAGGGGAAATAGAGTTCTAAATATTTTCTCTTCAGTTGAAAGAGGGTAAATTTAGCTATCCATTATCCCTTTTGAGAATTTGAAATGTTACAAAAGGTTCGCTTATTATTAGATAGGAATATGAGGGTGTATGATACCTTGCCTGGCAAGCTATCTTTAACTAGGTCTGTTTAGTTCACCATTATCATAAATTTGAATGTGTGATGAAGAGATCATTTAAGATTGTGATCTGTTATCTTTTATCTTGATGCACAATATTTCAGAAAAAAACAGGATCTAGTTCATATTGACCTATACTTGATTATATTATCATTGGTAGGTGCACTAAGGCGACCACTTAAACTTGTGATTACCTCGATAAAAGTAATGAACATATTGTTGTGACCACTTTAACTTGTGACCAATTACCTTGATCAAATTATTGAACATATTGTTGTGACCACTTTAACTTGTGACCAATTACCTTGATAGAATTATTAAACATATTGTTGTGACCATTCTAACTTGTGACCAAATTACTGATCATATTGTTCCTACCACTAAAACTTGTGACTAATGAAATATTGTGGTCAATTTAACTTGTGACCAAATTACTGTGACTAAATTTAACATTACTCTGACCAATTTTACTTGTGACCAAATTGCTCTGACCAATTTAACTTGTGACCAAATTACTCTGACCAATTTAACTTGTATTATGCATTTTAACTTGTATAAGCACTTATGTGAGCATGTTTCCTACAACTGTGTTAATAATATAACACCTACAGTTACAGCGCTCCCCTGTGGTTTACACAAATAATATATGTTACTATATAGCAAGTTTATCATATTAATATTATTACTGCTCAAGCTGTTACCAACTTTCAATAATGTCACAATAATATCATATACCTTATCATATACCTTATCATTAAACTCTAATATTTATTATTATTTTATTCTTAAGTGCATATCATTAATCATTTTTAATAAACAAATAATTTTCATGATTTTCTAGTGAATATTGCACAAGTTTACTGGACAGTTACCAACTAATAAAAACTCAATTTCAGCTTACTGTATCACTTTTCAGAATACAAAGCTGACGCTTAGTTCTACTCTTAATTAAAATCAAAGTTATTGTTATTATAAAGAGTGAAGAAGGTTGATGCATAAGAAAACTGCTATGTAAAGCACGGGCCAAGGTCACAAATGAAGAGATCTGCTAAGATATAAACTAGGGTGGAGTTAATAGAGTTAACATTAAGTTTCGAACACAAAAACACGTAGCAGTAATCTAGAATAATCTAATAAATATTATGAAGTATTCTTGCCATAAGATAAGGGATTATATGAGAAGTCTCTGCAAAGATTTCTGTTTAAAAATACGATATATACAGACTTAATACAGGAAGTCGAAAAAGGGGTGTGTTTAAATTTCAAGCCATAGGTTACATTCCCACTATTGGTTATGATCAATGATAACATACTTTTGATAATATTTGAATATTAATAACTTATTGGAATTGACATAGTCTAAACTTGCACAGTACATTTCAGTTGCATAGTTAAATAGCCAAACCTTGGGATTTCCATTGTGAATTTGAACACTATCAGCTGATAGAGTTAATATTTTGCTTAAAATAGAAGATGCCTTTAAATTTCTGTTCTCAATTTAACTCTTTGAACACAGAAAATGGATCTGATTAAAAAGTATAGTAGTAAATATTTATTTGAAGATTTTTAAGTTGGTAATCCCTAGGTCCGTAGCCAGACTTGAAAGTTCGGAGGGGGCAAGTAATATATCATGAAGGGCCATGGTGTATAGTGTTTAGTTTCAGTAATGGAAATGGTCAGTTGTCAGAATTTTTTCAGGGGGGCCGACTGATACAATGAATTTAGCAACCTGTAGAAAAATTATGTACCAATTCATCTTGATGTATATTTTAGTCAAAATCCAAAAGCAAACTTTTTGATGTCAAAATCTTTTAATAAATTTGAAAGCATTGTTAATATTGAGAGCTATAACTAATTGTTGCTGTTGATCTTTGGTAACTGAGTTATATTTAAATGCAAAACCTGTTTGATATAAATACCTCAAAATATATAAAGTTATAGAAACAAAAGCAGATACGTATCATATGAATATACCTTGGGGCGAAACTAAAAAATATCAAACATTTATATGTATTCCTCTATTTAAGCTTATATACCAACCAATATATTTTATCTTAAGATTTTTTTCTTTTTTTAAATTCAAATAACATTTAGTTTTACTGCATAGATATTTTGGGTCAAAATTTCATGGTGATTTGACTGAGAACACCTTTAATATATAGACAAAATGTCCTGCTCTTTTAAAAAATTGTTATGGTATGGATTTTTGAATGATTATTGCTTTTGTCTTCTGATGATTCAGGAAGGTGCCAATTTACGTAAAAACAATTTGAAAAATTTGGTAAAAATAAGACAGTAGAGAAAATATTATAATTTTTCAGTTTTCAACCATATATGAATTGGGATATCTTTGAAAAAAATATCTAGATTTCAACTGCTATTTATATTGTTTATCTTGATTATTTCAGTGGAATGGAGAAGCAGGCAAGCTATGAGGCGGCAGAACCAAATACTGATGATATAGAACAGTTGATGATAGAGAAGGCTCATGATTTATTCCGAGTATGTGATACGGAAGAGAAAGGCTTCATCACCAAACGTGATATGCAGAGATTACGATCAGAGCTTCCACTCAATCCAGATCAGCTACAAGATGTCTTTGATTCACTTGATGATGATAAAAATGGCTACCTCACTCTGGAAGAATTTACAAATGGCTTTGGTAAGTTAAATTTACAAGTCATTTTTGATTTTAGAAATTTCAGAATCTGTTGTCAATTTTTCCAGGACTCATGTATTGGTTAAATTTCAATATAGATTTAGGGCAATAAAATTTCAAAAAAAATATTAAACATTTTGTGGAAAATTCACTATTGCTTTGTTAAAGGGACAGGTTTTCCAGTTTTGGGGTTTGATTTGGGTCTTGAATATATGTAAATAGTCATCAAATATTCTTTCAAATATACCTCAAACTAGGAATTTCGCTTTCTGTTTCTATATGTGTCTTTTCGATATATGGCAGAGTCTCAAGAATAGACAAGTCATCTTTTTAACTTTCAAATGCAGACAATTCTGGATGTGATGTGATGGCTCATAATAAGTTTCTGTGAACAGCTGCCCCTTTAAATTTATATATATAATTGAGCCAAATGTTGTTCTGTTTTGGGTAAATTATTTTCTTTTTTGATCCATAGTATTGACAACCTAGTCGCCAAAATTCAATTTGATAAGCAATCTGAAGGTCAAAATTCAAATCATGAACAAAATTTGACACTTAGATAAAAAGGCAATCAGTATTTGACACCTATTTAGTTAACTTTTTACTAATTAGTTTACAATCCAAGATAAAGATTGAGACAGTGTCATATATCTTTAATCTTGGTGTAAGCATTATCTTGACAGTAATCTTGACTCAAGCACTAAATTATACTAAATAGGTTACCATAGAGCATAGTCATTGAATTGAGATTGTTTTGGTTGTTGGATATGACATATGTGTATTTTCTATTTATACAATGAAAGTAATGGCTAAAAATTCAAGATGGCCTTGGTTATTAGGTATGATCTTCTGTTCACTCAATGAGATTTAGTAATATTGAAGTTGACTGGTTTTGAATACCTTGTATTGCTAGCTTGCAGGAATTGGTAGGGCTAGTCTAGCTTTTATACAAATTTCCTGATCTCATTCTGTGGCTCCTGTAATTCCAAAACAAGTTTATTTGTTTATGACGCCATTATCAAACTAAAAAATGGGCTTGAATAGTAAAATCTGAAATCAACTTTTTTTTGGAATTATGGACAAGAAAGTATATTTTTAGTATACAATAGCTCACTTATAACTCTTTTGAATCCAATTTTTATAAGACTGGTGCAGTGTGCACTAAGGTTAATTTTGTCAGGACTCTTAAAGGATGATTGACATAATAATATACAGTCTGTAATACACAGAGCTTTGGTGGTTCAACTGTATTGTAAAGATAAATACCTGTAATTTTATTGAATAGGAAGTTTTGTGGGTATGTCACCAAGAGGTAAAGAAGAAGAAGAAGCTACTGAAGGTAGTTATGAAGTCTATGAAGAAGATGAAGATGGTAATATGAGTAAACAATTTGATGATATGATGGAACAAGTTGGTGCTTCAAGAATTCTTCCACAGTAGGTTTTGGATTTTCCTATTTATGAAACACAAAAGATTTATGCTTTATTTTTCGGACAGTCATCTATATGAATGGGCAGTTTATCCTCAAAAAAGCCAAAAAACTTGACGTGGAATACTGTGATGAAACTGATGATGCTTTAAATCAGAAAGACCCTGAACACTTAGAACCCTATAGAGTAGTCTAATACCTATCATCGATAAAATTCCATTAACCCAATCAGAAGCCATACACCAGGATGTAAAACGTTTGATTCGAGTTATCAACAGTATATGACAAGACAATGAAATAAAATAAGCAAATTTGTATCTTTAGACATTTATTGAGTCATTATTTTTTACAGCGATGATACAATAAAAGCATTATGGGTAAAACTACAGAAAGATGAACCTGGCCTAGTGGATTATTATGAAGAGTTTCTGTCCAAAATTTCAGGAGACATCAAGAAATCTCAAACAGATTGTGAAGAGCTAGAACATGCCTTGAAATTGTAAGTTTTGTTTTTTTACATCAGACACACAAGATTTTAACTCCAAGTTCTATTAATTGACTAGACTATGCTGACAATCATCTTTTCAAGACCACTATTAAATAATTATATATTTGGCTGATGAGGAGCAGAGTATGGAAATCACATGATGTGCTATTTTCAATGTGAATAGAGAGTGGGTAATGTTGTTAAATTTTACAAGATAAATCACTGGTATTAAGGTTTTACCATGACTGTATAATACTGTACACTTACAGAGACAAACGACTAAATAATGGCCTCTGTATACAAATTTGAATCAGATCTTAAGTTATCATTTCATTTGGGCCAAAATTAACAAATGGTTTAATATATAAAAATTACAATTAAAATTTATTGAACACAATTTTGGAGGTGTAGGAAAGAAATGATTGTTTCGGAATGATATGCTTCAAAGTTTAGACCACACCTAATGCATTCATGATATGTCTATTTGGAACCCCAATTCCACAAACAATGTCATGTATTGAGGTAAAACAGAAGTACCCTAGTAATTATCAACTTCTCAATATAATCTAAGTATGGAGATAAGGACATAAAGTGGTAGATTTTAGCTACCTGTAGTACTTTTCAGAATTAAAATCACGGGGAAGTGCACATCTAATTTCTCAACTGTCAAAAAAGAAAAAAATAACTACCTGGAATGCAAGCTTTTCAGCTTATGTGCATTATGTAATTGTATTATGTACAATAATATTTGTTTGTAGACCTACTTAAAAACATCCCTTCATTTGCCCCCATCAGTTAAGATTGTGTCCATGATTTCATTAAAATCTTACATACTATATTAACAAAACATCATCACATGATACTAATAATACTAAATTCTTTAAAACTTAACAAGTGTTATTTTCACCTAAGTACAATTTGATACTACTATAAATACACAATAAGTCACTTGAGACTAAGTTTGTTTCACAACATCTACCATCTTGATATCTGAAGGGTGTATGAGTAAGATTTGACAGCTAACCCTTGATCCAAAAGGTCAATATTCTGGTCACTCACTTTGAATTGTAGTGATTTAATTTTTAATTCATGAGATTCATTGAAGTAGGAGATATTCTGCTACTCTGAACCTTAAAAGGGAACATCATTTTGATGAGTCTTGAGTATATTCTTCAGAAGTACTAGAAATGTACGAAAATCAAACAATTCCATCAAATAGGAATTTGTTTTCTTACTTCTATAGATGTCTTTTTTAAATATGACAGTGTCTCAAAAAATACGACTCGTCTTTTATACTTTCAAATGTGTATAATTCTGGACACATGGATTTGAAAGCTCAAATTTTGACAGTGAGCTGTGAACACTATCACTGATTGGCTTCGCTACAAAATTCCTGTTTCTAAGATTAAGGTACAATTGGTAAAAAAAATGGCGGATCTGATTGGCTGGATTGAGCAATTAGGTAAGTAACAGTTTAAAGTAACAGAAAAAGAGTTCCTCTAAATAAAGAATTTGCCAAAAGTTACTCATACACAAAAATGGATATCTTTCAATGTAATAATGCATGATGATGTATGCTGGTATTAGTCATTCAGCTGCCAGTAATAAGTTTCCTTAGTTCTTATAAGGCATAGTTTGCATACAAAGTACAAATAATCACTTTGTTCTTCTCTGAAATATCTGATTAAGTTAATTATTATTCAATTAAATTAAAAAAACAAACAGATAAAATAGTTTTGCTGATTTGGTTTGGAATTTCATTCATGTAGATCAATACTGTCTTGTTTGTTCTGTTGTTAAAATGGTTTAAAATGATATGAAAGACAAGTCATTGACAACAATAAGGTGATGTTTCTTCTTAAAACAAGTTTGACCGTTATATCAACGTTTAGTAATATAAATAGCTGCACTTAAAAGGATTCCAGTTCCTAAAACAATGAAAGCCTGTTTGGTTGGTGTTCCAAAATGTTCAACAATGGCTTCCCATCCTCCACGCCCAATTATCCATGAAGCAACATGATCACGAATATAATCCACCACAAAATTAATCGTAGCATTGATAATGGGAATACGATTCAAAGATTTTAAAATCATTCTGAAAGCAAAATAAAACAGTGCCACTATTCTTCCCCAATTAATGACGCCATCACTAAAAATATCTCCTGCAACTTTCATGAATGTTTTACATTCTGTTCTTGGTGGAACTTTGGCTATCAAATTATGCATATTTTCATCCTTATCTAATTCATCTCCTATAGATTTTAAAGCTTTTCCAATTTGAACCTCTAAGGAAGGGTCTATAGGTGGTCCAATAGGAGTATCTGGTTCTATGAGCTTTTCGATATTTTCTGTGCCAGGTATTTGATCTTCCTCCATTCTGTCTTTAATAAAGTTTGTGAGCAGAAGTCTAGCCTGATTGCTGACATCATCTATATTTAAGTTTTTCTGACTCCCCTTCATTTTTTCACTAAGTAATACTGCTAAAATGAGATCTGAAAAATGCAAGAAAAAAGATGCATTCTGTTATTGTTCACATAAATCTTCTAGAATAGGCATGAGTTCTGGCACGCTTTAACGTTCATTGTGTGTGGTTTTGTAAATGAATACCAGTTAAAACGGAAACACGTCAAAACGGTAACATTTTAATAGTCAAAACGGTAACAGATCTGCCAAAACGGTAACAAGATATTTGGTTATAACGGTAACAGATCTGCCAAAACGATAACACAATAAAATGTACTGTAAAATCTTTTTATTCTCTATAATAGAAAAATTGTTACTGTTTTGACGTGTTACCGTTTTAACTGGATACCTTGTAAATCTATGTACTTTATATCATACCAACCTCTAAGAAAGATTGGAAAACAAAGTCCTTTTCAACATTTAAAAAATCACTGTGTTCACCCGCTAAAACATAATATAATCGACTTTCCAACAAGATGAAAATTCAAAAAATGTAAACAGGAAGTATAGTCAGATTGCTAAAAGACCAAATCGCCCTGAGATATTCTAGTCAAATCGTCCAAGTACTATGCCAAGTCGAACAATAAGGCCTACATCAGGACAAGCTAATATCAACGTCGTCTAATATGAAATTGGGGCTAAAATTTATGTGTCATTTTGTTATCAACTTCCAAGAAAATCAAAGTTTTATATAGAAAGACTCACCTTGATTAAAATAAACCTTGTACCTTCCCTTTAAATTTTATCTTAGACAGTTTAACATTGATGTGGACATATTAGTTTGTACATGTTGACATTGGATTATTCTAAATTTTGGAGGGGGGAAAGGTTAATTATTTTGTTAATTTTGGCCATATTTTCAATTATTTTAATAGATTTCTAAGGAGACTTGTCTTATTATGATAATATTTCAAAACAATTTTGTTTAATGTGAACAGCTTCAAACAAATTTGAGTGAAAAGTATTGCTTTATGTCTTGAATAAAATGCTAACACCCCTTTTAAAGTAGACTTACCCTAAAGTAGTGGGTCAATGATTTTCAACTATGTACAGTATAAGTAAAAAAGATAATAATATATATGACAATTATAGATAAGGAGGTAAAATAAACTTTTTTGCTTAATTTGTAATAATATTTTCATTAGTATAGTCCATTCTGTACTATATATCTGTCATTGGTGTCATTGATATAATTACAACTATCACACAGCTGTTTTTGATAGTGAAAAAGTTAGTAACTTTGGAACACTAAAATAAATCTTAAAGGGACTGTAAAAAGTTTTTTATTGAAATTTTACGAGTAATAGAGACATTTTTAGCATCAATTTGCACAATTCTGATTTCTGCAATTCTACAAGAATTAAGCATTTTATTACGTCACTATCGCAAAGGGTCTTATATGATATTAACAGACTTTGCTTAGTTTTATTGGAGTTACAGGGACCACAGATGTCTGATTGAAAATTAGAATGGTGCAAATTGATGCTATCAGCGTCAACGATATACATTAAAAATTTAGAAAGACTCTTTACGATCTCTTTAAAGCACACTATTACCACTTACAATTAAAATGTCAGATTGTGAGAAAAAGCTAACATATTTTTTGAAAATTCTTAAAATTTTATTGTCAAATAGTGAATTTACATGTGACATAGAGCTAATGCCTGTGCCATTAAGAGGTAGGCTACAAATCTAAATCACCATGACAACTTAAATTTAACATTGAAATGTGTCAAATGTGGGTTATTTACACCATCCTGTCATAAAGCCACACCTTTATTTAGAAGTATTAGTCAAGGTTACTGTCTTTATTTTAGTTTAGGACTTAAAACACACCATACTTAGACTACATAATTTGTAATTTATGCTTATAGCAATAGGAGAATTTACTCATTGTTTTTCACTTCTTAACTAACTGTTATAAGCTTAAGGTAGGAATTAAAACCAAATTTCCTTTTATTAATAATTTTTAGAATATTTATAAGTTTATGTTATAAGTCAAGACTAGATAGATGATATGAATTTTTGTTACACACAGATACATTCTCAAAAAGTGAAGGCGAACTTTTCCGATTTACCTCTTGAAAACTTTTAATATTACATTAAAAAAATAAAAAAATTGTCGCTTAGTTTTTAAATCATATCACATTACTCTTGTCTGCTATTTTTAGCCTGTATGATATATGAAACTAGAGTTGATTCAAATAAGCTTAAGAAAATCTAAAGTTTTGCTTTGTATGGGTAACAGGAAAATTAAGACCCAATTGCTACAACTAGGATGTCACTTAATTTAATTTGAAGTACAGTCAAATGTTCGTATCAATGGAAGGAATCAGATAAAAATGGAAGCTTTATGTATCCAAAATACACTTAATATATAGGACGGAAAATTGCTTTAAGGAAAAATATAAATTTCATTTCATTCATTTCATTCATTTCATTCATTTCATTCATTTCATTCATTTCATTCATTTCATTCAAAATTGAAATAATTTTTTGTCTAAATTCAGATGTTTTAAATGTGTACATATTTCTTATTATTTCAGAAAAACTGCTACTCATGATGCAGAAATAAAGAAATTATATGAAGAGATGGAATATCAGATTAAACAAGAAAAAGAAAGAATAGTATCAGAGGTGTGTGACATCAAATTATTTTTGTGCTTTAGGCATCATGATTTACCATATCCCCGGGACTATTTTCATTGGCCATAGATGCAGTTAATATCTGAGTATTCACAGAGTCAATATTTGTTATTTGATAAATCTTCCAGTATAATTATGACTCTCTAAAGCTGACAAATTTATGACAAGCCCCCTCATATTCTCTATTTTTATATAAAACCGTTGAAAGAGGACATACTTATAATATGTAGGTTAGTGGTTATTAGCTATCACTGCTGAGATGATTCAGCTTATGAATCAAGGACTAGATGTTGTCTGACTCTGACTGCCTTGAAAACTCAAAATTACCCTGTGAGGATTCAAATTTATGACAATCCAACTTACTACTAATTACTTATTTGCTAATTGCTGTAGTGTGTGATACCACATTCTTATTTTCATCAAAAAAAAACCAAAATTTAAACCACTATGATGTGGTTGAATTTGGCTTTAATCTGAATATTCTCAATTGTAGGAAAGAGCTAAAGAAAAAAGTTTAAGACTGACTATGGAGCAAGAATTACAAGAAAAAGAAAGATTATATCAAGAAATGTTAGCTAAACAACAAGAAGTGAGTATCACCAACACTTAGACTGAGATTTGAGAACCTTCCTAATGAAATTTTCAGCACTGTCACAATTACAGATTGTATGTGTATCAGCATAAAAAAAAAAAATGATAGTGTATAGATAAACACATGAGATATGGTGATGTTTTATTCAATTTAAAGTATTCTTATAATCCTTGAAGCCTGTCTTTATAATGATTCATTTAAATTTTGTGATAATTTTGTTGTTGATTTTTTAGATGGAAAGCCGATTGGAAGAAATGAATAATATAGAAGCTCAAACTAAAGAAGAAAATGAAAGATTATTGAAGGTAAAACCCTACCCTGTTATATTTGGATTCTTGTCATTTTTCACAAAATGTCTGATTGAAAATTGGAATGGTGCATAAATTTTTTTAGAAAACCTCTTTACAGCTAGAACTAGTTTCTATTCTAAAAAAAGTGAAATGGGACATTAAGACTCCAAAAGTCAGCTTTAATATTTGATTTTAATTACAGGAAAGAGAGTCATTAGAGAATATGTTATATGAATCACAAGAAAGTTTACAGGAATCTCAATCTTATATTAATCATCTTAGTTCACAGTTTAAAGATGATAAACGACAAAGAGCATTGTAAGTTTTAAAGCATGACTTTTTGTTTGGTTCAATCCAAGAAAAGAACTGGGACAAATTTCTACAAAACTTTATCTACTTATGCATTTTATAAATATGATGGGCAAAGTGTAAAATTTGCCATTTTATATCAGTGCCAATTGAAGAAATAGAATTCGAACTCTTTCTGAGCTGAAAAGAATTGACAATAACTGACTATGTTTAAATGTTTCAGTGCTGCTTTAAAGTTATCAGAAGGTATTGCCTTAGAAAGAGAAAGTCTGGTAAAACAACTGGATACTTTAAGGTAAGATAAAAAAAATTATGGTTAAGAAGGATAACAAATGTTTAGGTGGTTGTCTTTGGCAAAACCTGTTGGTTCTAGATAATATATGTCCTCTTTTCAGCTGGGATATGTTCAAAGTCAGCAAAATGTTACATGCTGCCAAAGACTCATTTTTGTTTTAATGTAATATAGCAAATGATAATGTAATAAACACCCCAACAGTTTTGATACAACTGCAAAATTGTTATTTTTAAAGAAATGTTAATACAAGATTACCTTATATTGTTATTTTTAAAGAAATGTTAATACAAGATTACCTTATATTGTTATTTTTAAAGAAATGTTAATACAAGATTACCTTATATTGTTATTTTTAAATAAAAAGTTAATACAAGATTACCTTATATTGTTATTTTAAAAGAAATGTTAATACAAGATTACCTTATATTGTTATTTTTAAAGAAATGTTAATACAAGATTACCTTATATTGTTATTTTTAAAGAAATGTTAATACAAGATTACCTTATATTGTTATTTTTAAAGAAATGTTAATACAAGATTACCTTATATTGTTATTTTTAAAGAGATGTCAATACAAGATTACCTTATATTGTTATTTTTAAAGAGATGTCAATACAAGATTACCTTATATTGTTATTTTTAAAGAGATGTCAATACAAGATTACCTTATATTGTTATTTTTAAAGAGATGTCAATACAAGATTACCTTATATTGTTATTTTTAAAGAGATGTTAATACAAGATTACGAGATGATAGAGATGAGGCAGAACAATGTGAAGCAAGGCAAGTATTAAAAATATCTTCTTCTTCTGCGTGTTAGCTTTAATGTTACTGTTTTCTTTTGTCATGTTAGCTTTAATTAATACTGTATATTGGTGCAATTCTTTGACTGCAATATGATGCATAGTGCGCTCTAATTCACTGCTCACTGCTCAGCGATTGATCCAAAATATAGAGACAGCCACTAACATTCTTACCCCCTGCCTTGTTTGTGATAAATGTTGATAAAGGGTTGAAGCAATGAGGTGTTTCACAAATATCTGGTGTGTAAAAGTTTTGTGGACAGACTAATGCCTGTGCGACTTTTACAAGCCAAGTATGGGAATTGAGGGAGAGATATGAATTCAGGACAACCTATCTTATGGCAGATGACAGTTCCTCAACTTACCATAATAGTGATATGATTGTCTTGTAAAGAAAACCCTAAAAAAATGAATTTTTAGGTGAAAAAGTCAGAATGTATCATTGAACAGTTTTCCTAAAGCATGCATAAGCAACCCTTTTAGTAAGTCAAGGGGTTTACAACTTGGTGGTAATTTTTAAAAAAATTTTGGGGGGAGGGGGCCAATTGTAGTCTAGTATAATATATATGGACAATTAAAATTTTAGTCGTTCTATTCAGTCAGGCTATATTCTCCAACATGAAAAAGATGGCAGGGAAACTTAAGAGAAAATGGCAATCGATCTTGAAAGCAGTAATAGAAAGAAAAAGGTTAAAAACCCCTGGTTTACTCAGTATTGTAGTGGAGCTCAACTTAAAAATTTGGATATGATTTCGACAAATTATTTTTTGGCATATTGTGAAAAAGTATGTGTAGCCTTGAGCCAAAATTCACCCCTATTTTGACTAATTTTATCAGACAGTATAATCTGCTGCCATGTTTCTATTGTTCACTACCTACTAGTTTCAACCCTGTATTGTCTTGTAATCTATGTATGTCTTTTTGCACTATTTTATTATTTATTTTTCTACTAACATGGAACAGTGATTTAATGGGAGAATTAAAGGTATAATATATACAGGATTGTTAAAAAAAAAACATGGGGGACCTTCACCTTACCACATGGACATTATGGTTTATTATTTATTTCATATTCTTTCTTAAATCATTAATATTATCTGACAAGTAAACCTGCCTGACACATTCCCACTCAATTTATGTAACATGGTCCATGAAAAGAATTTTAACTCTTAAAGGGATTGTAAAGTGGTTTTCTAAATTTTGTATGTGTATCGGGGACACTGACAGCATCAATTTTCACCATTCCAATTTTGAGTCAGATGTCTGTTGTTTCTGCAATTGCTTAAACAGAGTGTATGACGATGTTACTAATCACGAAGGGCCTTAGGTGATAAAGCCTATTTCGCATCAAACACTTACAGGTAGTTTTAGTGGAATTCTAGGAACCACAGACATCGGAATGAAAATTGGAAGGTGCAAATTGATGCTATCAGTGTTACCGATACACATACTAAATTTAGAAAACCTCTTTACAATCCCTTTAAATACTTTCGTTTATACAATTTTTAAAAATTCCAAAATCTTTTATGTTGATTTGTAGTTCACAATATGCCCCTTTTCTAGCACATATTTTGTTGTAGTGACTCTATAATTTAGTGATATATTGTTTAAATGCTAGCAGTGGAGTTATAGGCATTGATTTGGTAATAACTTAAATTTTTATGTTTATTGGGGTACAAATTTTTTAAAATTTTCAATACTAATTTGGTAGATATTTTTTGTGTTGGTTTCCAATTTTTCGTCCCATTCTTTATTTATTTCAAATCCTACAATTTATAGTTGAAAAGAGGAAGATCAAATCCAAAGTGAATCAAATCACTTATCAAACATGGGAAGCTAATGGGACTAGATATTTAGCCTGTGCAATAGCATGTACAAAATCACATTTTCTCATGAACTGTCGAGTCTGGTAAACAATTTTTTTTGTAATTATAGTGACCATATATGTTTTCATATGTATTTCATTTGGATGTCAAAGAGTTATTGTTCTTGATCTAGTTGAACGAAAATGATTATGTTAGATAATCTTGTCAAACACTCAACCTGATAATGTCAAACACTCAAACTTGGTGATTTCATACAATCAACTTGGTTATTTCCTACAATCAACTTGGTTATTTCCTACAATCAACTTGGTTATTTCCTACAATCAACTTGATTACGTCAAACATAAAGCATGATTATGTCAAACATAAAACATGATTATGTCAAACATAAAACATAATTATGTCAAATATAAAACATGATTACGTCAAACATAAAGCATAATTATGTCAAATATAAAACACAGAACCTGATGATGTCAAACTTAAAACATGATTATGTCAAACATTCTGCATGATTCAGCCAAACATAAAACAATATCACATCAAACATAAAACATGATAATGTCAAACACCCAATTTGAATATGTCAAACACTTAACTTGATTGTTTCAAGAATTATTGTGTCAAACACTTAAATTGATTGTGTCAAACCTTCAACTTAATTTCATCATAGACTCAAGCTATCTATTCGCACACTTTAATGAGAAATTTTGATTAATCATCTCTTGTTTTTGACTTATTTCATAGTATTCAAATTACCATCTAAGTGTTGAGTCACTGTTGTCTTTGTATCAAACTTATCACTGTGAAAAAAGACAATGCATGTATCTCACTTCTGCTTCCATAGAATTGCACCAAACTCTTAAAAAAGGCACTGTCATCAAGGCAATGGTCTGATTTTCTCTTTTCAACTATATAATAGCTTAGATATATTTCCATTGTATTAGTAGCTAATTTTATTTTATTATTTTACTATATATAGTCGACAGTTTCTGAAGGTATATTACTTAGTCTAGTCATATGTTTCTTAAAGTTTTTAACATTGGTTATGGCACTGCACTTTTGATATTTTGTTTATTTAACCCTTCAACTTCAACTATACGACAGATAAAAATTCTGCATCAAAGTTTTCTGAAAAGCAATATTCGTTAAAGGAATTGTTTTGCCAAATTTCAATCTTATATTGTTGTAAATGAAGATTATAGCAACCAAAATTTATTGTAATTTTCTGAAGCAATTCCTTTATGAATCCTTTTAGATGTCATCATTAAAGTTTTTTTTAAAGAAGTAACACTACTGTATGATTGGATTAAATGCATGTGTACCTGATTCTATTCTGGATATTCCTTCAATAATATCAATTTCTTTTCGATACTAATATTTTTTGCTACTGGTATTTGTATTTATATTAAAAAGGCACAAATTATCACCAAACATCAAATGGTTTGAATTACACTGTGTTTAGCACAAAATTGAATGCAACATTTTTATTTTGGTTTGAAGGCAAACAATTGTAACAGAAAAATTTATTTTGAAACTAATTGGGAAAAAATGATTGTGCCCAAAGTATTTCTGTCAAGTTCCACATAGGATTTAATATGCAATTAAAACATGATACACCAGTGATTGAATGAAAATCATATGATCTTTATTTGATAAAGACTCATGTATTTTGCAAAATCTTTTGATATGCACTTCTGCGTATGAGTATTATAAACACAATATGTATCTGGTTTGTACATCAGAGTTAAAAAAATACTGTTTTGAATCAGCCACAGATGTCATAATGAAATCTTCATCATTGAGTTTCCTTCAATCACCAACAATGTAAATTGCTTAAAAATAATGATTGTTATGGTTTTTATTTCTATTTCAATTCATTGATGAAATTTCAGGCATCGACAGAGACTCAGGGACCAACAGAGAGTAAACGCAAGGGCTCCATTCTCGCCAATTACTTCCCTGTCAGAAGGTAAACCTCTTATGAATTTTTTGTTGTCTCCCTTGTCCATTTGTCCATCTGCTCAAGGGCATGAGATTTTTATCAAACCAGTGATTTTTAGTGATCTTGCAATAGAAATTCATTGTGTGGAATTTTACATTAAGAAGTAGAAAATAAAAGTTGGCCATTAGACATCTTGAAAAACGGCCATTAGACTTCATAAAAAACAAGGATCTGAAATGCATTTCAACTTTGAACTTTGATTCCGTTTCTCTTGTTGTAGATCCAAGCATCCATCGGAGGGATTTGACAAGAGTTTAAGTCGCTCCACTCTAGAAGATTATGAAGAAGATCTAGAAGAAGATATTGAATGTGATGATGATGATCCTGAATTGTATATACCTTCCCCTCATACTAATTCTTTACATAGTGAATTAAATATTGACTCTTCCACTCATAATGATTCTCACCATAAACCTCATAAATATCAGCGTAATAAAAAACATCTATCAAGTGACTCTTTTAGCAGTGATCCTGAAAGTGAATCAGCACTACATAGGTAAGCAATTAAATTAGTGTATTAAATCAGGAAAAAATCAGTTTAGAAACCATACATGTGTACAGGTCAGGAAAAAAAATCTAATAGAAACAACTTTTTTTTTTTCGTTGGTGGGGGGTTACTTCACTCCTCATAGGATCTTAAGACATTTGTAAGAATGATAAGTTTCCTGTTTAAAGAATATTCATCCAATCAAATGCTCTGTTCAGTCAGGGTTGGTATTTATGGATGTTATTTCTACATACTCAGTTAACAAAATACTTTGACAGTTCTATTTTTTGTGAACCATAATTATTTCATGTGATTTATTTTCAAAATGGTATTTATAAGTTCTCAATGTATGTATTATACACAGATCTGCCTGCTTGGCTTTTAACAGTTGTGAAGAAATATCTCCTGATCAACGAGCATCTGCCATTCACAGGTTATGTCTGTTTTAGTCACAGCTCTGAAAGCATGTGTACTCTATCCTTACTTATATTGCCCTCTTTTGTTTGATATGATTTTGGAACTAAAATTCACTTTTGATTTAAATACAAAAGAAAATGGAAAGTGATCAGTTTTTCTCAGCTGGTTATATATTGCATTCAGGAAGAAATTCTAGGTATAAATTAAATCCTTAAACCCTAGTATTATAATTTTTAATTAGATTGATTGATTATTTACAATTAGAAATTGTTCTTGGTGTCTGCAGAAAGGGCCATATGAGGTAGTCAAATCACATATAAATTCAGCTTAAAGCATGAATAAGGAACATTTCTTATGTTATGAGTAATTGTGGAAAATCTGATCATTATGAACAAAAGTAGATAATGTATCAAATGTTGATTACCATTTGCATGATCATTCAATTGAAGGAATATCATTTCAAAATATTTGATCACAATCTAACATCAAGTTATTACACATTTCACTTTGCGTTCTTTGAAACACTTTAAAACACATAACTAAAGCACCACTATTTCCTATCAATGGTGCTAGTACTTGGTAAATTCCAATTATTATATAGCTGGTTAAGGCACAAGTCCAGGGTAATGGTAAAATATAAGAATGGTGTTTCTTAAAAATGCAATTTGGATCGATTCAGCATTATTTTGTCTCCTGACTCCATATATTTGTGCCAAAGTCAAAAATATTTTTCCAAAAAATAATCAGAATTCATGATTTTTATTTTGCAATAGTCTGTTTTTGATTAGTTCTTTTTGTTAGAGGTAGAATTTTCAGAGAGTTCTTTGGTGTGTCTGAGAATGTAATTGACTTTCTTACCTCCTTTTTGTAGTTCTTCAATGAGTAATGAAATAAGAGCAGTAAGAGATCAACCTCTAGGTGCAGCAGCAGACCATATAGACAGTACAGAAGCTGTTAAGGTAAGGTTATTGTTTGATATTTCAATCACCATTATACTGCATTCATATGCATACACATTAAAGGGACTTTAAAGAGGTTCTTATGTGTATCAGTGACACTGATAACATCAAGTTGCACCATTCCAATTTTCAATCAGACGTCTAAGGCCCTTTGCCATTAGTGACGTCATGAAATACAGGAACCACAGACATCTGATTTAAAATTTTCCACAGACATCTGATTAAATAATTTCAGTGTCCCAGATACACTTAAAAAATTTAGAAAACCTCTTTACAATCCCTTTGATATCTGAAATAACAGTTGCAAAGAAACAATAAAAAAGTTGGTAGTCTATGGATAAGAAGAGAATATTCCTATTGATTTCTATTTATAAATTTCTATTTCTAGTGTTTGAAAAGTAAAGGACCAGAAAGAATATTTAAAGTGGTATTTATTGGTGATTCTGGTGTAGGAAAAAGTAGTTTTATACACAGATTCTGTAATGATTCCTTTAAAGATAAATTTGCAGCAACAATAGGTAGGATATGGCCAAGTTTTGATATTCTATGGCACTGACATTAAGGCTGTATATAGATCCCTGTATATGTTTTATATGAGCAATTCTTGAATATACCTCATGATAAGTTTGATATTCATGCTCTTTGGATCTTTTTTTTACTGATATTTACTATTAAAGAAAAGCTGGCTTGGAGCATTCAAATTTGACCCAAGCACCAGAAAGGCATATTAGAATATGATTATGAACCAGTTCAGACTAGTATCTAATATCTTGTTATCTTATGTCTAATTGATTTATTTATTTCTGTTAACAGGTGTAGATTTCCAAATTAAAACAGTAGAACAAGATGGCCATATTATAGCTTTACAATTATGGGATACAGCTGGTCAGGAAAGGTATATTTTGATATTCAACTTATTTGATTCATTTGTTGATCAATATTAATGTTGTTGATATGCACATCTATGACCTCAGTATAAGTCTCCTTGCACCATATATCTGAATAGACAAAATCTGATTTGGTATTCAGAGTGAGGAGGTCTCTAAAAACTCCTATGTAAAGCACTGGCAGAGGTCATAAATAAAGAGATCTGCTAAAAATAGGGTGGAGTCAATATAGTTAGTACTTAGTTTTAAACATGAAAAATTAAACAGGAAATTTCCAATAAATCTTATAAATCTTGATTGTTTTTAGTTAGCTTCTCAAATTGAAATATATTCACCACCATGTTGAATGTGGACCTGCATTCTGTAGCTGGTAGAGGCTGTTCATGATTAGGAATCTCATTGCACACTGCATAGCAACACAGTCTTGCAACTTATCAAATTGCAGCTGTCAATGCATGTTAAAAAAATCAACAGCTAATCCAATACCATAGGACTAACTTCTATTTTGTTTTAAAAGAACAAATAATAAAGGAAAACATCTGTTTCAGATTCCGAAGTATAACTAAACAGTATTTTAGAAAAGCTGATGGTGTAGTAGTAATGTATGATATCACATCAGAAACTAGTTTTAAAAATGTCAGAAATTGGATGATTAGTGTCAAGGTAGGACTTAAAGATACAGTAGACTAAATATTTGGTTTCCCAGCTAATATGGCTCGATGTCAGTTTTCAGTTTGATCTTTTACAGTCTAATTAGAATTAGACCCAACTTTCATTTTGTTTTACTCTGAAGTGGCTATACTAAAAATATAAACTAATACAAAAAATGAAATGAAAGTTGGATCTTTTATTGTCTGAAATTTGAAAAAAAAATTCTAGCATATTTGAAAAGTCTTCATTACCATGATTCTAGACTTGAATTACAACCCACATCCATGATTTCTTAATTTTGAAAAGTGATACAGATAGCTGAAATTGGGCGTTTTAAGAGTAAATCAAATGTATCAGATCAATCTATTTGAGTGTTGACAAACAAAAGAATGTTACCTTTGCATTTAATAGATTAAAGCATGTAGCTATCTTAAGTTATTAGTAGATATATCACACTATCAATTACCTGTATCACTTTTCAGAACAACAATCTGAAGTAGGTTTAGTAAATTTTTGCTGTTTTCTGATACTAATATCAAAATGATTCATTCTACAGGAAGGTTGTGATGAAGGAACAGTTCTAGTTGTTGTGGGAAATAAAACAGATTTATTAGATGATAAACATGAAAGTGTTGTCACAACTAAAGCCGGTAACCATCTAGCTGATGTAAGTTTTTTGGGAACTATTTTCAGTATTATTGCATTCAATTATGAAACAATAAACCGGAACAATTGCCATTCTTATCAAAACTAATTTGATATTTGCAGGCTACTTGGCAGCTTTGGGCTGTCAACCTTCCTCTGGCATATTTTTTATTCAACTGTAGACATTCCAGGTGCTGAATGTTCACTCCTAAAAGTAATATGGATTGCTGAATTTGAACTTTAACTAAGGGTGATATTACATGAGTATACCCCTTTAGATGAAAAACAAAGAATTGTTGTAATGTATAGATGTCTATTTGTAGGAATATGGTGCTTTATTTTATGAAACTAGTTCTAAGTCTGGTAATGGTATCCCAGAAACTATTGATGGTCTGTCAAGGTTTGTACAATTATGTGGATGTTAACAGTAATGGCATTTAGACCATCAGATTGGAGGATATTTTGCTTCAGTTTTTTGCATTTGATAATTATGAGCAAACATTCTGGACTTGTCTCACAGTGTTGTCATGAAAACAAGCTCTACTTGACAAACTTCAGTAGGACGCAGGCTGAAATAAATCAGTTGTCTTAAGATCGCACAGGGTGAAACTCAAACATGTTTCAGGTTCTGTTTTAATTTTTCAATATGGCTCTACAATTGATGTGTTGAACACTATTGAACACTGTTTTAACAGTGCAAATATTTTGTCATTATAAATGTACAAAGTGAAATCTTAAAATATTTTTGGAAGTATTCCATATAAGTGATCACATTTGAAATGATACTTCTCTATGATGTTCAACGCATCAACTACTGAGTTTGAAATCTTTATTTTGATTTTCAGTTTGCTACGAGAAAAAGAAGACAAGGCAATAGAAGATGCTCTAAGATTAGACACTATGACTTATACCAAGAAAAAGAAATGTTGCAGTGGTGGCAAATAATCTGGTCTAGGAAAATCTTATATTTTATGAACAAAACAGGTGTTGGGCTGTATATTGATCATGCTCTTCAATCAGGTTTCTGCTGGATAGGAACTGGTCTTATGCTGTATTCGTTACCTCTCGGAAATACAGTGAATTTCCCAGTCATAAATACCTCGTTGAATTCACTCTGGAGCATAGGATATATTGTTATTTGTGTCTTGTAATGTGTTCATCATTATACAATTTTTGACAATTGATGTTGAATTCTATTTCCTATTGTTAAGCTTCCTACAACATTTAGACAAGAGGTAACGAATACTGTTTTAGTGTAACATCATCCTTGTGATACCTAGAGTAATTTGACACCGATTTAACACCCTGGGATAACTAATGCATTCCTTTTGTACATGGCGTGTATTTTTAGAAATGTTAAAACTTTAGATCTCTGTAAATGAATTATTTCATGAAATCTGCATAAGTTATGAATCATTCAGTTGTCCCAGGGTAGTAAATATAGGTATGTGATAAGACTCAAGGGGTATTCAAGATGTGGAAATACTCTTGTGTTCAAGTGCTTGTTGGAGAATGGCCATTCAATGGCTCATATTTATTGTTGTATGCTGTTGTCTTTAACATATATTCAGTGCTAATCTAGTCTTCCACCATCTTGAGCCTCAAAGCATGAAGGGTCAGTTTAAAAATTGTATCTGAGATCCACCAGACCGATTTTTTATCACGAATTAAAACCCTTTGTACAACTATATTGTTTGTAATATTGTTTCATATGGCCATAATATACCTTATGTTAATTAATTCCATAAATTTTAATGACCAATTTGCATAATATATCGCTTTACAATTGTATTGAGAGTGAAAATGTTTTGTTATTGTAATTTTAGGAGTTAAAATAATATTTGAAGCATATGTTCATATTGTCCTGTTGGATAAATATTTATGGATTCTCTTTTTGAAAAGAACAGAATGTCATATTGTGTTTAAAACCACTAAAAACTATATTGTAAGAAATATCACCCATATTCAGTTATACACCCATACTCAGATATACACCCATATTCAGTTATACACCCATATTCAGTTATACACCCATATGCAATTATACACCCATATTCAGATATACACCCATATTCAGATATACACCCATATTCAGTTATACACCCATATTCAACCAAAACTTAATAATACGAAAGTAAGTCCCTGAATTTTACTGACACTAAAGTCTTTATGGCTCAAGATGGTCAAAGTGAAAATAATTTTTACATCAAGTGCATTATAGATCACTGCTAAAAACTCCTTATGACTGCTATTATCTGATATTTATGTTATGTTATATAACTTTGATATATTGTATATTGTTGAATGTATCTCTTCTACTTTTCTACAGGTTGTTGGAAGGTTAATGCCTATGTCTTTCTTACTTGTGGATAATTATCTCTGGTTTCCATTATTTTCTAGCTCTCTGGGGTATCAAGTCTGTTTTATCAGGAATATTGGTTGGCTGTCTTAAGACCTATCCTTGTTGAAAACTGACCTATGCCCCATTTAAGCTCAATATGAGTTTCTGTGGTCTGTAAATATAATTCTACCTTTGTTTCTGCTACCGATACTTATTAATTCTGTGCAATATTAGTATTTGTATATAATTCCAGATTGTATTATAGTATGTAAATTGTAATTTTAAAGGGAACCTTTCTGGTAAATATTCCTTAAGAACTGTTTGTCTGTTTTAGAAATGTATATATTTAGTGCCTTGTGTTCATATCCCTTTTGTCTGTTGCACTTGAAATCCGTTTTTACAATCTTTATACAGAATATTATATAATATATTATTTAGTTTAAGTGTTTATTTAATGAGTTCTGCAAGTTATTTTCAGGACCTTATGATAATGTTATTAAAGTCATCTAAAATATGCATTGAGAGATTTTAACTACCTGTAACACTATTTAGAAAGGAAATCTGATTGCTGATTTGTTTACAATTTTAGAAAAAATTCAATGTCAACAGTTTTAAATGTATAGACCATTCTACAAGGCAGATAAGATGATTTTATTGTCCTTGGTTTATTCAATTGAAGATGAACAGGATGTCTGATTTTCGTTCTGAAAAGGAAGCTGAACTTAAGTGTCAAGCACAGAAAGCTTGAACAACTTTATCCTGCTCTCCATTTTATTCTATGCACATATAAGAACATTCTATAACTGTATAAGAAAATACTGGAGTGTACCATTGTCGTAAGTGTGTATGCTAGTTTGAGCACTCTGGCATGGTACGATGCTACCAAATATGTGGGATCATCTGAGGCTGATGAGGCTCAGAAGTCCAAAACAGTTCTGTTTGCAGTAAGAAAATACATAGCAATAGCAAAGTCTAAAACATTACTGAGAAGTCAAAAGAAATTTGCTTGTCATATTCAATGATCAAAAAAAGTTTCATAAATAATAAGTTATTTAGTTATATTTATTATTGTATTGCAGTAAACATACATGCTCTTAGATTCATTGGAGTTTGTGGATTAAGACCCCTCTTTGAATAATCAGTCTAATTGGAACAAACTTTCGTTCTATATTTATTAGCATATATCTTTGATATAGGGTCTTAAACTGCCTTTTAGAACAATTATCTGTTTATTGACACCACCAGCCAATCAAATTCCTGCCTTCTCCAATGCTGGGATTTTGTGACTTGTACAAAAGGTGTATTCTGAGAAGAATAAGACAATGAATGCACATTTAGTTTGAGTCACAGGAGAGGGCAGGGATTTGATTGGCTGGTGGTCATAAGAAAATTACACAGAATCTTGGCAAATATCTCCCATGGCAAGCTCCAATTATTCTAGGGTTGTTTCAGCATGTTTTTGAAGTAAACATAGTGTTCTTGCACTGCATTTGATATCAAATTTGTTATGTAAACATTTTATTCGTTTTTTAACTGCTCTGGAATTGTTATTCTTTAAAAGTCTATTTCAATAAATAAAAAATACTATTTTATAACTACTGTTTTCTTATTCACAAATTACAAATTATGGTAAAATGTACTCAGCTGATAGAGGTGTTGCTCTGTTCAATCAAGTCATATGTTTGAGTAAATTGATGAACTGATGAACTTTTAGTGAGTGATGTTGAGTACTGATAATTGGTGAACTGTTTTCAAAACATTACTTAATCAAGTTCTAATGTTTGGTCAAATGGGGAGTGAATTGTTAGTGAGTAATATTCACTACAATCACTAATAAAGATAAACAATACAAATTGTGGTAATTGGTGAACTGTTAAAATCTACTCAGCTGATAGAGGTGTTGCTCTCTTCAATCAAGTCTTAAGGTAAATTCTTATGTTTCTTAAAATTGGTGAGTGAACTACTATTAAATTTCTAAGTAATGTTGAGTACTATTCACTACTACTCACTACTAAAGATATGTATTGCAAATTGTGGTATATTGATGAACTGTTGGCGAGGTGTTTCTCTATTCAATCAATTTAAATTAAGGTAAATTGGTGAACTACAGCTTTCTTGATATAGGTATGATTATGCAAATTGAGATGAGTGAACAATACTTATTAATATTTAACACAACTCTATTCAATATTTAGTAAATTAGTGAGTGAACTACTGCTCTACTCAGTCGATAATTGGTATTTAGTAAATGAGTGATTTGGTGTTCAGTATTGTTCATCACCACTCACTAATAAAGATATACTTTACATATTGTGGTAATTGGTGAACTGTTTTTAAAATATACTCAGTGAGGTGTTGCTCTATTTAATCAGTTTGGGTAAATTGGTAAACTGTTAGTGAGTTATGTATTAGACAAATCGACTCAGTTCTCTGAGTTCTGTGTTCAGAGCTCTACTCAGTCAAAGTAATAGTGTTTAGTAAATTAGTGAACTGTAAGTGAGTAATGATTATCATAACTCCCCTAATAAAGATATATTTCCAAGGGGAAAATTTTGAACTGTTTTTTTTTTTTAAAAACTGAGCTAAGTGAACTGTTGGTGAATGATGTTGAATTCTCAGCACTATAGTTTTAAGGTTTTCAATCTATTTCTTATAGGATCCTAGATAATTTGCATTACCTCCTTCCTTTATAAATATCTACTATTTCCTTGCAATATTTTTCATTTTGGAGAATATAATATGATTAAATAGAATAACTTATATTATTAAATTATAATTGTCCAAAAATTTTATGCTAAACTTCAAAACACCTCATTTCTCCATGAAAATTTCCAAGTTACCTCTAGGTTGAAATCTCTGCTACAGCTCTCTTTAATTGGATTATAATTACAAAACATATACACAGATACATAACATAGCAGAAAAATACATTACATAAGGCACTCACATAAGCTTAATCTCATTGGCTACCTAGTATGTGTAAGAATTTGAATGTGTAAATATAGAGATTTGTAAAGGGAAATTCAGCCATCCATAGCACTTTTGAAAATTAAAGTTTTGATTTTGGACCCCTTTTTAATCAATCAAAAACATAACAGTCTGAAAGTGACTACAGTGAAAGCTTTCACTGAACATTTTCTTTGTAGGATATCTTCATCTGAAAAGTGATAAAGGTACCAATAACCGAGCTCTATTAGCAGAAAAGCACATATTTTATTGACTATTCCGTTTAAGCTTCTAGTGCATTCCAGACATCAATAATGCCCTTCTTTCCTAGTGTGATGGATTCAACAATACCATATTTCAATTACCCAAATACTGCTAAACTATACAGTTTTCATTTAATCTTCTGGTGCCTTATTCTTAAAAACTTAACTAAAGATGATATTAGTGTTCCAGTCATCTGATTGGTTAATCACTAAAATTAACTTTAAATTTAGTTTTGCTACCCAATCAGATTACTGTATTTCTTAAAATCAGGATTATATTTAAGTTAAGTTTTGGGCACAAGTGTCTTATACTGACTATTTGTTTAGTTTCACATAATGGATCGACTGATGCCTTCTTAGCATCCAAAAATATAACACAACAATTGTTCAATAAAAAGAAAAATTTATCCCCAAAACAAAATGATTAAATTTTATAAGAAATTTGAGTCTTTAAAAATAAATGCTATAGGCTTCTTCAAAGAATGGATAGAATAGAAACCAGAAGAAGCACTATTTTTGATTGATAGTTTTGGCTTTGTTTGATGATATTTTAAGCATTTCTTGTAGTTGTCCAGTTTTAAGAAAAGTTTTTGTTTCACTAGCTCCTCCAATAGATTTACCAGTAATAAACACTCTTGGTACCTGAATATATAACAAAATGAAACAAAATGAACTTATGTTAATTCAGAAGAGCAAAACTATGCAATACAGTCTGATGTATTGATCATTTAAGTATCCAAAATGAAGGAAACATGCAATTGTCAATTAAGCATGCAACTATACTTGCTGAGTCACCATTCAGTTCATTTTAAAGCAAAATAGTGTTTTAAATCAGTTAATAGAGCTTAAATTCAACTTCCCTTAAAGGGTTTGTAAAGGGGTTTTCTAAAATTTCTATGTGTATCAGGGACACTGATAGCATCAATTTTCGATCAGACATCAGTGGTTCTTGCAATTCCACTAAAAGTATTTGATGACGTCACTAATTACAAGGGGGTCTAAGCCTAAATGTCACAGCATATTTTGCAATTACTGACGTCATCAAACACTTAGTTTTAGGGAAATTGCAGGCACAAGAGACGTCTAATTGAAAATTGGAATGGTGCAAATTGATGCTATCAGTGTCCCCGATACACTTAAATAAACTGCAATTTTCCACTCGCCTACAAATCAAAACTTAGCGTAGATTTTCAAACTATCATTACCTCTGTGACAGGCTTTACTCCTTCTACTAACATTGATGATAATATCCAAGAATGATTTTTACAATGTTTACAAAAAATGATAAATCTGTGTACAAAGCGATAAAGAATTTGATCACATACTTGTTAATTGAACTTGGCAGATACTTCTGTCTGAAAATGCTTTTAATGAAAACTTACCGTTCTAGCTCCTGTCATATGATGTAAAATATCTTGCATCTTTGTTCCATTATCTACCAAATCCAATTCTACCACATTCGGTGTGACATTGAGTTGAGCAAATATCTGTTTAACAGTCTTACAGTGAGGACAATATGTCTTAGAAAATATCACAACTTGATGAGTATCGATAGCGTTCTGTATAAATTTTGCCTCCTTTGAATCCATATCAGCAGTAGATTGACCATTACCCATCTTGAATCTATGAAAAAATATTTCTAAGTGAGGTGTTTAATTTGGTTTGATGCTATTTATATAACAATGGATGGTAATTTTTGTTCCATAGTCTGGTGATGATGAATTGAAATATTTGATGGGGTGATTTTACAGCTGTTATCATTCATTAGATCTATCAGACCTACACAACACTAAAATCTGGGGGTAGGCAAATGACCATATTAGGCTGGGACAAAATAAGTTATCATCGACTTCTATTTGATTTACTTAGCCAACCTATTTGAACTACCGATTCTTGATAATTGACTGCCTTGTGCCTACACCCGTCTACTCAGGTACATGATACTTTTGGAGAGAATGTTGGTTTACTCTTATTCTTTTGGGGTTTTTTTTCATGGTCTCTGGATTTTGCCTGTTTTACAACTGTAACTTATGGTTATTTTCCAAGATCACTCTGCTACCCTATCAAAGTTTTTGCTTCTTGCCAGCAAATGATAAATTTATGAGTGATAAGCATAATTTAATCTTTAAAAGTAGATCCAACATCCTCATTTCGAATTGGCCTTACATGTAACGAAGCATTCTATTACTTTTTTTCTGATTATATTAGTGCTTGTTTTGGAATACTAGGGCTCTTATTTATTTTTGACAGCTACTTTCAGTTTTTGACATCTAACCGGAAGTAAAAGGTGAGAGTTACTTCCCCCTAGTTTCGCGTCGTCTTATTTCCGGTTTGATGTGTTATTTTTTCTGACATAAGTATGATATATATTCCATTTGTTGACGTGGAATAAAAGTCTGTTAGACTTACAAAAACATTTTGTCAAATGAAGATATGACTTTTTAAAATTTTGGTCTGTATGTCGACAATCCTTGATTCGAGTGCATCGTGTGTAAGTTCTTTCTGTAACATGATGAAAATAAAATTTATGTGTCAAAACTGTCAAAGCCTACTCATCTCATTGGCATAATACACAAGATTCCGAATGACATATTAATTATGGACGTTTTAACGTCTCAATCCTCTCATGATTGGTCAATATAAGGTTATATTTGTAAACCTCAATATTGTCTCTCCATATTCTAATGTCAATAAATAAACATGACACAGTTAGTTAAGCCTATCCCAAGATTACATTAATTTTGTTCTGTCATTTCTCAAATATTCAAAATAATATATTCAATTGCATGCCATTGTCTTGGAATGTCTTCTGTCAGCCTTAAACATGGTAAATATAAGCCAAATTAATAATTGAATTGATATTTTTGATTATTATCTCATTTCAGGTTGTAGTAAATCAGTACAGGATATTAAAGATGGTCTTAATATAAGATATTTGTAACAAATATATAAATCCCAAAATCTTTCAAAATGATGCAAGAGGCAGATGATGAACAAATATTATTTGATCAGGAAGGTTTACTGTCTGATGGTTCATCTACAGCATCCAAGAGAAATAAAAAATCTACACAATCAAATTGGTCAAGGAAATTTATTAAAACTGTTGTGTTGTGTGTTGCATTTTTCGCTTTGGTAAGTTTGAAATTTTTAATTATGTGAATACCTGTGAATTACTTATTATGAAATTGTTGTAAGATATCAAAGGGAAAGGGGCACAGACACTGTATATCATTATCTATCAATCATTCGATATCGGTACGGTACCACATAATATTAAATTTGGAGGGGGAATATAAGTGATCCTGGCAACTCAAATTCAATATCAAAATAATATATTTGATAAGCACTTGAAGTCCTTTCTTGATTGAAATGGGGGAGGGGTAGAAAATTGTACATTCCTAGGGTTTGACTCAAGAAAGCTGATTGACCTATATTACCAGTTAGGTCTGGTTGAAGATCAGAATGCCTATTACAATATTGTGAATTGGGGAATATGTTATGGCAGCACAATATAAACCCAATCAAATACATCTATGTCAAGAGAAATACAACTTCAGAGAAATGAAGTACAATACATGTACATGTATAAGTATTCTGTTTGTAGCAAAATATTAATGTTTATTATTTATGGTTATAATTTCAGGGTTTATGTATAGCTATACCAGGGCCAACATTATTAGATCTATCACATAGAGTTAATACAGATGTATCTCAAATATTACTCATATTCACAGCCCGATCACTGGGTTATTTACTAGGCTCTATTATTGGTGGATTCTTATTTGATAAATTTGACCAACTACTATTACTCTTCTATACTCTAGTATTAACTTCTATAGCTACTACAGTAGCACCATGGTGTACTGTTTTAACTGTTCTAGCTATTATGATAGCATTCCAAGGAATTTCTATGGGAGTATTAGACACAGGTAAGAAGATATAATGGAATATAGTTTTATAAATATGTGGAAGTATTCAAATATTAACCCCTGTAATATCGTATATTGAAAATGCAATCCCACAGATGCTTCTCTTTGCAACCTTTTTTCAATAATACTTGGTATGTAGGTATATGAGCAATAAATGATGTTAGACATTTTGCTACAGTTGAGAATTATAATCCCCTTGTTATTGTTAACTCTTATGATCTAGAAAAAAGTGAATTAGCTCATAGTTTTAAAGCAATTTTCATAATACTAGCTTTGCAATTATATTGAATTAAGATCTATTTAGAAAGTTAATCGTTTCACCAACTGCATGTCGAAGTGGGCCTAGTTGGATATGATCCACTATCTTATTTGATTATATGAGAACCACATGTCAATATTTTGATTATTAAAAGAGTTGGTATTGTTCTTGCAGCTGAGCAAATGTAAATGTAGTTTTTTTTAAGCTAATGATTTTCTAATTTTGAATGATAAGTTCCTAGTCAGAAGGGAATTCAGTCTATCAATGTTAAAAAAGGGTTACAACTGATCAGTAAGTAAAAACCGTATGGTATTTGTTTGCTATGGGCACGTTGGATTAGGGAATATTAATAAAGAAAACACTCATACCAAAAACCTGATTTTCTATATCTAAAATATAAAATATTTAACTGTGGTTTCTCTTGTAGGTGGTAATGTGTTGTGTATCAAAATATGGGGGAGAAAAAGTGCACCATACATGCAATTACTTCATTTTGCTTTTGGTGTTGGAGCATGTATTGCTCCTTTATTAGCAGAACCTTTTCTAATGAATCCAGAACTCTTAGCTCAGGCTAACAACAATAGTGTTATCAAAAATCATCCATATCAAGGTAACTCACCAGTTTTGGTTGATCTAGAAGACATAAAATCCAATTTAAATTTGGAACATCATTTAGTAAAAAGACTGGCTGATAGTGAAAATAATGTGACTAACAGTTCTGATCTAGAGACCATCCTTCAGAATTCTAATTTGACTAAATCAACAACAATAGCTCCAGCTGCATTACCCAAAAAACCTACAATAACAAATTCATCAGGAAAGGATCCAGATGGCAGTGATCTTTCAAAGGATTTGAAAAAAGGAAAGGAAGAAGCAAAAAAATCTGAAGAAGATTCCAAAGAGTTTTCAACAACTACAATGGTTCAATCGTTAAATTACACTATTTCTGTAAATGGATCTACAATAGTGGTTAATGATGGTGAAAATAATACTTCCACAACTCTAGAACCAACTACAACTGAAGCTACTACAACACCAACTCCAGTTTCTACAACTACTACCCAGGTTCTTACAACAACCACTTCAACAACCACTCCAACACCTACAACAACACCTACAACAACCACTCCAACACCTACAACAACACCTACAACAACCACCCCAACATCTACAACAACACCTACAACAACCACTTCCACACCAACACCCACGCCTCAAACTTCCACTACAGTTGCAACAACCACATCAGCGTCAAAAATGATTACTGACTTTCCAGTCAAATCTACAAGTGAAGTTGCAATTACATCAACGAACAGCTCTGTCAATACTACAACTTATAAAAAACCAGACGTTACCTCTGCCGATCTCTTCAACTCTGCTCTCAATGCTTTGTCAAACATGTCCAACATACAGTTTGCCTACATGATAATTGGACTGCTGCTGGCAGTCAATGCCATTATGTTTCTTGTATTGTATTGTAAGGAAAATCACAAAGATGTCCCAACACCTCAAGAGGAAAAGGAGAACAAACTTCGTCAAGGTACAGCCACGTTTAGAATTGTCATTCTGACATTACTGTTCTTATTTTTCTTTGTTTACGTTGGTATGGAGGTTACATATGGAGGACTACTTTCAACATTTTCTGTGAAACAAATGAACTGGACAGAGCAGGAAGGAGCCACAGTGACCTCTGCATTTTGGGGGTCGATTGCTGCTGGTCGTGGTATAGCTATTTTGGTAGCGAAACTGTGCTCACCACCATGTATGCTCATTGCAGACTTATTTCTAATAATTCTTGGAGCTATAATATTATGTTTTGGTACATTGAAATCCGATATTTTCTTGTGGATTGGAACTTTGACTCTTGGATTAGGAATGTCTTCCTTGTTTCCGACCGGAATTTCTTGGGCTGATCATTACTTTCCTCTGACAGGGAAATCCACTGGAATTTTAATTGTGGGATCATCATTGGGTGAGATGATTGTTCCCTTTATAACTGGATATATTTGTAGTCATGAGTCAGAAATGGCGCTCATGTACTCCATGTTGGTCTGGGGATCCATTTCCCTTATAATTTATATCATCATGCAGAACGTGGCATCCAGTAAAAAGACTATAAGCTTGATCCATACTCCATCAAGAGATGGTTTTGAACCTTTAAGAGATGATGATGATGTTTTACCCCTAGATCTGATTGAATCTCCAACATATACCAATGGTTTGACAGAGAGTACTCGAAGTCGACAACCCAAGATACAGTTTAAACCAGAAAAGGAGTCGAATGGAGAATATAAAAGATTGATAGATTTCAGTGATCAAGAATTTTCTTGAAATGTTGAAATTTGAGGGAATTTTTTTTATTATGTTAAGCTTTGTAGATGTGGATTTTAATCCAGTCCACCTCACTGTTTTTTGTCTGAATCTTTCTGATCAGTTTTTGATGTAGATAATATTGGCATGTAGCTTCAAAATCAAGGCAGAAGCATTAAGCCTGTATTGAGTTACAAACAATAAACAATAAATTCTTACAATCAATTTTTACCATAAATCTGACCAGCCAACAGAAAAAAATAAAACCTTACATCAAAGGTTTCTTTTGGAACTGTTTATAAACAGTGATATTTGGCGCATTATACGCCTTTAAGTGTTTTCACCGATCGAAATACATGCAAGGTGGCAAGACCACTTCACAAAAGTTCAAGTTCAATCTTAAATTGCATAAATTTTAAAAATCTGACATTTCACTTTGTTACATTAACAGTTTTATGATTGATCAAATACCAGAATTTGGTAGAAATTATTTATATCAATCTATGAGATAAATTCCTTTGTCAATCTGGAAATTTTTAGTCTTCTTTTGTGAAATTAACTCTTGGCCCCTTGCTGCACATAAAATCCTAATTATTGTAATGAAAGTGGTGTCTTTGTGGGGTTTGAAATGTGAATTTGACAAAAAATGGAATAACTTTATTATTCCTAAACTTAAATGAAAAAAAGATTTTATAAGGCCAAAAAATCAAAAATATTTTAACTTGTGTTTTTCACTTTTTCATACCACATTATTTTTGCTTGAATTTTTATTTGAAATTATTTTTTTAAGTCATAATATTGATAAACTAGATAAATGTATTTTTCTGATAATTTTGTGGGTAAATGCTACTTATTCATCACAATTTCGTCCATGTTTTTGTGCAATCACATTTATCTTTGATCCGTGACAGCTGGGATGCAACTGTCTCCATACAAACAATTCTATAAAATTTCAGTCTGGTTTGAATGCACATCTCAATGTTTCTGTTGTTTTTTTTGCCACATTCACCATTCATGATTTGATTGAAATTTTATTCAGATTGTGTCATAATTTGACTGAGTAGTGCCCCCTATCTCATCTCTATCATAAACTAAAATAGATATTGACAAAAACAAGTGTTTCAGAACAGGTATTTTGTGTGGCCTGTACCACAGCCTGCATTCTCAAGAGTATGATTTCAGCAAATCGCATAGAAATTTTTAAACATCTTGTAATCTGGAATAATATTTATTTTAGAAGAGTATTTAATTGGATGAAATTTAAATGTCTTTGAACATGTGTTATATAACAATTACTTAAGATCATGGATTGCAAGTAGAAAAGTGATTCTTTATAATACATATTATATAGATTGTTGTGTACAAAGTAAATTTTATTCATGTTACTTTTCTTTGCTTTATTAGCAGCATTGAAGAGAACCAAATGTAAATTCTCTGTAATGGCTGATTCTATATATCTTACTATCACCCACCTTTAACTCAATCAAAACATTTAGACAGAAAGGTTAATATAATTTAAATGGCTTGCTCTGATGGAAGACCTTGAATAGTAGTAGCTTGCCTTGGGGAAAGACCATGCATTATGGTATTCAGATATATTCTATATAAGGATGTAGTGAGAATTCAATTATCCATTCATGCTTAGAAAAATATTCAGTGATGAAAATTATCTGGATGAACTGCATAATTCTTGCCAAATTGGGCATTTTCAAATTATTTATTTTTGAATGTTTTTATTCAGATCTCCAGTTTATACATACAAATTTTTTATTCTTCAATTTAAAAAACAAGACCATGAAATTTAAAGAATACTAGTAGTTAAGTTTAATTGTGCTGTCATATTTTCTTTTTTCATCTTCATATTCTCTGTGATACGAGCTATATAACTAAAGGTCCCTGCACATGGAGAGAAAATGGAACAGCAATATTTACTCTGGACTAATAGCACGTTGTGTTATTTTAATTAAAACACGTTAGTTTTAGTGGAATTGCAAGAACCACAGGCATCGGTATGAAAATTAGAAAACCTCTTTACCATCCCTTTAACAACAAAAACAACTGAATTCTCTCATCACTTGAACTGTCACTGTAGTAGTCCACCATTTTGACTGTCATGTTTTAATGGCTGATCTGAGACGAGCATTGAGCGTATGCGGAAATTAGTGGAGTGAGCAAGTGGCGCGCCAAATTCTCCCTGTGTCTGGTGGCCTTTAGCTCTTGTTTTATATCATATATATTAAATTGTATTACGTGTATACACAACCAGTATTTTTGGTAAACTTAAAATACTTATAGTCTTAAGTTATTTGTGTCACTTTTCAGAGTACAAATCTGATATCTGTTATAGCGCAGTGTAAACCTTACATGCTGTTATTGTCATGAGTCTAAATTGTCTGAGAAAAAGTCAGCTATGTATTGAATAGCTAGAATTAAGCTGTATCAGCTGGAACAGCAAATATTTAGTCAACTGTTTAGTTGTTTTAATAATCTATGTATATCACTTCAAAGTCTTTGGATTTGTGACTTTAATTACTTGTTTGTGAATGTCAAGTTTTCTGAGAGTGCACAATTTTTTTTCACTATCTGAATTCATGATCAGGAATATAATTGATTGATGCGTTCCTGAAAAGGGAATTAATTTTGATAAAGACTTTAACGAAATTCAAGTGACTTAAGAACTTTAAATATATTTGCAAGTTGAATTTGAATTTGTCATATTTAAACTATGATTCAAATTTTTTTGTAATTTGCAGAAAACTTTGTATAAATAATAAAAATAACATAGCTCAATAGTGCTAAATGTGGATTGTTATTCTAGTATTTTTTATTTGACCAGACCTCATGTAAATCATATTAAATGTTTTATATTGTATAAATAAAGCTTATTGCAATTTTAAACAATTTTTTTTATAGTCTACTTTAATGATTACAATGGAGGTATATTGCATCATCTTTGCAGGTTTCTATAGCATAGTCAGCTAGGACGGCCAACTTCATTTATTTCATTTTCATTGGTAAATGAAATAGAGTTAATTCTTGATACAATAAGTCACAATGTTTACAGTCTGTCAAGGGCTATGATTGGTTATATTCACTAACATACAATCCAATCAAATGCATTTACAAACTTCCTTGATACAAGAAGGGTGGCTATTGCAGTCAAGGTAATAGCTTGACATTGTGAAGCCTTAGAGATTTTATGTCTGGATGTGGTATGAAATTGAGCAGTCATCACATACAGCAAACATATGTGCTTATCACTTGACTTGAATTCATGGACCTGTATCACATTTAAGAAAATAGTCTTTCAATTACAAAATGTCATGTAGTTGAATTAATGCAGGTAAGGCTGGAAATAGAGTGCAAGTCATCTATTTATCAACTCAACTTCTAATTGAACTCTTCCACACATGCATACTTTATATTAACATGAAGAGTAAATGATGATCAGAAGAGTTCATTTGTAACATTTAGGGGTGTTTCTTGATGCCAGTCAAATTATATCAAATTTGTTATCTAATTGGCGCGGAGCTGCCACACAAAACTTCATATCCGTGTCAAATATGTTAAGTTGATAATACAGCAAAATTCATCTCCAACTATTAAATCAAGATATATAACACAAATATAGGTCCTTGACTTTTTTTTAATTTTCCATACAGCAGATTGTAGTTAATAATAATAATAGATATAATATTTTCCACCAACAATACTTTATAAATTACAATTAGATTGGTCTTAAAGTCTATTTTCTTTTTATATAATGTTCATATTTCTTCATCCAACGAAAGACCTATTTTGTGGAAAACACTCTCAATTCAACAAAGGAACAATTTTAACATCAATAATGGGTCTTAATCCAATGTCCTTCAATATCGTCTATCATTTATTCTTCCTTTAGCCTTTTTCAGTTTCTTCACAAAGAATTTAATCATGGCTTAAATAAGTAACATTTAAAGAAATTGAAGCATTCCCTTTTTCCACAAGAAGTAAAATCTGACATGCACTTTATTTTAATGTCTAACGAGTTTATATATAATTAAGTCAGTATGCATTTAATGCACGAAATGCGGGGTTTTCTTCGCTAACCTACCACAAATAAGTGAGCCTAAACTATTACTCGATTTGCTCGAAGATCAACTTTATGACAATGGCAGACGGATCTGAATTTAGCTCAGTCGTCTAAGAGCTTAATGAAAAAATCTCCTTGCAACAAAATATTTCTAAAATTTTGGAGATCACTTTTCCAAATACATCATGAAATGATTTGTAAGCTTGTATGCTCAATAAGTTCAAAACATCTAAAAATTAAATTTCAAGGGGCAGATCCCTTAAAGAATGGATCCATTTAAGAACCATTGGTAATTAGCACTTAAGATGCAGTCAAAATCCTACATATTAAATCTCTAACAATAACATAATAATAAACATAATTTCAGCCAACCAGATTCAATATCCTTGGTTAAGCTCAGCTCAAAATTTAAGCTTCAATTATTTATTTTCTTTGAAGTCTCAATCACTCAAACACTTTATCGTTCAAATAAACCAATGCATTTTGCACAAATATTTCAGGAATTTTTGTCAGTAAAATATAATAGTGGCCAATGTAACTTGGTTACTAGCCAGAAGGTCTAAATGATTGAGACTCAAAATTGAAATAAAAGTCACAAGATGAATGGTGCATGCCATTGTCGTAAAGATAGAAGTTGATCAATATTTCATAAATTCAAATCATAAAACATAAATTGTATGCTTTCTAAATAAGTAAGAATACTGCATGCTTAGAAATTATAAGACAGAAAAAAATGGAGCTTGAAAGCACAAAATAGCTTGAAATTTTAATTTACTGTAATCCTGCAAGAAAAATAAAGATAAATTAAAAAAACACATGTCAAAATTGCATCTGGGCCAATACAGAAACATGAAAGTAATTCAGTATCTTTGATCTGATTCGATTTTAGGTAATATGTTGAGCAGAATTGCCTAAAACATTATGCCATGACTACACATGTTGCATTAAACATAGTTAATGCCTTAAGACTTCAGCATAAGAATAATTTTATTTAATTGGCAATCATTCATCATTTTGCTAGTAACACTACTGGTAAATGATAATCTATTTCTACTCTATTTGTTTTACAACTTATCCATTCAAATTACAAATGAATGGAGTTTTAAGTCTTACTTGTCTGCACCTTTTTGGGCTAATGAAGACTGCAACACCATGTAGTGTGCAATGAGGGAAATTTTGCCAGGACAACCCAATTAGCCTACTCTTTTTTTAGATTTCCAACTGTCAAGAGCATTATAATGTGCACACACTGCTATCACTTAACCACTTGGTTTGCCAAAATGACTACTTATGACAATTAATTTTGAATTTTTTAACACTATCTGTTCAAATTACCTTCTGCTAAAGTGTGTGCTTCTGTGTGCTGTGTCAGTGTGTGGTGGGGACGTCCGGCTGTCCTGAATCCTGGTGGTGGATTGTGTGTCTGTTGAGGCCATGCTTGGTTACGCATTGCGTATTGTTGTGAAAATGGGAGGCGACCACTGCTAATAGGTATTTGACTATCAGTTTCTGTTAATTGATGAATAGAATTTAACCAGTGTGGTGCTAGATCTCCTAGACTAGACCCTGAAATTATAAATATACAAGATATTGACATTGGAACACCAATTAATAATAGATAAATGAAATACTTTCAGCTATAAATCACACACAAAATAATTTACAAAAGAACTAGGAATTTGACATTAACGTAAGTTTAAAATTTATTGTTGTTGTAAATTTTAGTAGTCCAGATGCTTTGTACCATTTTTATTCATGTTTCCATGCTCTAAATTACAATATCTGTAAAATGCTATTTAATTTCTATATTATATGGGAATTTACAACTAAGTTGAAGGACTACAACTACTTTTACTTTCAAATCAAAATAATCTCATCAGATGATAGAGTACAAATCAAATTTTGATATCACTTTCAAACAGAAAATAAAATGCATAGTTCGTCTACAATTTAATATGTTCAAATTTGATTATCATTTCCATATGCAATGACCAGCCAAAATTTTCATTCAGTAATTATTCATTATTGAATGATAGTTAAAAAAGGATTGGAAAAAATGGAGAATAATTTTCATTGAATTTCATTAATTTTCCTAAATATTCCAAGGAAATAAAAATGACTGACAAGGGTGGTGAAAACTCATCATTATGGTGCACAAATGAACTACAAAAGTGCTCTAAATTTTTATATCTTGATCAGAAACATGCACACACAACATACATGAGAAGATGTTAGCTCAACATTTATTAAATTTTGGAAACTGTGATATAAGGGACACAACTGCAAGCCTGTCCTTGCGGAACATGTGTGGATGCCCAAAACAGAAACCACAATAATTATGTATCATGTGAATGAATATTCAAGTTTACTGAATGCTCTAAGGGTCAAATAACAGAAATACTTGACAAATATCATCAAATTATTAGTACAATCTGTTTAAAATGCATATCTAGATGCTTTCTAATGTGCTTTTTCTTTACGCAACTCCATTTGCCATCCATGAACTGCCAAAATATTTATATATTGCATACTACCTAAATAAGAGATTAGGGTGATTGAAGGTAGCAAATTACTATTCAATAAGAGGCTAGGATATTCATTGTCAAACGCCTCCTTAAAACAGTTTTTGATTGGTTTGAATAAAAGTGACAGTAAATATTTCAGGATAAAATCTTGTCAGATCAAAGATGGTGAGTGAAATAGTCCAAAGGAAAACACAAAATGATACATCTAGAACTGAAATTTCATCAGATTGTTCAAAAGGTCACTCAATAATTAATTAACAATGGCTCATCTTATGTTGTATTTGCCATTTAAAACCACCAATAAAGCTGGTATTAAAATTCTAGCTGGGTATTATATTGGATAGTGAGTTAATTGTTTCATATCTAAAAGTTTTTGTCTAAAATTCAAGCATTGTTTTCCAAAATACATCATGATTTGTCTCATTTTCAAATATACTTTCTCATTCTGTCATTGTTCTTTCTAGTAAACTGTGCTTCATTGATGCTGTCCAATATGTATACAACAAGCTTTACTGATTTGTATCCATCATGAGTGCTTTTGAGATCATCAGATGAATTCTGTTTTTGAAACCAACAGAGATCATATTTGACTTGACTAATGCGGAACCTTAACATTTGTCAATGTGCCCTAGTCATCACTCAAGACCAGTAGATTATGCCAATGTCTAGATGGACTTTAAATTAAGTTTTTAAGACATAGAAGCATTTAGTAAACTTGAAAACAAGAAGAGGGATAAGGTGCGATGTTATGAAGATGATGATGATAATAAAATGTCAATCATGTATGGTAACATACCATCAGAGAGACTTCTGGACGATAAAATAGCTGGATCATTGTATATCCACTTTCCCATGTCCCCGCAAGACGAAGTTTTGGGCCAACCTAACGCAACAAAAATAAAACCATTCATCAATCAAAATGATTTTCTAAGTATGAATGGGAGCAGATATGATTTTGGTTAGAGACTATTTTAAGTGCGGGTCTATGTACACAAATTTAATGTACATTCACAATCTCATTACTTAAAGTGATTCAAAAGATGTTTCCTCAGCCTTGACATTAGGAATACATCTAGCTTCTATTTGAACCTCACATATTTCCTTGGTCTTAACTTGACCACACTTTCACAAATATCATGGCACAAATAGAACCTAGATGTCCAGAAACCCCTTTTGAATCTCTTTCAGCTTTCAGCAATGCCAAGTCCAAATCTGTTTACTTTTAAAACTGATTTTTTAGATTCCGTCATTTTAAAATTTTAACAGAAATCATTACTGGATGGATGATTTAGAAATCCAGATATTGTAATCAATTCTAAGGAAAAATCTTTGACAATTTTTTATAGTAGGAGATATATCTGGGAAGCCATATAAAAACAGATTAAGACTTGGCATAACCTTAAAGCAATGAGTAATTGTGTGAATTTTCAGGAGAAATTTGCCATGATTTTGAAATTATCAAATCTAGAAAAGTTAACTATGTGACGCTTCTCAATCAGTCATGCTAACTGAATTATGTGCCTAAAGCGTGATTTCGAATGCTCTTTCTAACTAAATATAAAGAAAATTTCAATTATTTCAAAGGTCATTTCAGAAAATAAAATAAATTGTTAAGAAAAAAACTGAAAAAATTAGGTACATGGAAGACTACTGAAGTAAAATATAAATTTCAACATCTAAAAGTACTATAGGGACAATAACACATGACATAATGATAGAAATATACAACGTTTATCTAGTGCATCTAGTCTCAAATGGTGCAACTACCTCTTGTGAAGTACAAGGCTTTGAAATCTGCTTAACCTAGAGAATTTGGTGAGCAGAGCTGATGGTATCCTCCAAATTTTTGCGACATGTTCAAGGTTCCTAAAACTGCAGGTACATGTTTACCATAGATATAATTTGTAGCTAAAACTCCCCAAAAGTCTTCAGTTCGAAGATATTCTATAATTTCTTTTTCAGAAGTATCATCTATTGAAAAGGTTGCCTAGTCATAATGTAACAAATTTTATAAGTAGCAGAGGTTTTTGCAAAAATGTCATATGGAAGCAAACTTGAACGCAATACAAAGCCACCATAACAAAAAGAAAGATTAAGTTCAACCCTGTGTCTCAAGTTCAACCCTGTGTCTCATGTACCTGCAGTCTTGTGGAAATGATTGGAAAGTTGGCAGAAGGTAAAATATGAAAACAAAATGGCCGACAAACCTGGCGGTGAAGATCTGTGAGCTGTATTCTGAGCAGTTGAATGTTGTTGTTGTGAGTGGTTTGCACCATGTGTAGGTTTGACACCAAAACTTATATTAATATTTGGCAATAACGATCGGAGATGAGTCTGCATATCCTGCATTCCAAATGAATCGCCCTGAAAAATTTACACTGGTAAACAAACGATTTTAACAGGACACACAACACCTATTTGAACTTTTAATTTATGTTTGTTTTAAACCTAATCCAATATTGCTGTAGTCATTCACATAAATGAACAGTGGTTTTCAATTCTATATATTAATCCAACCCTGAAATTCTATGAATCATAGCTGTCATTAAGCTGAAATCTTTTGAGTTTAAGAAAGATGAGCTGACAAACCTGTGAAGACTGTTGTTGTTGTTGTGGTTGTTGTCTCTGTTGATGTTGTTGTTGTTGTAAAGTCTGTTCTCGTAATATATCTTGATAATTATTATGAAAATTGTTTTGGGGAACTCTAGAAAAGCCTTGAGAATAGGGCATGAAGTCTGACATTTTATTTGGATTGTATTCTGAAATGATAAAATATTCAGCTTATATTATCCAATATGGCAGACACAGCTTGACATTTTCGACCAAAAAAAACCTACTCCTCTGTGTGTTGATCAAGAGTATAAGGGACGAAATGTGATTAGGAATTTTAATTCATATTCATGATCTGGATACATTTTATTTGTGTCTCCCTGAACATGGTCTGACAATCTGATGATTGAACAGTCAAATAAATGACCTAGAATGTGTGTGGTACAGTGGTTTAACCTATTTTCGTGGATATAAGGATTCAACACCGAATTTCGTCAAAGTTAAAAAAACAAAAACAAAATTTTATGTCTTAGAAGTGTCCTCAGATATTCTACATTCTACATGCATGGCAAGTGGAATCACCCACACAAATTCGTGAAATGAAACAGCCTGGTCTGTAGTAGATCAGCTTCCTCATTTTACGACTTATAAGTTCAAGGTACTTGTGTTAAATGGGCACTAGAATTGGGTTATCAGTGAATAAATTAAACTAACATGATCTTAGTTTTGAACTTACCAGGTCTATAATAAGGTTGTTTTAATAACTGTTGTTGTTGATGTTGTTGTATATGGCTAAGAGAGAAACCTGGTGGAATATTATTGAAATGAGGCCTCTGTTGTTGTGTCTGTGGAGCTGATGGCTGCTGAGTCATGGACGTCATTGGATTCTGACCATAACCAAACTGTCTCTGTTGCATATTTACAGCATGTTGTCTATTGAGGCCATTTTCTTTTTCAATTAAATCAGCTAAACCTTTGAAAGACTCATTACATGGATCAAACCCTGAAGAAATAAACATTAATAAACGTATGTTAATTGAGCATTGAAGTGTACAATGAGGGAATTTTTAGCCTTCTTGTGAGATCTTTTAAGAGCCTGTAGCACAAAGCGATTTCCATAAATTATCTCATAATTCAATAATGCTATTATGGAATATATTTTGAGTTCTACAGCAGTTTATTCTTTGGATGTTAATTCCTCTTTCACCTCTGATCTGCACTGATGGACCGTTAGTGACAAAAAAACAGATCAAGACTCTAATGGATGTGTCTGAATCACTGGACAAAAACTATTAATATAGACCTGTTGGCATATTAGAATAGCTTACCTAAGTCATCATCAAGATCTTTTTCTTTAGAAGAATGAAAACCGAAAGCAGCTTGCCAATCTGTTTCACTAGACACTGGGATATTGTCTGAAAACTCTGTTGTGGGTATCGGAACTGGCATGTCTAAAATAACAATCAGCTAAAATCAAGCAAAATTGAAACGTCACAAATGTCTGCTAAACATAGTTGGATTTCTTAAACTGATAAGGTTTGCCGCTTTCTTTATACATCAATCTGATAAAATGAATGAATATCCTTAAAATCCCAATCCTTAATTGGAGCAAATAACTGTGTGACCTCAAGCTAAAAGTTCGGCATTTAGATCATCATTAAAATCTGAATTTGTTTTCACTAACATTTTGAAATATCAAGCTCAGAAATATGACACATTGTAATTTTGAATTCCATATTTTACATGTTTTGAACAACTAAAACAAATTTTAAACAGTACATGTTCAGCAGTCAAAATTATCTTCTGCCCGTTTTCAGCTTGCTTTACAATTCAAATTTAATAAACACAACAAATTTGAACATATGAACTAACCTGCCGGTTGAGGAGGCTGTATATTTTTTGGCTTGCTAGTGAAGGTATTGGAACTAAAGAATGAAAGACTATCGGTGCTGTTGTCAAATAAAGACCGTCTGTTAAAACCAATGGGTGGTACTGTAGTTGTATGTAGTAATGAAGGAATAGAAGCAGGCAGAGGAGATTGTTGAGAGGTGGATATAGGATCTGTTAGTAACTGATGGGGAGGGGAATCATTCATTGGATTGTCTACCACAGGTGGAGCTGGAGATATGTTCTGAGAAGGATGTGGTGGATTCTCTGCTGTTAAAGAATCTGGGTTTGGTATCTCACTACCCCGATCTGCTGGCTGATATCTACAAAATATAGTTTGTATTTTAAAGTCATGGTTCTGCTTTCCTATACACTGAAAGAGGTTTCATTTCATTTTTTTAGCCTTTCAAAGCTATGTTTTAAATCATCCACTGAAAAATAAGCCTTTGCTTATATGCAGGAAGTTGAAACCTTGACAGTTTTACTATACAGTGACATAATATGAGCTCTTATCAATAAGAATTAGTTGGTTTAAGATAACAGAAATGTGGGTAAATAAGAATATCTTTAGCAATGCAACGATTTTCAGGTAGTATTTGTAAATCAATTTGTTTGAATTTTGTTCGAAGAAGCATCTAAAAAACAATATCAAAGAACCTGATCTTGCACCGAGGACATCAGACCAATAAGTATCAATTACATTTAAACATTTCATCTAAATATGCAAGACTAAGATATGAGGAAAACCTTACATTAGTCTTCTAGCTTAAAACTTACACTGTATTTTGAGTATCACTTTCAGAAGTTGAATTTTTATGACGAGAACTACCCACAGCTTTATTGGTGTTATTGGTAGGAGGAGTTTCAGAACGGATATCAGGACTATTGGTAGATTGCCGATTACCATTAGTTAACCTCTCTATTTTACCGTTATTACCAGCTAGTGTCGGCCAGGTATCTGTATTACTACCAGACACCGGGCTAGGTTGACCATGTGTTATTTCACTAGATTGAGGTGGAGTTTGATTACTCTCTGTTCTATTTGTTTGTTGTTGATTGTCTGGTGGCTGGTCATTGATTGGAGAGGTGGATTTTTTCCTACAAATAAAAATAATCTGATGACTTAGGTACACATTTATTAAATAGCGAGAGGACGTTTTAATCCAAAGCACCAAGTATTGAAGTCAATGAGTCACCCACAGATCCACTTTGAATCATACTAAAGTAGATACTTAAGACAACCATGTCGAAATGAAACGACACAGTTCAAGGATGTGCACATTCTGTAGCACAAGAGGCCTCTGTTTAGTAATGCACAATCTTAAAGGATAGAAGGCTTTTACCCTTCTAAAACTGTGCAACATAATAAACTCTAGATCTTTAGATTAGAGAGTAAGAATTTAAGTAACTAAACCAGTCTAAGAAAGTTTGGAAACTAACTCGTGAGCTTCTGTTTTATTCATGATAAACAGTGGCTTACCTTCCAGTTTTTATTTTATTATTAGATGATAAATGATTATTAGCCGAATTCTGACTGTTTAAAAAGTTCTCAATTAACTTCTGTTCATATTCCTGATGTTTCCTGCAAATAAAATGTCATAGATTACAAGACAAATCAAAAAGCTTTTCAAGCTATCTTCTGTAATTTCATTTTATGAAATGTAACCCATAAAATTTTAAGAAGCTGATTTGAAGTCTTGATGACAATGCTTTCAGTTTTGATCACGACTGATTATACATAAAGTGTCAGGTCACAGTCAAAATCAAACATTGACTTACCCCATTTGCATTTCTTCTTTTGTAAAACTAGCAGCTTCTTCACCCAACTCATGTAAATACATACAATCCTATAATACAAAATAGAATTTTAAATCTTCTTTTACACCTTTTTCTCCACTTCTTGTTTGAATTCTCCATTATTGACTTAATAATTAAATTAACAGGACCAGAGTCCAAAAAATGTGATCGTAGTCTTTTGTGAGTGTAATATCCTCTTAAATAGACTTAATTCAAATATTTTCATTTTACAAATTTCTGAATTGGCCATGCAGTGTTTAATGGGGGTAATATAGCCACATCAGCAGCATTAGGCCAGTCCTTTTTGATTTCACAACTGTCAGGATATCTTTCATGCGCATGGTCTGTTGCACAAGGGTCTGTTTAATCTGAACACTAACATGTCGGAAGGTTTAAATCTCAAACCATGATAAGATCAAGCTCAAAAAGTTCTGCAAGCAATATTGAGCATAGAATTTTAAAAAAACCTTAAGAATTTTAAAAAAAACTTAAGAATTTTAAAAAAAACTTACTGATTTAAGACACTGGGTGCCCTTCAAAAAATGACTACAGTATTTTGTTGTACCTAAGGAAGCCTTTAAAGTTCGCCCATCAACATGTATATTATTTACATGCATTATGGCTTTTAAAGCATCTTCTGATTTATAATATGTGACATACCCACTAGCACTAGGACCCTGTAAAAAATAAAATCGAGTGTGAATTATTTACGCTTTTCTTTTTACCATCTCATCTTACTAATAAAAACAGCTGGCACAATTCAGTGTTGGATGAGAGAAATGAACGTCACTGGCCTACCCTTAATAAATTTTGAACTACTGACGGATCCTCAAGTGCAACCAGTCCAGGCTTTATGGACCATCCAAACAATTTTACCCATGTAGTACTACCAACATGCATTGCTGACCAAAATTAAAATCCTAGGACATCCTTCAGGATCCTGTCATCCTACAGTTGTTATTCGGGCAAGTGCCAGGTAAAGTTAAAAGTTAATTTTAAAAACAAAATTCTTACCGAGGCTTGCGACCCAGCATAGGAAGTACTTTGATTAATAACTACTTTATGAATTTTCCCAAATTTTCCAAAATATTCATGTTTTTTCAATACTTCTGATTCTGCTATTCTCTGTGACAAACCCACTACAAATACTAAATTTTTCTGTACAACTCTGAAAGAAAGACAACTCTCTCTGGTAAAAAAATGAAAACAATGACAGTGAGAAATAGAAATTTTTTTTAAATATTTTTTTTGTTACCGTACGCAATATTGAATTACATAACTGCAACAGTGTCAATGAAAAGAAATCCAAGACATGCCTGTTATATCACGAAAAATCCACTACAGATATCAGTGAGCAACTGCACATTCAAAGATGTTAAGAAACTTTCCAAGTTAAAGCTACAGAGGACAGAGGATTTCCTGTCCCTAATGTGAATAAAAAACACTGCTAGACTATACCTGACATTTGCCAAATGTTTCCTATTTTCAGCAGCTTTTTGTTTCTTTTGGACATCCTTCTGTCGTCTTTCTCTTTTGATTTTCAGCAGTATATCTTCTGTTAAAGGTTTGAATTCAGCAGGATCTTCAGGATATTGCTTTCTGCAAGCTGGACACAGACCGTTTTCATCTGTTCTTATCCTGTGCCAGCAGAATCTGCATATCTATAAGACACAATGACAATTTGTCATTTGAAAGCTAAAAATTCTTAAGTAGTACCGGTAGAATAAAATATCATAAAAACTGTTCATGCCAAAGTTACTGACTTGAACACGCAGTCTGTAAATTTATTTTACCTCGTTATGGTGTCTCAAACCAACATTTAAAGTTTTTCGAATATATATATTTTAAAATGATTTGACTGAACATTTGACTGAGTTTCCATAAATATGCAATGATTGAAACTTACCTGATACCCACATGTACATGGATAAAAGTTAATATCATCAATTTCTAATAGTTCCATACACAAAGGACACTGTAAAGTAGAATACAATATTCAGTAAGACTTCTTCAAATTCAAGAATCAACAGGAATTGTGCTTATCATTTTAAACTGGCAGTGTAACAGGTGAGGTGCATTCCTTCTATTGACACTTATGAAACAATCATGAATGGTGAGAAAAAATATGAAATGGCAATTAGAGAAAAAAAAATTATCAAAAGTACCTCAACTTGTTCTTCACCGACAGACATCTTGAAAATTTCCAGCTTAAAGAAAGCAGACCTGTTGCTTTATCTGCAAAGAATAAAAATAAAATACATACTAAACATACATTCAAATTTGCCCATATGGTTAAAAGGATACTTCCTCATAGAATGGACATCAAATTTAATAACTATTGCAAAACGATTTAAGTATGTTTCAAAATTACTTTGTTTAATGAATTATTACTCAGTTTAATGGATTGATTGGAACAATTTGATGAACGAAGATTCATTTAAGTTTACAAATGTTATCATTTTGTTCATCCTAAGAAAAAGTAAGTATACCCTTAATTTTCTCACTATTTTACATTTCATGGTCATATTATAATCTTCAATATACGAAAATATGTTGAAAATGAAGGAAGTTGTTGTATTTTCACTATTCAAGATCACAGAGTTAAGCAAGAGGTTAATATTTAAGCTATTAAAGCATATTGTTTAACTTCATTTTAAGATAAGATTACCTCATCTTCACTCAGGTTTATATAATAGGCCTACCATATACACATACCAAATTAATCAACATCTGTGAAACACTGTAGTTTCAGTTTCAATTTGTGAAATTACAGGGGTCAATCTTTTAGTGGTTAATATTTTCAAGCCATAATGTTTAACAGTCTTATGTCAAGGGTTACTGACTATTGCTGTAAAGGCATAATAAGCAGTTTGTAAAAATTTGACATTGTGAAGATAATTATAATGACCACATACCGGTTCTCATATTGTCATATTGCCACTGACAAAGTGACATCTCTAGACAGATATGTAAATATTTAATCACAAAATAGAAGATTTTCTAAAACATATTTATGAAAAAAGTACATTACAACAAGGAAATTTTCATGTATATGACTAATCAATCAACATCTAATTGACAAAGACTCCTTATGATTGGTGACTAGTCCGACTGTATTGTAAATTTGACACTGACAGCTTGAACGTGAAATATCTTTATTTTCATAATGTGAATATAACCAAAATCTTGACCCGTTTTCCAAATTTGTGTCAAACTAGAGACATCGACTACCTGGCTTATTAAGACTAAATTTACTAGTTCTAAGACTAACAAAAATCTAGAGTTCGTGTGTCAAAAAGCTTTAAAGTAATTTGACCTATCATAAATTTCGCACCCCAGATTGAGAAGTTGGGTTGGGATAAAAATGTCGGTGCACCAAGGACATTTGCATTCCACATTTCCTCCATTTCATGGGTCGGCAGAAAGTTGAGACCCTTTTATTTCCAATAATTAACATTTCATCTTTTAAATTCCATATTGATTGGATACATATATTCATCTGATTACTTACAAGAATAAAATATTTTCTTCGTTCCCTACCGATTACTCGACGACTACACAAATTGATCGTATGCGCATAATTTTGACGCAGATTGCCCGGATGTAGGGAAGTGGTCGGCGTAATCTCGCGGGAAAATGCGATAACTGAACAAATGTCAACAAAGACATGTGTAGAAAGTAAATCGACTGTAAATGTCAGAATCAGTCATTAGATTATTCCAGTTGAAATGTCTTTCAAACGCGAGGGTGACGATAAAGAACAACTAGATGTTTTGAGAGTGAGTGAAAATAAATCCTGTCCCCAACTGATTCAATGTTATTTTGTTATCATCTGACGAGCATTAAGACTAGAGTTGAACATGATATGAAAGTGGGTTGGTGGTGTCTGTGATTTTCCGTCTTGCCTCTCCAAAAACTTTTCAAACACTTTGCAAACCAATGTTCTTTTTTCAGAAAAGAAGAATAAGAGATCTGGTAGGGGAAAATGTTCCAGAAGATGAGGCTAAATTATTAAGTAATGGAAAGTAAGTACTATCTGATAATCTTTAGATTTAACTCAAAAATAGCTTGTCACAGTAGATCATTCTCTGGAAACATCTGAGAATTGATTGAGTGTAAAGATTATTTGTATGTCTTTTATTTATATATATTATATACCTTCTAGTAGTATACTGCCTCATTTCACCTGATGATGACAATGTAGATTGTTGAAACATTGTGTGCAATACAACTAAGGAGTAGTATAGTATAAAATTGTGTTCTGTTAATTAACCTGTTCTTTAACCCTATATGTCACATAAAGGGACAGGTGTATCTTAAATTGATGAGTCGTCATTTTAACATTCAAACCTGGATAATTCTAGACACACATGGATTTGAAGGCTCAAATTTCAACGGTGAGCTGTGAACACTATAACTGATTGAAAGTAAAATTATTCCTTGTCCTGAGGACATACTAAAGTATGATTGGTGAAAAAAAATGGCCAGCCTGTCCCTGAAAGTATTACATTATTTACTGTGTATATCTGTGACATTTAATGATGTGCGGCATTTGTAAATATTTTTTAGGTTTACATGTTTAGTGTGTAGTTACCATCCTATATTTGATACTATTGATATGTTATTAGTACATAGAGCAGGCAAGAAACATGAACAAGGTAATACATTTTTTTAAAAGTTCTGTAATTTTTTCAATCATTTGCAATACAGATTTATTTTGATAAATTTAGATTTGAAGATCGCAAAGCATGAAACTCTAAAATAACAACATGATTCAAGTTCTGTTTTAATATTTCTAATTTTAAGTATCTATAATTACAAGATGTTTAGAATACGTATTTGGTTTTATATACCTGGGCTTTTTTACTGCCAGAAACCAAATTCTCAATCAATTTCTCAAAAAGTATTAAATTTTCTCAATTTTATATCTTTGCATATGACTTCAAACATTTTCCTTAGTTTAACTAAACGTTTTCATGTATTTGTTTATAAATCTTTACAGAATGGAAATTTTCTTCCATTTTTACACATAATAAGAACTGAGAAAGACCATTCACATTTTTTTTTCGTGGCTGATTCCCTAATATAGTATAAATGTATCAATTCTCAACATGATTCATATGGACTAAAAAAAATATTGTTTCAGGTGCTACCATATTTCTAGAAAAACAAAGAGAACTAAAAAATATGATAGAAAAGAGAAAAGCAGAACATTTTGAAAAGTATGGCAACACTAATATAAAGATTGCTGAGGTTTGTTGTCGTACCAATTTAGTTTGATGATAATAAGGAAAATAATTAATACCAAAACAAGGTTTTTGAAGGACTGTAGCCAAGTGACATCAAATTTTATAGAAGAACAGGCATGAAAGTGAATGATACAATGGGTTAGAATTTTGAATAATTTGTCTTCAATGGTGTAATATACTCAGGTCAATTTGCTAAATTTATTTGTTTCAAAATGAAGTTTTCCAAACATCATATAATAATCTTATTGATTACTGTTATTTTAGGAACATCTGAGCAATAAACATCTGATGTCATCCACTCCATATGATGCTAGATCTAGGAAACTCAAACCATATGACAGAAAACCTAAGATACATATTGGAACTAGGACCAAAATTTCTACAAATACTGTTCAATTATCAGACTTACCTGGCTCTAGTAAAGGAAAATGGGGACATCTTAGTTCCTCTGAACCCATCATGCATGATGCCAAATTAAAAAACATTTTTCGTTCGGAAGACCGAGGCATGGAAACTGTTAAGCCTTATGTTGGCAAGCGGCAAACAATAGATCCGACAAATAGAAAGGTGCTGCAGGAATCTCATTCTATATTGGAAGAAAACAGTGACATTCGTTCAGATCTAAAAACTATTGTGTCAGATGTACCAGATGTAAATGATAAATTGTGCCCATCCGATGCTTCTGTGGAAAAAGTATCTCCTCCGAAAATTGTGACAGAAGAAGAGATACAACTCTCTAAGAAAATTCAACAGTTGAGAGGGTATGTATATACAATCAGAGTGTATTGAGACGAATGTATGTCCCTTTTTGCTACCAGTAAAGATAGTAGGCTCACCAATAGGAGAGATCTGCCATGATGTCATAGAAGTGGCTTGCGTATCACATGGTGCACAACTTTAACAGGTGTAAGAGTTGTTGTCCTACCAATTGTCCTACTCAAGTCATGCATGTGTTCTACTTTTAGTATACCACGGCTCAGCCGATTTCTACTATTATTCTATGCTTTACTATCAACACAATAACTTTATTTACTCAAGAAAATGTCGTTCACTGAATTGTGTTGCCTGGCTTTATCAGACCAATCTGTAAAAGCATTAGCAAAAAATTTAGCAGTTAAGCACTATTTCTGATCATTTTTTAACTGTTTGTGTATTTCTTTTAGAGCTGGATGGAAACGAGATTGGGATGGTAAATGGATTAAAGATGAAGATGCTGAATTTGATTCTGATGAGGAACCACCAGATATTTGACAATTATTTAATATACATTATGCAGAGAATAAAATTGTTGTTTACATATTATCAATATTGTTGTTTAGAGAAATTACATGGATTGAATTTACCCAATGAACACTCTCTGAAAGAGAACCCAAGTTGACAAACAATATTCATATAGTGGTATCAGGTGTTCTGAAGGGTGAGAATGCCCTGACTCCAAAGCACACTTGTTTGGGCGTTAACTTTAGTAAGCTCAGAGAAAAAACCTAGATTTGGACTGGTTGCTATTTTCTAACAAACCAGATGTCCTATGGAAGAAGTTATGAAATTATGAGTTGTAAGGCTACACTATGTAGCTGCCAATTAAAATCTCACTGATTTAAAGTGACCAAACAATATTTTAAATATGCGGCAGTGTATTCTTTGTTTGGTCGATTTGACTGCTAGAATCGGCAAATTGACTTCATACATATGGGCGAAATGGCATTTGGTCGAAACGACTGAAATTCATCATGGCGTCAAAATGTTAGCAACTATGAAAACAATGAAGTGATTTTGGTGATTGAGGCATATATATACTCGATTCAATACCGATTTACATGTGATAAAGTACGTATGATTTTGTAATTATTAGCTGAAGATTGCAACTGCAAAAATAAGTGCAGGCGAACGAATCTAATCTCTCTGAACAGTGACAGGTGCTATTCATTTGTTGTGACATTTGTAGGGTAGGCCTACTTCAGCTTTGTAAACTGTAAACTAATAATAGTTTTCAAATTGTATTGACCAAAAGAAGGGATACTCATCCAAAAAAAACAATGGTCTTAAGGACCTCTATTCATTATTACAATGTAAATTCTTCATAGGATTGTCTAGGTTGTCTGCTGTACTTTTACAGAAGAAGATGGCCAAATTAAGATATGCCTGTGATCAAGATAAGTCTGTGTTGATGAATAATTTTGAAGCTAGAGGCTGGATACAAGTTAGTCCTGAAGATGATTTTAATTTCTATTGGTAAGATTTTACTATTGAAATAATTAAATTGATTCAAAATAGGTTTTCATGTCTATGATAACTTAAGCTTATATGGGACTTTTATTTGTACCATACTACTGGGATTTCCTTCCAATATCTCTGATTTCTGCAAATTTAGACACCCCTTTCTAAATTATCAAGTCTGTTTTTGTTAGAAATTATGTATGTACACAGATAACTGAGATTAAAAATTATGAACTATATTACAGGGCTAATGTACAGAATATAAGAAATATATTTAGTATTGAAGCTGGTTATAGATTGAGTGATGACCAGTAAGTGAAGATAATATATTTTCTCAGTTTTATGGATATTATCACATCATACCTTATCATTATTAAAGGGAATATGTACTCTATCTCTATATTTCACCAGCTTATAGAGCTTAATTTAAGCTATCAGTCTCACTTTCCAGAATGAAGATATGACATGTGGTATGAAATCGAATAAAGTGGAAACTATTTGTGAGCAATTAATATCATTCTCCTATGCATAAACTACCCACAGACAGTTAGGCATAATGTTTTTGACTGATATTACCCCCACAGAACTAATGCTTCATTTTGGAAGTATGTACCATCTTCAAAATAACAAGGATGACTCCCTCAGGTAAAGGCTATGTCAAATTTTAAAACATTGAAAAAATTGCATATTTCAGATTTATTAATCATTTTCCCAATCATATGGAATTAACCAGGAAAGATCTTATGGTAAAAAATATTAAAAGATATAGAAAAGAATTAGAGAAAGAAGGCAATCCATTAGCAGAAAAAGATGAAAATGGCAGATATATTCATTTAGGTAAGTTAAATTCTGAGATCACAACTCAGTCATCTGACCCATGAGAAAGTAGACAAAAAATGTGATCTGTTGGTTTATCTTTCAACCTATCTCCTGTTTAATATTGTGGTTATGTTTTGGCTCTGGCATTTTGAAATAAAACATCTCCATTCATTTTTATTTCATATCCAGGCCATTTATAAATTTAAGTGTTGATGATTTCTTGACATTCCATAATAAAAAGATTGTTTTTAATCAATACACAAGATATAAGCTTATATACATACAGAAGAACACTTCATATCATGTCTTTTGTTTGTGCCATTATTTGAATGCATGTACATCTTTCTATTTTGTCCGCAGATTTTATTCCACAGACATTTATGTTACCGTCTGATTATAATTTGTTTGTTGAAGAGTTTAGAAAGAATCCCAATACTACTTATATTATGAAACCATGTGGAAAAGGTTTGTTTTCCAATCTCTCTAAGTTATTGCCCTTGTTTTTATAAAGTATACTTCATGTACAATCTGAACTGCAAAATGAAACCCAAAATCCCCCAAACATATTGGCAATACGTTGGTTGCATCTAATGAACTTTTTATATGAGGAAGTATATAAATCATGTATCATGATATATGTTTGCAAAATAGTGATCATGAGTAACAATTAATTAACACTGCTGACCTTGAATAGGTCATTATTCCCCAATACTCAACTTGACAGAGTTATAATATGGTAGAGATAGAGACTAATGATTATTCTTGTATGATACGAAGGTTTGTCTGTCTTTGATTTTGGTTAGCAGGATGAAAAGAATATACTGCTTCGGTTTCTGATCAAGGATAAATCTCAATATGATAGTTTTAATATATTTTGTTTTATTTTTGTACAGCAAGAGGTATTGGAATATTTCTGGTCAATAAATTATCTCAACTAAAAAAATGGTCACGAGATGGTAAAACTAGTGTGTAAGTTTTGATTATATATACCTTTATTTATTCAAACATGCATAGAAAATTGATAGTTGATTTGATTAATGAATATTACTCAGTAACCAATGCTAATAATAGTAGAAAATTTATAGTGAGTTGTATTTAGAACTATTCAGTATACTGATTAGATTAATGAATATTACGCAGTTATCAACGCTAATAATAGTAGAAAATTGATAGTGAGTTGTATTTAGAACTATTCAGTATACTGATTTGATTAAAGACTACAACTCAGTAATCAAAGTATACTAATTAGATTAAAGAATATTACTCAGTAATCAACGCTAATAATAGCAGAAAATTGAGTTTAATTTAAATTACACATTTAAAGATGGTGAGAATATCACTCAGTAATCTAACCTACAAAAATGTTAGATAGTGAGTTGTATTTAAAACTACTCAGTTAAGTGATTTGATTAAAGACTACAACTCAGTAATCAAAGTATACTGATTAGATTAAAGAATATTGCTCAGTAATCAATGCTAATAATAGTAGAAAATAATAGCAAGTTGTAATAAAACTACTCAGATTAGTGATTTGATTAAAGAACATTACTCAGTAATCAAATCAATAATATAGATTTGATGGTGAGTTGTATTTTAAACCACTCAGTCTAATGATTTGATTAAAAAACGCTACTTGGTAATCTAGTAATAGCAGGGAATTGATAGTGAGTTGTATTTAAAACTTCTTAATAATGTTTGTNTCAAGAACACTACTCAATAATCAATCTACAACAATAAAAAAAAATTGGAAGTGAGTTGTATTTAAAACTACCCAGAATAATGATTAGATTATTTACACTGCTTAGTAATCAAACATGATAATATTAGAAATTGATAAGATTAAACATCACTCAGTAATCAAACCTACAACAATAATAGGAACTTGATAGTGAATTGTATTTTAAACTACTCAGTATAATGATATGACAAGGCCTTGTTTGACACAGATCTGTCAGCTTCCGAGCTGTTTTATGTGGTCTGCATTGCAACATATTATGATAGAGGCTAGGCGTGTATAGCTCTGCATATCTGCAGTTATTTTACATACTTATCAACACAATAAAATAACTCTCTATATTATATGTTTATTTTGCTGCTATTTAGTTCCTCCAGGTATAACATTATCCTTAATATACTGGGCATTGTTTGATTAAATGATTTTGATTTTTAGCTCTTGCACATGCAAAATCTTTCCTAACCACTTCTGACAACACCCTATATAGCCAGTTGCGCATAGAATAGAATCATGTAGAATATTTTTTTTCTCAAATCTGTTATGTATCTGTTTAGCAAATGGATTATGGTTGAATTCATTGTCTTATCTTTTTTTATCAACACATCAATTCCCTGATTAAAAAATATTTTACACCTCTTTGAACTTTGAATAATATGTTTTGATAAGAGAAAAGAATAAACATTTAAATTTTATCATAAATTCCCAAAAAGGGGAAACCAATTAAAATTATATTATTGTCCTCTTATTTGATGTTTCAACTTACTGCCTTCTTCAGAAACACCCAAAATAGATCTCGATCACATCTTTTTCCGTTATTTTACTAACTATTTAAAGTTTAGAAAATAATAAACATTTAAATATGCATTTTTTTTTGAAGACCACTATTTCGAAAATTGTCTTCTAAGTGATAATTCGATCTTATATTTGCATATTCATCAATGCATGGTTCTTCTAGAACTAGTTATACTGTTTTGAAGCTGACAATCCAAATCAGTAATATTTTAAAAAAACTAAAGAGTATTCAGAGGTGTTGCAGTTTTCAGTCAAATTGGTATTTGTACTTTCAGATTTACACCACCTACAGCTAAAGAGACATATGTTATAGCTAAATATATAGATAATCCTTTATTAATTGGTGGGAAAAAATTTGATCTTAGATTATATGTCCTGGTGACTTCATTTAAACCTTTAAAATGTTATATGTAAGTTAATTATTCTTTGTTAAAAATATTGTCCTGGTGACTTCATTTAAACCTTTAAAATGTTATATGTAAGTAAATTATTCTTTGTTAAAAATATTAAAACAGAACGTCATGTATAATATTGTTGTTTCATGCATAGTTTCTATGAGATCTTTATAGGTCTGAGAGCATGGCCTGAAACATTTTACTTGTTTAATTCAAGTTCTGCCAGTAATGAAACTAAATTCATTTATAAAGCTAGGAAAATGTAATAAAACTAAAATGGTTTTGAAGCCAATAGGGTAATCCTCTTGATTGTGACAGATTGTGAATTTATTTTTAAATTAATATATATTTCAGGTATAAATTAGGATTTTGTAGATTTTGTACAGTAAAATATAATGCTAATATCAATGAACTAGATAATATGTTTGTACATTTAACTAATGTCTCTATACAGAAACAAGGGGTAAGTTCACCTCCTCATACAAAGCTATTTGGATAAAGTAGACCATATTCCCATCTATTTATTGATAAGAGGGCACAGTTATGGTATGGTTTTCAAGCATTTGGTAATAAATTCAACCATGTACATATACCAAGTATATACATAATCAATTGTTTTATCCTAGGATGAATATAATTCTATACATGGTGGTAAATGGACAGTCCAGAATTTGAGGTTATTTTTAGAAAGTACCAGAGGAAAAGAGGTGAAAGGAAATCTTTTGATCATTTTTACAGGCACAAACATTTTCAAGTTCTTTGAGTATGCTAATTATGGTTTTGTATATTTGATATTGCCTATTTTTATTAGCCTTACATTGCAGAAACCTAAATGATAATAAGGTCACCTATTTTAAGGTTCAATGTTTACTTATTTCAATTCCATTTTAATCCATTAATACACTCTAATTACAATCTCTGAAGAATGTGAGTTAATGAGATTCTGTTATTTATTTTAGGTGTCTGATAAATTATTTGATGAAATTGACTGGCTCACTGTACATTCTCTTAAAGCTGTTTCTGTAAGTATTTATTAATTAATTTGAAATCAGATGAGATATTCCTCAGAGTGAAAATCAAGAACCAATTGAAAGAAATTATTTCCCAGGCATTTGTTTTCCTTCCAAGAGTTTAAGAAATTCATTATTTTTCAATTATCAAGAAGTTGACGCTATCGAAAACACTAAAATTAGTTGATAATTGTATTGAATTCGTAATTACAGGTATATTAAATGATATATGTAACTACTATGACCAATTATAATTATTTCAGGGGTGTATATCAAATGATAGACATTGTTTTGAATGTTATGGGTAAGTCTATACGTCTAATTGTTCAAAAATCATCCCATGGACATAACATGTAATATTATTGATATTGTTAGTTTAATTGTGATATGATTATTGATAATATTAGTTTGATTATGATATGATTATTGATAATATTAGTTTAATTGTGATATGATTATTGATATTAGTTTGATTATGATAAGATTATTGATAATATTAGTTTGATTATGATATGATTATTGATATTAGTTTAATTATGATATGATTATTGATAATATTAGTTTGATTATGATACGATTATTAATATTAGTTTGATTATGATATGATTATTGATATTAGTTTAATTATGATATGATTATTGATATTAGTTTGATTATGATGTCGTTGATAATATTAGTTTAATTGTGATATGATTATTGATATTAGTTTGATTATGATATGATTATTGATATTAGTTTGATTATGATATGATCATTGATATTAGTTTAATTATGATATGATTATTGATATTAGTTTAATTGTGATATGATTATTGATATTAGTTTAATTGTGATATGATTATTGATATTAGTTTAATTGTGATATGATTATTGATAATAGTTTGATTATGATATGATTATTGATAATAGTTTGATTATGATATGATTATTGATAATAGTTTGATTATGATATGATCATTGATATGAGTTTAATTATGATATGATTATTGATATTAGTTTAATTGTGATATGATTATTGATATTAGTTTAATTGTGATATGATTATTGATATTAGTTTGATTATGATATGATTATTGATAATAGTTTGATTATGATATGATTATTGATAATAGTTTGATTATGATATGATTATTGATAATAGTTTGATTATGATATGATTATTGATAATAGTTTGATTATGATATGATTATTGATAATAGTTTGATTATGATATGATTATTGATAATAGTTTGATTATGATGTCGTTGATAATATTAGTTTAATTGTGATATGATTATTGATAATAGTTTGATTATGATATGATTATTGATAATAGTTTGATTATGATATGATTATTGATATTAGTTTAATTGTGATATGATTATTGATATTAGTTTGATTATGATAAGATTATTGATATTAGTTTGATTATGATATGATTATTGATATTAGTTTAATTATGATATGATTATTGATATTAGTTTGATTATGATATGATTATTGATATTAGTTTAATTATGATATGATTATGGATATTAGTTTAATTGTGATGTCGTTGATAATATTAGTTTAATTATGATATTGATAATATTAGTTTAATTATGATATCATTATTGATTATATTAGTTTAATTATGATATACTTATCGATAATTATGTTTTTATTTTAGTTATTATATCATTGTTGATGATAATATTTTTTATTCTAGTTATGATATCATTATTGATGATAATTTAAAACCATGGTTAATAGAAGTAAATGCCTCACCATCATTATCAGCAACAACATCTAGTGATAGAATAATGAAATATAAATTAATATCTGATGTTATAAATTTAGTTATACCACCAGGAGAACCACCAGAGTAAGTCCACATTTAACTTACTAGGTCTAGAGACTCCATACCAAGACAAGAAATGCCTAGTCCTAGTCACTTTTTATCTAGTTCTCCATAGAGTTGATGACTAAATGGCTGTACAGCAAACAGTTTACAGGCAATATATAAAAATACTATTTATTTTCTCTAAATGATGAGAAACCATTCTCATCTG